TGATAGCCTTCTGCCAGCAGCCCCCCCCCATCGCCCTTTTGTAACCCTCGTTTCAACCCCAATCCCATTTGCACATCGTTCCTTTGCACACCCCCCCCTTTATAACTCCCCCAGTTCTCCCTTTGCACATCATCTTTTGCATCCCTTTCTTTACAAGTCCCCATTTGATGATCCCCCCTTTCCAAATCGCCCTTTTGTACTCTTTTGCAGCCCCCCGCACAAAACACCCAGTAGCACCTTTGTCCTCCCACCTCCACTCCTCTTTCCAACCACCTTTTGTACCCCCTTTTTACCCACCCCCGTTCTACCACCCCCTTTTACACTCACCCTTTTGTAGCACCCCCTCGCCCGCATTCCATTCACCTTTTAGTAACCCCTTCCCAAAACCTTTTCATAGCCCCCCAACCCCATTTTACCCCCCTTCTTTTTCGCAGTCACCACTTTTGTACCCCCTCCATTTTATCACTCCAGCCTCCACTGTTGCGACCCCCCCTTTAGAAGTAACCCTTCGCAGATCTCTCCGGCCCCCGCTCCCAAATCCCCTTTTTGTACTCCTCCCACTCCCCCCCCTTCATTTTACCACCTCCCTGTCCCCAAACAATCACCTTTATATCCCTCCCCCATTATCCCCCCTCCTCATCCCATCCGTGAGGTGAGACCCCCTCCCCACCCCCCGCGTCCTCCTACGGACCGCAAATCCCCCCGCCGTGGGGGCGCTCTCCCCTCAGCGGGGCGCTGTGATGGCGGTGGGGGGGGGGGGTGGGATGTCCCGCCCGGGCCGCGCAGCGCCGTGGCGGCGTGACGGGGAGGCTCCGCGCGGGGCCGGGCCTGACGGCTCTCCTCGGTGTCGGGGCCGCCCCTCGCAGGCGCCATGCCCCGGAGGAAGGCGGCGGGGCCGCCCTGGGAGCCCGGCCCGGGCAGGAGGAGGCCCGGGGCGGCGGGAGGGAGGCGGAGGCCTCGTAACGGCGGAGGAGGCGGCGGCAGCAGCGGCGGTAGCAGCGACGATGAGGCGCCCCGAGAGCGGAGGCCGCGGGACGGCAGCCCAGGAGGAGGAGGAGGAGGGAGGAGGCCCGGCCGGCCTGCAGCGCCCGGCTCGGGCTCGGCTCTCGGCCCCGGGCCCGGCGGCGCGGCGCGGGGACAGGCGGTGGTCATCTGCGAGCCCGAGCACAGCAAGGAGCGCATCGTGAGCTGCGCTGCCCGTGTGCCCTTCTGCAGCCCCGCTGCACCCCCTTAACGCAGCCCTCTCAGTTAACCCCGCCTTCTGCTCCTGCCATTGCATCCCCCCGCAGCCCTGCTCTGCACCCCCCCTCCTTTGAACCCTTGGCACTCCCCTGAATGCACTCCCCTTTCTACCCTTTGCATCCCTCTGATTCACCCCTGCTTTGCGTCTCTGCACCCCCCATCACGTCCCCGAATGCATGCGTTGCAATCCGTTTAATCCACCCCAGCTTTGCACCCCCCTTTGCACCCCTCTGATTTACCCCTACTTTGCACCTCCTCATAGCAATTCCTTTTGGCACCCCTGTTGGACCCCCCCATGGACCCTCTCGCTTTACCCTCAGTGGTCCTTCAGTGCTCCCCTTCATGCACCCCCTCATTGCACCCTTTGGACCTCATCCTTACACCCCCCATGACACCCGTATTGCTTCCACTGCACCCCTTTAATGCACCCCCATTGTACAGCCATTCTATCCCACCAACACAACCCCACTGCACCCCATAATGCGTTCCTGTTGCACCCCCTTAGCCCCCTTTTATTGCATCCCATCACGAACCTCCCCCCCAACTCACCCCTTCATTGCAAACACAGATTTGCCCACCTTTTATTGCAGCCCTTCGTGCTCCCAGCTTGCCCCCCAAACCAAAACTTGCATCCTGTTTGCATCCCCAGTTGCCCCAAAGCACCCCTAAGGTGTTCTCCCATTGTGAAGGCTGTGAGTCCCCCTTTATTTCAGCACTACAAGGCCTCTCTTTTTGCCCTCATTCAAGGGGAAGCCCAGCCATAGCTTTTGGGTCATTTTTTTTCACGTTGACCCATTTGGTGAATTTTTAACTCAGTGCAACAGCAAGAAGTGCACATGCGCAACAGAGGAGTGTGTGTGCACACAGTGCCTCACTTTGCACACCTGCAACCTGGCCCTCCCGTTTGCGTTACAATCATTCCGTTCCTTTTTTCCCTCTTTTCTGCCTCATTTTGGGTTTGGCTTTTTTGTTGTTTTATGTGTTGTTGTTTTTGTACTGATTAACCTTTTGCTCCCTGCCTTTTGCAGGCAGTTGGTGCTCCACATGCTTTCCTCTCCAAAGCATCATCCTTTTGATGGGGAAAAGCCATAATTAACAGTTAGCCAGAACTGGAGGAGGTGCACATCCATGCTCCATCCTGCAAAGAGCTACCCCCCCAATTTCAGACCATTTGCAAGGAGGAGGAGCTGAAGAAATGGGAGTGTTTTATATGTGTATCGTTTTTGGGATGCAGTGCTTGCATGGAGTGTATATTGGGGGTTTTAATACAAAATTGGAAAAAATCCCCCTTGTCCCCATCAGTTTGGCTCAGAAATGCACTTTGGTCGCAAGCTTGGATGCAACCCTATATCCACCCTGCATGCAAAAAATCTCCTGCTGGCTGACATTGCTGCAGATCTGATGAATCCTCCCTGCCCCTTGCAGAAACTCGAGGGCTCCAAGTGCAGAGGACAGCTCCTGATCTTTGGGGCCACCAACTGGGACCTGATCGGCCGCAAAGAAGTGCCTAAGCAGCAAGGTGAGCAAAATGCACTGCATTTGCATCACCAAACATCATAAAACACAACCAACAAAGCATTTCATGCTGTGCATCCTTTTTTTGTTCTTGTGTTGTTGTTTTTCCCACCAGCTGCATATCGAAACCTGGGCCAGAATTTATGGGGGCCACACAGGTATGGGTGTCTCTCAGGTATTCAGGTGCGGAGTGTGGTTTCGGGACCATGTGCGGCTCACAGCCTCCTCATCACTGCTGAGGGCAAGCTGTGGAGCTGGGGTGAGCAAAACACCAAAACACCTCTCAGAAAAACATGCAAAACCTGCCGTGTGGCCTAAAACCCCAATGATTCCCATAGGTCGCAATGAGAAGGGGCAGCTGGGCCATGGGGACACAAAGCGTGTGGAAGCCCCCAAGCTCATCGAGGTGCTGGGCGGTGAGGCCATCGTGCTGGCAGCATGCGGCCGGAACCACACACTGGCTCTCACAGGTGGGGGGAAACCTCAACAAAATGCCCTAAAACTGCTGATTTTTGCCCTCATTTCATGGCTTTTCCCTATTTTTGGTTGGCAGAGAGTGGCTCCGTATATGCTTTTGGGGAGAACAAAATGGGGCAGCTTGGTCTTGGGAACCAAACAGATGCTGTTCCAAGCCCTACACAGGTAAATCCACTCTGTTTTGTGCTTTTTTTTTTTTTTTTTTGTTGGGGTGAAAAGCAGCATATTTGTATTTTTTCACTGAAAAGTGTACTCGCAGAGCGCAAACCCCATTAGAATGTTGAGGTGTTCCCATTTAGTATGTAAGGACATCCCTATTGAAGGTGCTTTGAAATGGAGTGGACAAAATGCAGCATGACAATGATATCTTTAGGAAAAAACAAATGCGTACAAATTTTGTAGGATTTTTGGCTGTCCCCTTCCAAGTCTCTTGTTCCATTTTAGGGTGAAAACCCAATGCTTTAGGGGACCTTGTGGCCAAGAAAAATGAGAGAGAATGGGGGTGAGCTCCCAAAGGTGCTCTCCCTCCCCAGAAATTCAGCTTTTTGCCTTTGTCTTGTCTTTCTCGCAGATCATGTACAATGGGCAGCCCATCACCAAAATGGCCTGCGGGGCTGAGTTCAGCATGATCATGGACTGCAAAGGAAACCTCTACTCCTTTGGGTGCCCGGAGTACGGGCAGCTGGGTATGGCCATGTTTTGGGATGGTTTTTTAAAGGTTTGGGCTATTATGGGGTTTTGGGCATAGGAAACAGTTCCTGCCTCAGTTTTCCCATCTCTGAAATGGGTTCAGAGCTGATGTAGCAACTCCCAGAAGGAAAAAAAAAAGAAAAAAAAAAACAGGATGCAAACCTGAAACAAAAGGGGTTTTGCAAGTGGGAAATGGATTTCTTGATGATGTAGTGTCTTTGTGCAGGGCACAACTCAGATGGGAAGTTCATCGCCCGAGCACAGCGCATAGAGTACGACTGTGAGCTGGTGCCGCGCCGTGTGGCCATCTTCATTGAGAAGACCAAAGATGGGCAGATCCTGCCTGTCCCCAACGTGGTGGTGCGGGATGTGGCATGTGGGGCCAACCACACGGTGAGCAGTCAGCAGTGTAGCCCTTCGCTTTTTGCTTTTTATCGTTGCACTGCTTTTTGCAAATGTGTTATTGCAGTGAGAAAAAGAAGGCGTCCCTTTTGGCCAGCTTTCCCTGCTTCAGTTTGCAGCGTTTACTTAAGGACAGATCAGCAATATGCATTAAAGGATAAGTGCAGTATGCATTTAAGGATGAATACTTGCAGAATGCAGGATAGAGATCTGCAGCTTGTATTTAAGGATGAGGCTTTTGTAATGTGTGTTTAAGGATGGAGGCTTGCAGTATGCATTTCAAGATGAAGCTTTTGCAGTGTGCCTGTGGTTTGCAGTGTACTCTGCAGTCTGTACAGTAGCTGTGTCGCCTGCACCAAAGCTGCACACAGTCCCACTCACTGTACATCCCCCTGTTCACAGCTTGTCTTGGATTCCCAGAAGCGTGTTTTCTCCTGGGGCTTTGGTGGCTATGGGCGGCTGGGCCACGCAGAGCAGAAGGACGAGATGGTGCCACGCTTGGTCAAACTCTTTGACTTCCCAGGCCGAGGAGCTGCACAGATCTATGCTGGCTACACATGTTCCTTTGCTGTCAGTGAGACAGGTGGGTGGCCACCCTGCGTCCATAATTTCAGTTGATTTGAACAAATCCACACAGATAAGAGCAGACGTAATATGTGTTCTGGTGTCTTGCAGGTGGCTTGTTTTTCTGGGGTGCCACTAACACCTCCCGTGAGTCCACCATGTACCCAAAAGCAGTGCAGGACCTGTGTGGCTGGAAGATCCGCAGCCTGGCCTGTGGGTGAGTGATTGTCCCCCAAAAACCTCCTTTTTCTTAGTTTTGGAGTGCAAGGGGGTTGCTGGTGCAGGGTGCTGGAGTCAGCACCTTGCATTGTGCTGCAGAAAGAGCAGCATCATTGTGGCAGCGGACGAGAGCACCATCAGCTGGGGCCCATCTCCCACCTTTGGAGAGCTGGTAAGAAGGATTTATGGCACTCTAAACTGTACAGTTGTACCCCTCATCTTTTGGAGCAGGGGCTCTGCTTGTCAGCCCACTACGATTTTTTGAGGTTGTGCTTCTGTCTTTCAGGGCTATGGGGACCACAAGCCCAAGTCATCAACGGCTGCCCAAGAGGTGAAGACCTTGGATGGGATCTACACGGAGCAGGTAAGCAGGGACCCAAACACCTTTGTGCCCCCAGCAGTGGCTGGGACTATCAGTAGCTCATCCCACTCATTGGTGCTCCCACTGGTGCAATGTTTCCAACTACGCAATGCTCCCACCCACGAGTTGGTGCCTCCTATACATTGCTCTTGCCCATGTGATATAGGCGGTGCTGCCACTCATGGGATGCTGTCACTCACAGCATGCTATCACTCTTGTGTTGTGCCCATTCGTGTAATGCTCTCATCCATGCAGTGCTTCCACCCATTGGATGCTGACGGCTGTCCGACACTATCCATAGATTATTCCCACCCATGAGTTGCTGTCACCCATGGGTTCTTTCCACTGAAGCGATGGTGCCCTACATGGGAGACTGTCACCCATGGGTTGTGCCTACCCATGTAATGCTAACAGCATAAGACGCTGTCATCTGTAAGATTTCTGTCACCTTTGTGATGCTCCCACCCATAGGTTCTTCCCACCCAAGAGATGGTGCCACTCATGGGATGCTGTCACCCATCTGTTGTGCCTACCCGTAGAATGCTGCCACTTATAGGATGCTCCCCTCCACGGGATGTTCCCACCTATGGGATACTCCCACCCATGAGTTGTTGCTCCCACTCACGGGACTCTCCCATCCCATGAGGTGTTCCTACCTATGCTCTTCCTGCACTGCGGGATGTTTCTCAAGCATAGCCCAGTATAAAGGAAGGGGGTCCAACACCAGCAGGAGCGATGTTTTGCCTCACCCTCCACTATCTGCAGGTGGCCATGGGCTATGCCCACTCACTGGTGATTGCCCGCGATGAGAGCGATGCCGAGAAGGAGAAGCTGCGCAAGCTGCCAGAGTACAACCCCCGCACCATCTGAAGGCAGTCCACAGCTCTACTACCTGTTCTCCTACAATTTCCAAAGCGTTGGATTCCCCCCTTCCACGGCCAAGACCTTTCCCCGTGGCTTTTCCATTTCCCATCCCCACCCTCGCAGGACCTTTTGGCACATCCAGGCTTTTTAGTTGTTGGGTTTTGGGGCTTTTTTTATTTGTTCATTTTATTGCTGTTCCGCACAGAAAGGGGGGTGCTGGGTTCACCTGGGTAGGCATAGATTTTTAATATTTTTTTTTATTATTATCTTTGTTACCAGATTTCTCTGGTTGTAGGCTTGGAGCAAAACTCAACCAGTAAACCCCTCATTTTCCACAACATCGCAGTTTTGGGGGGCATTTTTCACAAATAACCTCTATTTTGGGTGCTATTATTTTAGGGTTGTGTGTGTTTCCCACCATCCTTCCTCAGCATCCCTTTTCCTCTGGGGATTTGGGACCACATGTGCTATTTCATACCCATAGGGACAAACCCTGTGCTCCCTTCTCCATCCCAGCATCATTTTTTGAGCTGGATGCCTCCAAACCTGCGGATTCCCCAAACCCCCTACTGCCCATCCCAGGGCGATCTCAGGTATGAAGAGCAGGCCCTGAAGCATTGTGCAAGCTTTTTCCCTTTGGTTTTTTTTTCTCTTTTCCCATTAATTATTATTATTTTTATTATTATTATTATTTCAGCCTGGTATCTGCCAAAAGCCCTTCTTGGGGCGACGCTGTGCACTGTGCTGGAGAAACGAGGTGCCTTTACATGCAGAGCCCAGCTCTGCCTCCACACAACCCAAGGGTGATATTTTATTACCTTATTTTCTAGTTTTTAGGGTTTATTTTGAATTTTTTTTAATCCCTTTCTGCTCCCCACATGCAGCTGTGAGGGGAGCTCTGCAGTATTTTATGGAAAAAAAAAAAAAAAAAAAAAAGATTTTACAAAAAAAAAAGGAGGGGAGGGTTCTTTATGTTTGCTTTGGGGTTAGGATTTATTTTGGGGTTTATCTTGGTGTGTTAGAGTCAAAACTTCCAGGATGGGAAGAGCAACGGGGCAGAGATGTCAGATACTCCGTTTTTTTGAGCAATATTCACATTTGCTGCAGGAGGAGGTCAGGGCGTGCAGCACCCCAATGGGGCTTTTAGAACCTTATCCCCACTTTTTTCTACCTGCAATATTTCAGGATCATCCCCATCAGCTGCCAGCCCCAAATAGGCACAACGATTTGCTGCAGCCTAAGAACAGGGGTGGAAAAACAGCAAAAAGCCACTTTCATCCCTAAAACAGCAATTTGGGCTCCAGGTCCAATTGTGCCCCATTGCATCCCAGCAAAAGGAGAAGGCTGGAAGCATGGAATAATAATAAACCACGATGCTCTCAGAGCAGCGTTCCCTTTAGATGAGGCGACAGGTTTCTGGTTAGTGCTGTCGTTGTCTTCATCATGTTTTTTTATATTTCTTGGAGTAAATGTTTAAATAAATGATGTTGTGTACGCCTCTCAGCTACTGCATGCACACCCCAATCCCCAGTTTTGGCTCAAAGCAGTGATGCAATCAGCAAAAGTTCCCCTAACATTCATCACGAAGGCGTGGAGTTCCTCACCTTCATTCCTGCCCATTTTCTTTTCTAACCAGAATAGACAAATAAAGGGAGTGCTCTATTGTCACCCCAATGCTGTGCACTCTCAGCACCAACATCCCTAAAAGCCAACCCACACACAGCCATTAGGGGGCACCATCCTGCTGCTAACACAATCTTCCATCCCCTCATCTCTTCCCCTTTGTTCCCTCTATGATTTTACAAGCAGGGTGTAAGTGCAGCAGTACATACATATATGTGGTTTTGTGCATGTACATTTTCTTTCTACATGCATGTATTTGTACATGGTTTTTTTTCTAGTGCATGTGTGCATTTTACTCTGTGCATGTGGTTATTTTTTATTTTGATATTTTTTGCCTTCATATTTTTGTCCCTGCATGCATCTTTCAGTACATGCTTGCCTGATGTGGTGCACACAGGGCAGTTTGTGTTCACAAATGTTTTGGTGTAGTTTTATCATTCATATTCCCACCTATGCATGCCCACTTTGTAAAGCAGCACATGCACTCATACATTTTCTGTGGGCATTTCTTCTAATGCATGCATGTTTTTCTATGATTGCTCCCATGCATACACATTTTGCAAGCTTGTGCAGACATTTTTTTGTGCATTTCTTTCTGTGCATGCGTGGGTTTTTTGGTGCATTTTTATGCATGCATTGCATTGTTAAACATGCAGATGCTTTTTTCCACATACATCACCGCAGAGCACTGCATCACCCCGCTAACCACCATTTAGAGATGTCTTCAACCTCAGCAGGAGGCTGGAAGCAAACACAGCCCTCATTTATTTCCAAGGGGAGTTAGGGGGGCTGCTGCAGAAGGCACTTACAGGGATGGAGAAGGGGATTTGGGGGGAAAAAAGGAGGAAAATGGGTGGCTTAGAGCACCATCCGCCACCACTTGAAGGCAAAGGGTTTGCGGCGGACATTGGTGCCGCAGTGCACCTCTCCAGCAAGCTTGTGGTAGGAGAAGAAGTCGTCGATGAAGGTGCAGGAGAGCCCCAGGGGCTGCAGCAGTGCCCTCACCCGCTCCTCCAGGCAGCACTGACCAGCCACCAGCGGCCCGAAGGGCTTAGGTATGCCCAGGTGTCTGCCCAGCACCAGCATGTTCACCTGGAGATGGACCAGAAGTTTTTTGGTTTTTTTTTTTTCTTTTTTCTTTTTTTCACCCAAATGGTGAACAAGGAGAAACAAAGGGCTACCAGCATGCAGCCCTAAATTCACACTGAGCTGCTTGTTACCATGTCAGGAAAATAGGCCATGGCTCTGGCTTGGTCATCAGCTTGGAAGAGCTGTGGGATGTCGATGATGTCCTGCTCAGCCAGCCCCAGCTCCCGCTTCAGGATGTCCCGGTTCCAACTAATGCAGCTCTGTGGGGAGGGAGTGTGGTTGTGAGTGGGTGGGGGGGATAAGGAGGGGTAGGGGGGCAAGGGGACAGAAGAACAGGACAGGAGGATGGGAGGACAGAGATGGGGAGAGGGAAGATGGACAAGGGAAGAGAGGGATGGGGACAGAAGGACGGAAATGGGAGGACAAGGACACAAATGGGGGAAGAGAGGGGGAGGCAAAGGCAGGAACAAAGGGACTGAGAAACAGTGACAGGGAGATAGGGAGGTAGGGAGAGAGACAAAGGACAGGGAATGGGGTTAGGTTGGCATAGGGAGATGGCTGGGAACAGGAATAGGGATGAGGAGACAGGAGGGGTGAGGGACAGACAGGGACTGGGAGAGGGAGGACAGTGGGACAGAAAGATGGAGTTAATGGGAGGTGGACAGATGGACATAGAGACAGACAGGGAAGGATGGACAGCAGACCTCACCTGTGCGTAGGCATTGAACTTGCGCAGCGCTTCATTTCCCAGGATCTCGTTGATGCTCGGCTTGGGCACACCGTGCAGCCCTGAACACAGAGCAAGGAGCCTCACCCCATGTCAGGAAGACAGTGGGTTTTTTGTAGGTGTGAGGTACCAGATCATCCCTACCCTGGAACATTGTCGCTTCCCCATAGCCCATCTCCTGCTTCTCCCTGAGCAGCTGGTAGCAGGCACTAGGGCTGGCCAGCAGCAGCCTAAATCCCTAAAGATGGAGAAAGCAATACGAGCTCACCCCATGTTTTCCCCCAGAAAAATCACCCCATAAAAGAGCTTCTTGCCCACCTTCCGATCAGGTACAGGGATGAAGCTGAGGAACTCATCAACATGTCCAACCTGCAGCCAGTCTGAGAAGAGCTCCACAGGCGCCTGCACCCGTTGGGCAGCAAGGAAATTCCGCACTGCTTTGGCCATGCGTCGGCCGCCAAACCTAAGGGCAATGAATGGGGACCTCAGCCTAGGCCTTTGGGGGTGGTGTACCCCAAAATCCCATCTCCCACCTGGGGAAGCTGCTGCCAATGAGGATGCGGCCCAGCGGGTACTCCTTGCTGCGCACTGTCACTGGTGGGCTGACCTCCAGGTTGCCGAAGGAGTCAAGGCTAGAGGTGTTCTCTGGTGTTTCCTGAGCCACATAGCCAAAATCGGGGCCCTGGGGGGAAAGCATGGCTAGCATTAAGCCTTGGGAGTGCCAAACCTTGAAGTATGATGCTCCTGTCACCCATGCTGATTTGCCTTATCTCCTTCCTACAAATTAATTTACCCTATTGTGGATTCAGAGAATCATACACGTTGGGAAATAGACCTTCAGGATCATCACATCCAGCCATCAGCCCAACCTGCCGAGCCACATCATTCAACCAAAGCCTTTAATGATTGCTCATCTTCTTCTTATCCTTGTTCTTATTCCTTGTGATTCTCAGTAGTATTCCTACTCCTATTCCTGTTCCTACTCCTATTCATACTTTTATTCTCATTTCTGTTTCCTTTTTCCATTCCTATTCCTACTCTTATTCCTATTCCTGTTCCCATTCCTTCTCTTATTACTACTCCTATTTCTTACTTGTATTCTCATTCTTATTCCCACTCCCACTATTATTCCTATTCCCACTCCTATCCCTACTATTTTTTTATTCATTCTCATTCTTTTCCTTATCCTTTTGCAGACTGCCACAGTGCACAGCACTCCTCGCTAGCACCAGAAAAACCAACACCAAGGGTTGGAGGACAAGTGGCTTTAGTTGGGTACCAGGATGCTCCTGACAGGGAAGTCCTTCAGGCCCCGGTCACGGGGTGAGTCGAAGACCACTGGAAACATTTTATGGGGTGCTTGCACATAGCCAAACTCCACTTCATCCTGCAAAGGAAACAGAGGGAGAAGGAAGTGCCGTGAAGCCACAGTCCAAGAGTCCCGACCCCAAATCACCCACCTGGATCCAACGGTCATTGCGGTTCTCAGGCAGCGGGCAGATGGTCACTGGGCACTTGGCTTCCTCAGCCAGTGCGCTGACAGCCGCCACAAAGTCCTCATTGTCCTCCACGCTGGGAAATAAAAACAGGGAGACACAAGGATGCAGTGGAGCCCAGAGGGATGCAGCCGAGCCCAGAGGGATGCAGCCACCAACCCCCTGGCGCCCACCTACACACGAAGACCTCCAATGGTGCCAATGTGTTGGGTGTCATGATCCACGGAGCCACACGGAACACCACCGTGTCTGTGAAAATCGGCGTCTCCAGCAAACCCTGTAAGGGGGCAGTAGGATTGAGACATTGCTCACCCCACCTATAGGTAAAACCTATATTATTTAGGGCATTGCCTTCTCAGGGCTCTCCAGCAGTGTGACATGGAATGCAACCAGCCCTGAAAAGCCGGCATCAGGAAAGGCGAGCCCCTCCACGTAGAAGATGCTTTCCTCCTGGTGCTGGCTGGGCTTCACGGCATAGGCGAGCTTCTCACCTCCCAGCACATGCTTGTACTCCTCCAGTGCAATGCTGTCTGTGGACACAAGCAGCACCATGTAACCACGCAGCACTCACCTTGCTCTGTAGAATTCCACCTCCATTTCTCAGCTCCTTGTAAAAGGAGCAGCTTGGTGTTGCATTGTGCACACACCAGGACACAGTGAGCACACCTCTACCATTGAGTGTACCATTGTACCACTGGGAACAAAGCAACCTCATGGGATGCATTTGGGATTCTGGAGGCGTTAAGCTCTCATTTTGCCCACCTCATTAATGATCTGTGGAATGGAACACCTCTCCTATGAGGACATGCTGAAAGAGCTGGGGCTCTTCAGCAAGGTCTGAGGTGACCTGATAGCAGCCTTTCAGTATCTAAAGGGGAGCTATGGGAAAGAAGGGGACAGACTCTTTAGCAGGGTATGTGGTGATAGAAAAAGGCAAAATGGCTTCAAGCTCAGGGAGGGTAGATTTAGGTTAGATATAAAGAAAAAGTCTTTTCCAGTGAAGGTAGTGAGGCACCGGAGCAGGTTAGCTAATGTTGTTGTTGATGCCCCATCCCTGGGGACTTCCAAGGTGAGGATGTGTAATGCCGTAGGCAGCCTGATCCAGCTGTGGTGCTCCTGTTCATTGCAGGGGAGTTGGACTAGATGGTCTTCAGATGTCCCTTCCAACTCTAAGGATTCTATGATTTATAGGGGGGCCTATAGAGAGGTCATCCCACACTCACTGCCTCCGTAGAACACGCCGACTTTATCAGCATCACTGAAACCCACGTGTAGGACGAGGCCATGGCCAGTGAAGATGGTGCGTGGTCCACGAGTCCGCAGAACCATTTGTGACATGTCCTTCAGGTCTGGGGTGACAGTGAGGACAAACTGAGGAGAAAAGCCACCAAAAAGAGGAAACACAGCAAAAAAAAAAAAAAAAGAGCTGGCTATACCTTCGTAGGAGCACACAATGGTGTCACGATTATCTGTCAGCTGGCTTTTGGGTTTGCTGCCATCACCCATCAACTGGCTTTTGGGGTCATCGCGATCACAGTTGACCAGCAGAATGGCACCATGCCCATCAGGACCCCATGTCCACGTGGCCTGGGGATAGCAAAGAAGGGTTGGGAACACTGTTGGAGCCACCCATGGGGTGAGGACTGTTGCTTTCACTACATTACCTTGTCCACCAATGTCCTGCTGACTGACCCACTGCGACCAGTGTCAGCATCCAGCGAGACTTCTACAGGGACAACAGGTGCTCAGTGGAGAGGTGGCATGGAGGCACCACTTTTTGGGACCAAATATTCCCACTTACCCACGCAGGTGAGGTACAGCATGGCTCTGCCCACTGGCACCCCACTGGCTTCACCAAAATAGGAAATCCTGACCTGTGATGTCACAGCCAATGAATTCAGTATCACCCAGAGTGTGTCTGGGTGCTGCTGGGCTGCTGTCACCCACCTTCTCGTCCCCGACATCCTTGCTGATTGCCTCCATGGTGAGCAACACCTCAGTGCCAGTGGCCAAGGGCCAGCGGGTGACACTTGAGGGCAGCTTCACACTCTGTGTCTCATGCACCACGTAGACTTTCACGCCTGGCGTGCCCTGCACATGGAAGGCGATGGCATCCTTGGGTGCTGACCTGAGGAAGTACAGCTGCTGGGGCATTACTGCAGTGATGCAGCAAGTGTTGCAATGTACAATTGCAACGAACCCTGCAGTATGTAATGAATTCCACAAAATGCAGTAAGCCCTACAACATTCAACCTCAAGAAAGCCTACAGTGTTCAATTGTAATGAATCCTGTCTTATGTAATTGCAACAAATCCTGCAACATTCAACCTCAAAAAAATCCTGCAGCATTCAATTGTGACAAATCCTGCCATATTCAATTGCAACAAATCCTGGAAACAGCAACAAATTCTACAAAATGCAACTGCAGTAAGTCCTGCAAAGTGAAATAAATCCTGCAGAGCGCAACAAATTTGCAACATGCAACAAATCTTGCAAAAGATCCCCAACTCTACATTATTTAAGCCCAATAAATTCTGTACCAATCAACTGCATCAAAACCCCAGAGGCCTTTTCTTATGGCATGAAGCTTCACAGATATTTAAATTCCACCCCACAGCAACAAATGCATCCCCTTCAGAGCACAGCAAAGCCACAGCGGGTGCAGGAAGTGAATGGGGATGAAGGAAGCACCAGCAGGTGAATGGGCAGGCTGCAGCATGCAACGCTCAGTGCATGAGGGCACTGCCAGGGCAGGAACTTCTGCAAGGAGGGGAGAAACCCAATCCTGGGTGCTGTGATGCTACTGACATCCACAGGGCAGAGCATGTGTTTGAGGCAGCACAAAGCAACCCAAAATAGCAAAACTAAAGTAAGTTGGAACTTTAAGGAAAATGGAAGAAAAAGCAAAACTTGTTGCTATAAACCGGGCTGTAGTCAAACACATGCATGTCTGCAGGGAACGCCCCAGCAAGCAATGCCTCTATGGTTAACTCTGTATTCACCTACACAAGGAAATATTTCTATTTCTTGTTGGGATAGCACAACAGCCCCTGGAGTGGAGTTCTGGGGCCCAGATGGAGAATGCATCCAAAATCTGTTTCTCCACAGAGCTGCAAACTTCTCCATTCATCCTGAGCACTGAGTAGTAGTGCCATCCCATTCCAGGTGCTGAAAGCCTCCGGGAGCAGAAGGAGCAATACCCTTCTTTTCAATATTGAAATTCCAACAGGAGCAGGAGGAGAAATCCCTTTCTTTTGGATGCTGAAAATCCCAACAGGAGCAATCCCATTCTTTTGGATGCTTGGTAAACCCACCTGAACGCATCAGCATTGCCTTTCCCCAGCTCAACCCATCTACCTCTATTTTTACCCTCTCCTCACTTAACCCAGCTTTAATTCCTGCAGGAGGAAAGAAAATAATATAACCCCAAAGCAGATTTTTGGACACCCCCTTGCTTACCCCTGGATGTCCAAGGACAGCTCTGTGCCCAGCACACAGACGGTGCTGGTGGGCCGTTGGGTGCAAAGCTGAACACGACGCTGCTGGGCCATGCCACCACACACCCCGGAGTGCTGGCAGCGATGGCACGAGGGGATTATAAAGGCTGGCAGCAGGGAGGGGATTAACACAGCCTGATCCCACCCAGCTGGTGTGCACCGCTGAGCTTTCTGACAACATAGCGTGAATCAGGGCTGATTTTTCACCCAAACACTGTCTTCCCCAGAATAGTGCTCTTTATTTATTTACTTTTTTTTTTTTTAACCCCAATATAACAAAGTAGCATTGTCACCAAGGAGAAACCCACACAGTAAATTATTCAGCACGACACCAGAGCCGAGCTGGCGCCATACCAGGGTGCTATTTCCTAGTGCACGCCTCCCCAGGCTCCTCACAGAATCGCAGGAGATGGAAGGGACCTGAAGAGATCATTGAGTCCAACCCCCCTCATAAAGTAGCTCCCTACCACTGGTCACACATATCAGCATCCAGATAAGTCTTGAATATCTCCATAGGAGACTCTACAGCCACTCTGAGCAACCTGTTCAGTGCTCTGTCACCCTTACCATAAATAAGTTCTTCCACATGTTAGCACAGAACTTCCTACATTCAAGTTTTAGGCCATTAGTCCTTATCCTGTTGCTGTGCACTACTACGAAGAGCCTGGCCTCATCCATTTGCCTCCCATCTTCCTTCAGATATTCATAATATCTCTCAGCCTTCTTCTCTCCAGGCTGAACAGATCCAGGTTACTCAGCCTCTCCTCACAGTGGAGGCCTCCAGGCCCTGTATCATCTTTGTGACCCTCCACCAGACTCTTTCTAGGAACTCCCTGTCTTTTTTGAACTGGGGAGCCCAGAAGCGGATGCAGTAGTCTAAATCTCTACTCACCAGGGCAGAGTAGAGGGGAAGGATAACCACCCTTGACCTACTGGCCACACTCTGTGCAGTGAACTCCATGATAATATTGGCCTTCTTGGCCACAAGGGCATGCTACTGGCTCATCACCACCTTGCTGTCTACCAGGACCCCCAGGTTTTTCTCTGCGGAGCTCCTCCCCAGCAGGTCATCTCCTAACCTGCACTGATGCATGCAGCTGTAATACTATAAGGGAATAGAAAGGACCATGATAATAGTAGCATGATGAAATCTTCAGCTACATCAAATAAGAACAAGCCCAAATACAACAGGTACAGGAAAAAAAAAAAAGTAAAGAGCTGCTTACCTTTGTAAGGTCTCAGGTACACAGGCATCTTCAGCAAAAACCCTTACTTCCACTCCCAACCCTTAAATGAGGTCTGGGAAAGGGTGGATCCTGGCTCCATCCCTTCCAATCATTCAGCTACATTGCATGCACCTGAGCTCCCCTGGATCAGCTCTGACTTCCCACCAGGTGCACCATCACTGCTTCAGGCCATGACTTAGCATTTTCGCTACAGCGGTTATTCCTCCCCAGGTGCAAGGCTCTATACTTGTTAAATCTCATCAGGTTCCTCCCTGCCCAACACTCCAGTCTGTCCAGGTCTTGTTGAATGGCAGCACAGCGCTCAGGTGTGTCAGCTGATCCTCCTGGCTTTGTAACACCAGCAAACTTGCTGAGGGTGAACTCTATCTCTTCATCCAGGTTGTTGAACAAGACTGGACTCAGGAGGGATTTGGAGGGCTTTATCTAGCATGAAACTGGGGCAAGGGACTGTAAGGCCCCAAATCACCAAGACGGTGGCAGTTCATATGAGCCACAATGCATGCAACATGCTCATAAAGACCCTTCCCATAAGAAAAATGTCTCAAACAGTATTCCAACCCAATGACAGGATGGAGCACAAGGAAAAACTTTACCCTCAGTGCTCATATTGCCAAAACACTTTATTTTGAGTTTCTCCAAATCCCCCATTGGGAAGGACCAGAGACCTTTCCTGGGCACTTAGGGCACCACGTGCCACCATTTGACAGCCAAGGGCTTGCGGCGGACATTGGTGCCGCAGTGCACATCTCCAGAAAGGACATGGTAGGAAAAGAAGTCGTTGATGAAGGTGCAGGAGAGCCCCAGGGGCTGCAGCAGTGCCCTCACCCGCTCCTCCAGGCAGCACTGACCAGCCACCAGCGGCCCGAAGGGCTTAGGTATGCCCAGGTGTCTGCCCAGCACCAGCATGTTCACCTGGAGATGGACCAAAAGTTTTTTTTTTTCACCCAAATGGTGAACAAGGAGAGCGTGGAAGGGAAGTGGTGAGGGGGATTGATGTGGTGGTGGTCTCACCATGTCTGGGAAGAGGGCTTCTGCACGGGAACCCCGCAGGATGAAGAGCTGGGGGATGTCAATGATGTCCTGTTCACTCAGCCCCAGCTCATGCTTCAGCAGGTCACGGTTCCAATCGATGCAGCGCTGTTCAGAGGAGGGCACCTGTGTCATCACCCCAGATCCCATGCAGGAAACCTATACACCCCATATCCCCTGCTGAATCCTTTTTAAGCAACCTCCTGAAGTCACCTAAGCAACCTTTGCTTCCACACCTCCATGGTCACTTTAGGGCATCACCCATTGGGATGACATCCTGCTTCCACTTAGCACCCAAATGTGCTCAGCCCCTCTGCAGCCCACCTGCACATGTTTGTTGTCGTTCCTCAGCCCTTCATCTGCCAAGATGTCATCAATGCTCCTCCGCTCACTGCCCACAATCCCTATATGGGGACATTGGTGAAGGACATTGCTGGCACCCAATGATACGGGGACATCCTTGCCCATTGTCTTACCCACAAGCTGCGTGGCCTCGCCGTGTCCCTGCCTCTGCTTCTCCTGGAAGAGCTTGAAGCAGGCACTGGGGCTGGCCAAGAGGAGCCGGAATCCCTGCAGGATGAACGCATAAACCCATTTTTTGGGATTTCAATACGATGACACCCATGTGTACCCAACACCAGTCCCAAGGATTGCACAGTGCATAGAATGACACCCAGAAACTCACTGCTTCCCAGGAAGCCACCCCAAAAGGAAGGTAATTCATGCATGGGGCTGAGCCTGCCTTTTCCTCATAAGCCAGGCTTTTTACTTTTATTGCTGAATTACAAAATGAAAGGGCCTTCTGCATCATTATATGATGCTGAGGATGTGGGGAGGGACATAGGGCCATTACCTTTCTGTCGTATGCAGGCACAAAGGTGAGGAACTCATCCACATGGCCCACAGACAGCCATTCTGAGTAGACCTCCACTGGCGCCTGCACCTTCTGGGCGTAAAGGAAGTCCCTGACCACTTTCGACATCCGACGTCCGGAGGCCCTGAGGGCAGAGGCAGGAGGAAGCAGGAGTGATTGCACCCCAAAATGCCCAACCCACGGGGGAAAAGGGGCATTTTGAAGCAAATCATCAGTATTTATGCCCACTTCAGAAGGGAAGAGGTGGTAAATTGACCGAATCTGATGGCCACATCTAATTCCAAACTCCTACATTGTGTGGGGTATAGTGATACGTGCGTGGAGATAAACATAACTCATCCCATTCCTCTGTGCCTTAAATCCCTCCCTACGTTTTCCTAGACAGCCAGCAGCAGGCTGAGAAAACATTAATTATAACTTCTTGTAATAAGGGATAATTACAGCCCTGGTGTGGCTGGGAAAATCCCATTTTCCCATCAGGGTAAGCGAAGGATGGAGCAGCATGACCTGCTTCGTTTGCCATCCTGGCTGAAACCCAAAGATTCAACCTCATTGTTGTTTGTCCAGATGAAGAGCTGCCTTTGTGCAGGGTTTTGCAGGACATTGTTGTTCCCTGTGCCAAGGGCACAGCGGTAAACAATTCCCAGTTATTCAGGATTTTACCCTTTGCTGAATTCCTCTGCTTTTCCTTTCAATAGGGAAAATTAAAAATATAGGCATGATGTTTGGGGTACTGTAGGATCAGGGTGAAAGGGAAGAGGGGAGATAATAATAGGGTTTTACAAGGAGAGAAGGAACAGCAACATGGTCTGAATGTGAAATTTGTGATTAGGATGGCACTTTGGTGGCATTTAGCCCAAATATTTTTTTTGTAGCAAATCACTTTTGGATGCTTTCCTGTCTCACCAGGGCAGGGGGCTGCCAATGAGAATACGTCCCAGAGGATACTCCTTGCCTCGCACTGTCACTGGAGGGCTCACATCCAGGTTGCCAAAGGAGTCAAGACTGCAGGCGTCACATCCACGGGGCACGCGGGTCACGTAACCAAAATCAGGGCCCTGGGGACAGAGGGGAGCAGTGATGGGGAGCCCCTGAGGATGATTTTTGGGGATAAAAGTGATAGCAATGCCCCAGCGCACCAGGATCTTCTTAAAAGCAAAGTCTTTCAAGCCTCTGTTCCTGGGAGAGTCGAAGACCACAGGGAAGGACTTGTGTGGTGCCTCCACGTAGCCAAATTCCAGCTCGTCCTGTTGGGGGAAAGAAGAGGAGGAGGAGGAAGAAGGCTCCTGTGCATGAGAGCCAGCATGGCAAAGCACACAGTAAGGATGGAGCAGGACAGGGGGCAGACCTGTCACAATTCAGTTCTTGCAGTGTACCATACAGTCCCTCTTGCAATCCTCCTTGGGGTCCTTCTTGCAATGGGGAACCTCATGCAATGCCCCATGGGGTCCCTTTTGCAATGCTGAGTATATTGCCCCTTGCAATGTCCTACAAGTTTCTTCTTTCACTGGGGCCCCTCTTGCAGTGTCCCTGCAGTCCAGCCAACATCCTTGTCTGTACATTTTGTCACTACCAACAGCATCTCCCACTGTTTTAGCTCATGATTGCTTGATTCATCTCTTAGCATCAGCATGTTTCTCCAAGTAACACAACTGGTCCCTCCCAAGGACAACCCCCAACAAGCCCATAAGAAGTCCCAGAAAAGCCATGTATTACAAGCACTGAGGGCTGACCTGGATCCAGCGGTCACTGCGGCTTTCAAGTTCGGAGCAGATGGTCATCTTGCAGTTGGCTTTCCTCAGCAGGGCTTGGAGCTCCTCCAGAAAGACTTCATTGGAGTTGATTCCCCTCTTGATGCTGGAGTAAGAAGAAGGCATGAAGGACCTCAAGAATCCCTCAATCCAAACATTCAATTTTTGGGTAACACCTCTGCACAAGCCCTTGGAGAAGGTCCTCCAGCCTTCTTCTTGGGGTTGCAATGAATGCAGCAGCAACATTAGGCTCTTGCACAGCATGCATAAAGCCTGTGCACAAAGCAAGGAAGGGTAAAGAAGCTCCTTTATGGAGAACCCCCAAGGCAACGGAGCTATAGAGTGGCGTTCATCCTACCTGCAGACAAACACCTCCAGGGGCTGCTGGGTGTTGGGTGTCATTATCCAGGGCGCCATGCGGAAAACCACTGTATCCGTGAAAATGGGGGTCCCAGGAGAATACTGCAAGGGCAAAACACCAGGAGAAGTGGTTGGTAACCTCAGTGGAGACTTTGTGGTGTCAGGGATGGGGTAGATCCCACGTACCTTATGGGGCACCTCCAGCAAGCTGACACTGATAGAAACCAACCCAGAGAAACCTGCGTCAGGGAAAGCCAACCCTTCCACGTAGAAGGTGTTTTCTCCACTTCTGACACAGTCTAGTGTGCAGGAGAGCATGCCTGGTCCCAAAACGGGTTTGTACTGGGGGTGTGAGTCACTCCCTGCAGAAACATCGAAATAGCCAGCCTACATGGGTGCAAGAAGGCACCATGGAGGAGGTGACGGTGCCAGCGTGGTTTGCAGAAGAGCGGGTGTGCCGCTCTTTTCTGGGGAACACACTTGATCTGCTCATACAAAGAGGACTCTATGCCCTCGGGTCAAACCCTTTCAAGGTGCGTGTCTCAAGTTAAGCATCTAATGATACAGCTGGCTTCCTTGACCTGATTTTCGTCAGGGAACTGCTGTGATCCACCATCTGGAGTGTTCAAAGGCAAAGCATACAAGAGATGGCACCTTTGGCAGATGTGTTGGTGCCTGTGCTTATCCTCCCATGAAATTCTTAAAACTTCAGTAATCCCACTGAACAAAGCCTTTTTTTCATTATTTTTTCCTGTACAGTCTTGACATTCCCCCCATAGCCTTATTTCCTAAACCAATTTTGGGAATAAATGGATGTATCCAACAAGTGCTAGCATTCAGCCCTTAATTCTACTGAGAAAGGGCTTACCCACTGGGGTCACAATGTCTTGGCATCGATATCTGGGAAGGAAGGAAGGAAGAAATACTCACGGATAGCATGGAAAACCCGCACCTTGTCTGCATCTGACTCGGAGACATGTAGGACAAGCTGGTAGTCAGCAAAGATACTGCTAGGACCTTGAGTTCGCAGCAGCATCACAGACATGTCCTGCAGGTCTACAGGGGAAAGAAGATGGAGAGAGGGGATGTTGGGAGGTTTCCAGCCTCCAGCGCTGTCTGTAGGCTTTGCTATCCTTCAGTTGCAAGTGGATTTATAGGGCAAGCCTGCTGGGATGACGCTCATTGTGTTTTTATAGGGATGTCCACGAAATTAAAACAGGGAAGGAGTAGTGGAAAAGAGCCAATTTCTGTTGCAATGAAGGAACAGGTAATGCTGTCACTATCTCTAATTGCTTTGCAAGCGTCTGATACTATTTTTGCAACTCGTTTCACCATCAGCAGGATCATGAACGAGGAGAAGGATGAAGATACTGCAAAACACCCCACTGAGATAGTATGAGCCTCGTGGATGAGCCCTACCTGCAGGGGTCTGTATGTCCACCTGGTTGCTGTCTGTCCCCACCATGTTGGGGCTGTCCTTGTCACAGTTGACCAATAGCACGGCCCCTTGCCCATCTGGTCCCCATGTCCAGTTGGCCTGGAGGAGAAATATCCAATGGGGATGGGAGCAAATCCTGAAAAACTCCTCCCTCCCAGGCCCCTCCCAGTGGTGGTTGGGATGGGAAAACACCACAGCCACAGCCATGCTCAGAGGAGATCCCACAGTGAGCAATCAGGAGAGTTTTGGCAGTGATACTATCAAGACTCTGAATTTCCTAACCTCACCTTGCAGCCAAGCCAACAAGAACTATTTCAAACAGATTTTATCTTCTAACAAGCCATGTTATATCTGTCAGACCTCATTTGAAAGAGAATATCCCATTTCTAGAAATGCATCTCATCTTGATGTACAATTTGTGCTGCCGATCAGACTGCAGTTAATTATCTGGGCGTAAGTGCTTGGGTATATGCAGATTTCTTGCCAAAGGGGTAAATCTCTTACTGTTTGCTAAACTTGCAGATGAGTCATTTAGTGGCACGTTTCAAATCCAAAAAGGAACAACAACAAAAAAAGTCATAGGGCTGGACTGGAGAGGCAAGACATTTTGGCACAAAATTAAAAAAAAAAAAAGTTTTCCTCCTCAATTAGAAGGCTGAGAATTTGCAGCGCTATTTTCCCTATTTCAGACACCACCCAAATCCCTCTCCTTCCTGGAGATTTTCCCCATGTTTTCCCCTCCTTGTGTTGCCCAAGCCATGCAATGTTTCCCATTACCTTGTCCTTCCCTTTGCTCCTCACTCTGCCATTACGGTTCACGTCCACGTCCAGGGATATATCTGAAATATCAGAGCAAGAAGTAAATCACTGGCATGAGCATGAGCAATCATGGACATTTTGGGCCCATCTTCACACCAGCAGTGAGTCATCCAATGCCAACTCCACCTTTATGCCCTAACGCTTGCCCATTCCAGGTATCTTCTCCCATCCCAGGTCCCCCAGCAAGGATACACCCACTTGTTTTCACCAGTTCATATTGGTGAAGTCTCATAGTTTCATCACTGGTGAAATAGAGTTTCACCAATTTCATGTTGACCATAGCATGTTTTTGTGAAGCCAAAGGCATGAAATGGGTGAATGGACACTTGGTAATTATTAGAAGTGGTGTAACATTTGAGAAAGACTCACCCCTAGAGAGCTCTTGGACCAAATTGCAGATTTACCAACAACCTCATCTCTAGCCTAGATAAAGCTTGTTTTGATATATATCCACCAAATGAGACAGCACGTGGAAAATGTGGGTGCTGAAGCAGAAATTGTCCTACTTGATTCAGAGAAGAAGACGTAAAGAAGCTGGGACCATAATTTTGGACATGAAGTCCTAAATCCAAGCAAGCAATGAGCTTTTGTAAGGTCAAAGCTCTGCGAACAGCGGTGGCCCTTGATGGCTCCAATGGAGCCCATGGATGTGGGAAACCATTTTCAGGGGCAATTTTGGCAAGCATGTGCATGACTTGAGGACACAGGTCTGGCTATCATGTGAGCACTTCAGAAAATTCCAAATTTAGGATAATTAATCCATCCAAGTGGAAGACTGCATCCAGACTAGTTGTCTAGACTCCCTTTGTAGTCAGCAGAGGAAAATAGGCATTTCAAGGGAATGATTCATCTCATCCTAAACTCCTAAAATAGGTCAGACAACTACACTTCTGTGCCTATTCCTCCCCACCAGCCACACTGGAAGTTAAGGATGGGCTTGCTGGTGGAAGGTAGGTGAAATGTCATCTTTGGATCCTCTTCCATCAATCAAATTGTTTCTTGGTGGTCAGAAGAGGCTGCTCATAGAGTGCATTGGGTGGAGACAGAGCCCAGCCTATGTCTTTTTTGCACCACGTAAAGCAGCACAAGAACATTTTAATTATTTCCCTCATGCTTGTCAGCATAAGCTGTCAACACCCAAACCTTGGCTGTATGTTGTGCATGGACAGCCTGCATCTCCACTTAAGTCCCATCCCATGAACCAAACGAGATTGTGGTATTGGAAAGGGTTGGCCAAGTTCAGATGAGTGTTGTCATAATACATACCTACACAGGTGAGGTACAACCAAGCCACTGAAATCTCATTCTCTTCCCGTCCATAGTATGAAATCTTAACCTGCAAAGACATCACCAGATTGTGACCCAAGTTCTGTGTCTCTTCATGCTGAGTAGGTCTTTTCATCCAGTGGGTTGGCCCAGCAATGCCATACAACAAGTTGTTGGAAGGTTCATCAATATCCTGCTGCTTTAATCATAGTTCAACCAAATAAGTTCTGCCAGCTTCAGCACAAAAACAGGCATAGAAAAAGACAAAGTTTGACTATTTGTTTTGCCTGACATGGAATTTCTGACACAGGCTTTTGCAGCCACCCTTATCTCCTTCTCCTTCTTAGATTGACTGTGTATGTGACAGTTGCACAATTCTGTGTAAGTCTGAGTTTATACTACAGAAGCATGTCTGATGTCAGCATTACCTAGAAATACTTGAGCCTGCCCATCATTCTTCTTACTTTCCTGGGAAAATTGACTAATATTTCCAGATTCAGTACATAAAAAGCAACTAACCTTATTGTCATTGACAGTCTTGCTGGTGACACCAATGGTCACTACAACCTCTATATCGGGATCCAGTGGCCATCTGGAGTTAAGCATGGGTTTTGTCATGGGGCTGTGGATGATGTGGACTGTGACGGCAGATGTGGCATGAACATCAAATGACGTGGCACCTTTAGGGGTAGATCTGAAACAGAGAGCAGCGTGGAAACATGGGCTGAGTTTTCTTTCCTCTTGTCCGCTGTAGACCCAAATTGTTAAAATAGGGTACCTAGAATTAAAATTCTGTAGGCATTCTACAGGCAATTCAAGGCCAGGCTGGATGGTATCCTTGGCAGCCTGATCAATTAGTTGGCCAACCTGCCCATGGCAAGAGGTTGGAACTGGATGATCTTTAAGGTCCCTTCCAATCTAAGCCATTCTATGACTCTATGAAAGTCCAGCCTTAAATGGGTCTTATGATTTGGAAACCATCTTCAGGTGATGAAATGCATCGCCTGAATTTTAAAAGCATTATCTCTGTGGCAGAATTGAGCAAGCAGAGTGCCATCACATCCGTCTGTGGTTAAGCCCCAATTGCACGTCTCTGAAGCTGAGGCACCCAACATCCCTCCCCAGCAGGAAGAGAACCCCCAAAATTTCAGCATTCCACCACAAAACCCAGACCAAGATTGGGGCTGGTTTTGATGTCACTCGTCATTGCCAGTCCACCCACTGACCTGAGAGATGCCCAAAGTGGAGCAGAACTTGAATTGGAGTACAGGCAGCCTTCACTCACCTGTATGACTTCCCTGGCCTTTGAAGTGCTGCCTACATGCTCATTACAGCCCCAGCACCTTCACACAGGCTGTGCGAGTGCTCCAACCTGTCTGCAAGGAGCCAACCTCCACAGCAATGCATGGAGAGGGACACAGTTTTGTAAATTTTAGCAGGGAGAAAACAACACAGAAGACATTTATCCCTTATGTTGCTCTTGGCATGGTATCCCTGATGCCTGCAGTAGCTTGTATAGGAAGATCAAAGCATCATCCCACTTGTCATGTGTTTACTAGCATGCAATGTAGCAAGCCTACCTGCAGTCTACCCATACACTGCATGCCATGACATCTCAAACTTGGATTTATTGGCTGTGATTTCATGGCCTTCATCCCTCTGCACAACCATGCTGAGATGTAAGCTCACTGAGCACAGGACTTCCACTGCACTTTGTCTTCTGCCCCAAACCAGTCCAACCCATGGGCAAGTGTCTGTCACTGAATTTTCTCCAGCATAGAGAGGGCTGTGTAGGCATAGAATATCTCCTGTTTTTCTAGCCCTGATGTTGAAAGAGCATCTGCCATGTGCCTATCTGCCATATGCCTTTTAAGACCAAAGCTCAGATTTGCTACCAAGGAGCCAAATCAGCTCCTTTTAGACTTAGGTCACATGCTTAAATGGGATTGAGCTTGTTTTGAGTTGAAATTGCGAAAAAATAACTCAAGTATGTATGTTTTACGTATTCCCATTTGGCTGAGGGTAAAACTAATAGGTTTTAAGGGCAGCCTCATTGGGGGATGTCAGCACCTCCCAGCACAGCTCCAATATACAATCCAAATAATTGCCCCGGCTGTGATCCCAACTGGCTCGACCTATAGCCACTATCATTATGGATGTAATTTATTAAATAATGACAATGTAAGAGGAGGGCAAATACCTCATATCTGGGCAATAAAGCAACCCCTATGTTTAACATCAGAAAAATCTCATTATGTAAACCATGCAAACCCTCTCATAGATTTTTTATGCCTGAGACACACATTTGTTCTTTAACCCAGATTAGCTCTGAACAAGTTGCTCATCTTGAATTGCTGTTGCCCAATGCTCTCTCTGCCAGAAATAGATCCCACTTAGCTGGGGTGTGCATGGGCTTTGCCTGTGAGTCGTCATTGCTCGGCTACACTTTGATGCCTTGCTTTTGTTAGATTCAATATCCCTCCTTCAGGCATCCTAAAGAGACCCACTGGCACATGTCCTTTATGCTTCTGTATATGGAACCACCATGAGATCTTTCCCCTTAACACCCTTTGCAAAGACCAAAAACACGCAAAGCCATTGGTTGCCTCCAAAACCCATCATCCCTATGGATTGCGCCTTGACCCCGAGCCTTACCGGTGGGTGTCAAGGAAGACCTCACTGCCCAGTACGCAGACTCCGTAGCTGGCATGACTGGTAGACATCTGCACGACCTGGCGCTGGGACATGGTGTGCTGGGGACGGCAGCTGCATGTGAAGAAGATTGCTGCCTGGTTGCCCAGCTTTGTAGGTGAACCAGCATGACTGGATTAAAAGGCTGGGGAATGTAACTCCTCCTTCCTCCCATCCCTCGATGACGATGGGGTGGACCAGGGACCCTGCCATCTCCACCTCCGCCATCCGTGAAGCTGCCGCCCCGCTCTGTGATGCTGGCGATAAGACAGCCCCTGGGGCCGGGTGGTAACTGTGGGGCCAGGAAGGGGGTACAGGGCAGAAAGAGTGGGGGATGCACAGCACTCAGCTTTCAGGGCTCATTCTCCCCTTTCTGTTCTCACCTCCCTTATAGTTACATATAAAGAGTCCAAAGCTTTATGCATTAAACATTTCTACCCCTCTTGTTATGCAAGAATTGTTTAGGGTTATTATAACACATGGTATCATTAGAATGATGCATTTTCTTTAAAACAACCCAGATTTCCCATGTGGTGACTCATGGCCCCAGCTACCCCATTAGGGCAATGCCTGTGTAACGCTGCAGCAAAAGGAAATGTTTGCTCAGGTTGGTCTTTCCCTCCCTAACGACTCCTGGGTAGCAATGGGTGCAGGGAGAACTGGTTATTTGGCAAGCAAGGAGGCAAAGAAAAAAAGAAAGCAAAACAAGGCAAGCAACTTCCAGTGGAAATTAGGGATTCCTGGGTGTTTTGCTTGCATGAGGCATTTGAGGAATTGTTTTTGTGTTGTTTTTTTTGTTGTTGTTGTTTTTGGTTTGGTTTTTTTGTTGTTTTGTTTTGGTTTTTTTTGGAAGCTCCCATGGGAAATGCGCTGGCTGCTGGAAAAAATAGCTTTTCTTGGAGATAGTCATCTCACTCTGGGCAATCCCAGGAGACTTCGCTAGCCAGCAAAGAGGAAAACTGGGTGAGATGGGTCTTGGTGCTCCTCCAGGAGGGAACTTGGGCTGGGATGCAGGCATGTCCCATGGATGAAGAGGAACAGGGAGATGGGGAAGCTCCATCATCATGGATCTCTTTGGTGAACAGACCAAGAACCCCACTGTGGTTTATTCCATTGCAATATGGATGATATGACATGGTAACAGCACAGTCCCCATTTCCATGGGGCAATACCCTAGCACTCCATGGCAGCTGCCTGGAACGTCTCTGAGCAAGGCTACATGAAAGGGCTCCTCCAAGCCTAACTGTGGCAGCAAGAGCACCAAGTCTTGCATGCTGGCACAGCGTTAATACAATCAGCAGAGCCTAACCTGGTGGCCGGGATGCTCAAGAAGGGAATGCTAGCTGCATTTATAGCCTCTCCAAAACCCTGGTGTGGGATCTGGGGCAAAATCCCATGTCCTGAAGCCCAGCATAAGACAAACTCATGGTGTTCATAGATTTATGAAGAGTGACATTTGTATATTGGAGCTGTGTTAGCTCTCAAATTCTATTCTGAGAAAGTTTTAAGGACTCCTGTATCCCTAAGGCCCATCAAGCTGCTTCCAAGCAGATTCATCATGAGATTTTGGCCAAGACCACATCTTTTCATCTGTTTTTTTTTTTTTTTTTTTTTTTTTTTAAGCTCTATATAAAGCTTCATGCTGTATTTCCCAGTGGTCGCACTGGTTTAGACTGGGCACAGTGCTGAGCTCTCCGCCTCCTGTGATTTTGGCACCACATCCTGCTCAGCTGGTTTGAGCCCTGTACTGGACAGGGAACACACCTACAGCCCCACGGGGCCATGCTGTGTGTTCTGTAATCTGCAGGCAGGCGGAGGATGGAGCTTTCTGGCTCCCAAGGCTTGGGCACAGGGCTCTGCTCCCTCAAAACGCATCCATCAGGGACAAAGTTATAGGGCCAAAACATCATGTTTGTGTAGGGTTTGGTGCAATTTTTTTTTTTCCATGGACAGACTCAGCTTTAATCACAGTGCATTTTTGGCTGTCGGTCCTGCCCCAGCAGCCCATCTTTGTGTGTGTCAGCTACATCCTCCTTTTACTCCTCCACCTACTATTGGCACCAACATGCCCATGCATAAAAATCCCACTTTTAAGCCATCTGACCCATTCAGGACTGAGTGTTTCTCCCTAATAATACCCTGTCCCAAGAGGCTGCCATTAAGGGTCATGGTACAATATCTCACAATTCCCTGTGCTTCTTCAACAGACCCAATTGCCCCTTGGTTTTGGGGTGACCTTGCTTTGTTCCCCTCAAGTTGGATCCTTTCATCCACTACAGGGCAAGACAGGACCCCCCACAAACATCCCAGACTCCACAGGGCATCTTTTCCCCTCTCACCCTTCCTGCACTGCCACTCAGTAAAGGAAAGTTTGATAATCTCCCTAAGCCGATAATTACACCTCATTTATTACTCTGCATGTGTAATTGCAGGCAGCAAATTTTGAGAGCCTTGTCAGCCTAATTACTGGCAACAGGGGAAGGCATCGAACCAGTTATCAAGTCCCGTTCCTGTCTGCGTGAAGCTCTGTGCTTAGGAGCATCCCATGCATTGCATCAGGCACTGCATCCCCTGTCCTGGCTGAGATTTGGACCAGCAAAAAATGCTTTGAAAAGTGATAAAACCAGACATTGCCTCTGCTTGGAATGGCATGGTTGCACCTCCTCATCACAAATTGTCACTTTGAGCAGATGCCATGGGGTCCCTCATGTCTCCCTCCTACTCCTTGCTATCACGCACCTGCCTTCAGGGCTGCAGAACTGTGTGCATGAGAGCCCACACAGAGCAGCTGCTTGGGCTGTTTGCATACTCCGTGCTGCTATTGATCCCTGTCCCCAAAAATTAGGACAGACAGAGATCCATCAGCAGTGAGGATGCTTATGCAGAGCAGTTCCTAATCTGATTGTTAAAAACCAGAGAACTCCTCTGACCAGAATGACTATAGCAGTGAAACCACGAGCCTCCAGACATCAGCGAGTGAATATTTATATTCGCACACACGTCCCACGATGGTTCACCAGCTCTGATCTCCCACCTGATAGCACAGAGCAGCTTCTGCCTTTTGTAAAACCCTGTTCCTGCTGTATAGACCTCAGAACGATCACCTCTTTGCAGAGATTCCCACAGTCCTTCTTCCCCTTATAGAAGTATTGCAAGAAGGTGCTTTGTAGAAGCTCCCAATAGCTTGCAGAGTTGTAGAGCCTTGCACAGACTTACAGAGACTAGCTAAGACCATACACCTTTTGCAAAGAACCCAAGAAGTTTGCAAAGAGCCCCTAAGACTTGCAAGGATCCCAAGAAGATTGCAAAGATTTGCACAGCCTTACAAAGAACCCAGAAAACTTGCAAAGACTGTGCAGTTTCCAAAGAGCCTACACAGCTTGCAAAGACCCCAAAGTTCTGCAAAAACCCTGGCAAGATTGCAAAGACTTCAGGAGGATTGCAAAGAATCTCAAAGACTTGCAGAGAACCTGCCCAGTTTCCAAAGACCCCAGGAGGATTATAAATGACCCCAGAAGGCTTGCAAAGAATCTCAAGGTTTGCAAAGACTCTGTCCAGTTTCCCAACATTCCAGAAGGCTTGCAAAGACCCTTGGAAGCTTGCAATGACACCAGAAGGCTTTCAAAGAACCCCAAAGCCACGCTAAGACCCTCCCTTTCCTGGGAAGGCTGGAAAGACCCCAGTCTCCTTCCACATAAATTTCTCAAAGGCAAAAACCAGTCCAGCAGCAAACATAACCCTTTGAGCAGTTGACCCTGGCTAGCAACCCAGCCACCCTCCTCCATTTTTGCCCCAAATCAGGACTTTCCCCAAAACTCCAATAGCCTGGATGCTCCTTGGTGTTCATGTGGTCCTCCTTCCATGTCTCCATATGTCATCACTCTAGGGATATAAATACATCTATCTCTACATAAAGTCACAGAAAACCAGTGAGCAGCTGGAAATTCTCCCAACGACTTAACTGCAAGTGAGGGGGTGATCCTGGGGTCTCTGCACACAATGAGAGGTGTTTGGGGTTGTTTTCTTAATAAGAAAGCACATTCATTTTTGCATGTGCAAAAAAGAGCAGCAAAATCCTTTTGTAAAATCCTTGCTTGCTCAGGTCATGGGAAAAATGAAATAAAAGGAACTCACTTCAGATGGGAAACTGGATTTAAGCTCATTTCCTATGGCCAGGTCATGGAGAGAGAAGAGAGCTAAAAAAGAAAAGCCCAAAAGCAATGCAAAAAGGGCAGATCAAACCAACCCTTTCTGCTCCTTGCTCTCTAATTGCTTACAGCAGGTTCTTCCAAAATCTGGGGCAGAAGGTTGGTTTCCAACATGAATATTCAGCTCAGGGATGAAAACGCCCACGTGGGCTGTCGGCATGGGCCTGGCCACGGCGCCGAGCCGGGCAAAGGGACGCGAGCCAAAAGCAAGCAGGGCAGCGCCCTGCTCTAGCCTTGGGGTTGGTAAATTTTGTGTCTTCCTCCCTAATATTTTCCCTAGAGAGCAGGAAGGAGTGTAGGAGGCAGAGAAGCTTGCAAACCCCAATGTGCTGCTGCAAAAAATGCCTCCAAGGTCATCTTGCATTCACCCTGTTGAGAGGATTGTCCCATTTTGGTGCACAGGACTGGGAGTGGGGTGGCACCAAGCCAGCTGCCCTCCCCCTCCATCCCTTCCCTCCCTCCTAAGATCACTTTCCTGTAGATCTGGAGGGTCCTGTATTGGGGTGAGGGCTTCATAGTCAGCATCACAAGCATTGAGTGTTCTGAAGGTGGATTGATTCGTTCTGGGTGGTTGGTCGAGGAAGGGAGGAAGACACTCTGTGCAGCGTACCCATCACCGGGGCATCCCGGCAGCGAGATGCCACGGGAGCGCACACTGCGGCTGCAGCCTGGGAGCCGCATCCACACACTGTGTGTGCTGGGCACTCACATCGCCACCGACGTCTACGGGTGAGTGGGGTGTGGTGTCCCCCCAACCCCAAACCCTTTTCTCCCTCTGCAAATTCCCTCCAAAGCCACAGTTTGGTGATTTGATGCAATCCATCAGCACAAATCCTCAATGGGCTTTGCAAAGCTGCACAAATCCCAAAACCCTTAAGTGTCAGCATGTGCATGCGTTTGCAAAGGCAGTGGGTTTGGTCCATATCTCAGAAAATTGCTGGAGAGCATTGGGATAAGCTGGGATGGGGCATTTTGAGCAGTATCCGTGGGGACAAATGGCAAAGAAAGGGGAGGAAAGCAGCAACTGGGGAAAATCTGCATCTTGCAATGTAACCCCCATGCCCCTACTGGAAAAATTCCAATGCTGCCCTTCAAGGTAATTGCAAGAAAAACAAAGGAGACATGCTTTGATCCCTGTGCTCACCCAGCTGCTTTTGCAAATCTTGACCCAAACAGCGCATCTGGCTTCCCTCTGGGTCCAACCTCCTCCTGGTGGGATTCCCCAGGCTCACAAACTCAGTGAGTTTTGCATGGGTAATTAAACAGAAAAGAGCAATTTAAGAAATGTCCAGGCAGCAACAAGCAGGCTCTCAGGTTTCCACACTCAGAATCCCAATAAATGATGCTGTAACAGTGATCCTGTGCCAGTGCTCGGATGTCAGTGCTCAAAGGGAGCCTGGATTTCAGGAGACTAAAAAGAATAACTCCAGATAAATGAGAAATTAGGGATGGGAGAAGTGAGGGGGATGCAAGGGAAAAGCTATTTGGACTAGAAGTGGTGCTTTGGCTGTAATAAAATCATCCCCAAAATTCGAGTTTCCCCATGGTAAAATTTCTCAGCTTGCTGCTCCGATCTGGGAAACTCTAGTTGGCAAATAAACACAGATTTAAAGTACACACCAAGCTGGTCTATTGGGTTAGAACAGCACAAAATACTTTGGCTGTAATTACAGAAAATGGCAATCTGCACCAAAGGCTACAACAGTCATTTTGCTAAAATAGCACGTTCTGCCCTAAAAAATAAAACATTTAAAACATTCCCAGGCAACAAAGAAAGGTAGAAAGGAGGTGGTGATGAGCACAGAGTCACGCAGTTTGGGTGATGAGATTAATTACAATTGGGTAATTTTGGGTGCCAGATGTGCAGACCTATGAAAATAGGGTGCTCAGACCTTTGAAAATAGGATGCCTTGCTTGCAGGGCAGCCCCAGCCGGGGCAGTCGCCTTTGGGGTGAAGCACACAGAGGGGGTGAACGTGGAGGTGGCTTTTCAGGGCCAAGCTGAACCAGGACTACTGCCTGGTGTGTCGCATTGGCCACTGAATGAGGGAACAATGCTGAGGTTCAGCATAAGCCGGGCCAGCACTGAAGTCAATGACAATAAGGTAAGAATTTGTGTGCTGCATGCTGGACCCCTTCCCTAGCTGGAGGTGGAGAGCATCCTTCTAAAAGTGAGGGGATTTCGGTTTTTCAGGTAATTGTCATCTTCTATGCAGAGGGAGGACAGCCCATTGACCAAGCCAGGATCTTCCTCACTGGTATTGGTGAGTATGAAGACTCCAGCTATGAGTGGGTTTGCTAGGTGGAGGAGATCATTTACAAGTACACCGTGTGCCCTACCTTGGATTCAGGGATCTCCCTGGACGTCGATGCAGATCGAGATGGCGTGGTGGAAAAGAACAATCCCAACAAGGTAACCCAGCTACATGGGAAGTTCTGTGGCCTGCAGGAGCCTTGTCAGTGGACACAGCATCCCCATCACACTGAGCCCTGGCATGGTGTTACAGGCCAGCTGGATGTGGGGACCTGAGGGACATGGGGCCATCCTGCTGGTCACCTGCGACAGGGACAGCCCCTTGAGCCCTGCCCCAGACTGTGATGACGAAAGGGTATTCAGCAAAGAAGGTAACACAGCCCCAGTCCCAGCTCCACTTCAAAAATAAAGTGAAATCAGAGCTATTCCTCCCTCTTTAATTTTTTGAGGCACAAAGGCTTGTTGGGGAATTGGCTGCTCTCTGCCCTGACTCAGCCAAGCTGCTGAGTAAGCCTCCCATGTGGGATCATGCTCCTGTCCTCATACTTTGTTTTAATTACCACCCAGAGGTCATACCAGGGCACAGAGCATGGCCAAAAAAAAACAAAAAAAAACCAGCAGGGCTCAGCCAAGGGATGCTTGGGGCCAGGCAGCCAGGAATACATGCCTGTTCCTGGAAAACCAAACCATGCCAAGCCAGTGCCCATCAGTCTTCTGAGGCCAGGGACTGGCTGTGCCAGGGAGAAAAAAAATAAAGGTATTTGTGCCAAGCACAAGCCACAGGTCTTGCTAGCAGGGCTTCAGGATGATATTCCAGCATGCATGCCAAGGTTGGTAACAAGGAAAGCGCACATTGCCGGGCACTGGGCAGCAGAGCTGCACCCAGGTTTATCCTTGTATGCACCCAGATTTGCTGGATATGTCTCGGATGGTGTTGCGGATCGAAGGGCCACAGCATCTGCCCCGAGGGTATGAAATTATGCTCTACGTTCACATGTCTGATGCTGACAAAGTTGGGGTCTTCCATATGCAGAGTAAGTCTTCTGGTTTGGGATGTTTTATCTCCACAAGCTCATCTTCCTGTCACTGATTTTGTTCAGTCTGTACTCCCCAGTCTGCACTTCCTTGTGCCCACATCATCCCTTCCCTTGGTCTTTCTAGCCTTGAATCTTCAAGAGGCATAGGGTGGTAAAGCCATTTATCCAAGGTCATCCAGCAAAGCAGAAGCAAAAAAAAAAAAAGAAACCATACACGTCCTGACATCCAGAGCAAGTAACATGCTCTGAGGCATAATTCCTCCTTGTTCCCTGCTGTGGACATGCTGTTTTGTTCCTTGGACTGACCCAGCCCAAACAGATGTGCCATTAAATCCATCAACACAGGGTTGGGTGGCAGGCTGGGGTCGGCCAGGGCAGAAACCCCATGAGAATCTCTTTGCAATGCTGGCTCCATCCAAGGACAGGCTTTCAGACACCCTGTTCACGATTGCAAAATCCCAAGTGCTGAGCTACTCTTCCAAGGTGCTTGCTTCCAACCCACAGAGTTTAACCTTTGGCATAAAAGGATGACGGAAATTTCTTGTGCATGGGCAGAACAGGTCCAAACCCATCAGGAATTCTGGAATTGGCCTGCTTTTGCTGAAATTGCCCTTTTGGTCCTTGCAGACCCGTTCTTTGGGCAGCACTATGTCCATGTGCTGGGCAGGAGGAAGCTGTGCCACATTGTGCAGTATACCGGTGGAGCTGCCGAGCTCGAGTTCTTCGTTGAGGGGCTGCAGTTTCCTGATGAGACTTTCCCTGGGCTGATCTCCATCCACGTCAGCCTCTTGGAGACCTTGGCTGAGGTTGGGGTCTCCAGGGAAGGGGGGCAGGGGAAGGATGAAACAACTCAAGGGCCATGGGGATGAGGAAGGAATAATTATCCTAAAATGAGCTCAGGATAGGGTATCCAGGGGGGGCAGTGGTAAATCAGGAGAGGAAGGTCCCTGATTTCTGTTTGCATCCTCCAGGGAATCCCCTTGTCGCCAATTTTCACTGACACAGTGGTGTTCAGGGTAGCACCATGGATCATGATGCCCAACACACTGGCACCGGAGAATGTCTTTGTCTGCAGGTATAGGCCAAGTGATGGGGTCTCAATGGCTAAATGGGCATCGGCCCCACACAGCAGTCCTCATCCCCATTCTGCCCACCTCCAGTGTGAAGGACAACTACCTCTACATCAAGGAGATCAAAAACCTCGTCAACAAGGCTGGCTGTGACCTGAAGGTTTGCTTTGGTTACATCAACCGTGGGGACCGCTGGATGCAGGTAGGTGAGCAGAAGGGAGGGGATAAAGCCTTCCTTTCCCAATGTGCCTCATGGGGGTCTTCATTCTTGTTTTAGGATGAGATCGAGTTTGGCTACACCCAGGCTCCCCACAAAAGCTTTGCAGTGGTGCTGGACTCCCCCCAGGACACAGGGCTGGAGCAATTCCCCATAAAGGAGCTGCTGGTAACCCCACATACATTATTATGGATTACATGAAAGATGAGAGTATAGTACCATTTCTCCCCTACATGGAGCAGAGGACTCCAGCCAAGAGTGTATTTCTTCATTCCCAATATGAGAGCAATCATTTAGATTGGAAATGACCTTTGAGATCAAGCCCCAAAACCAACCTAACCTACAGAGTTCTACCACAAGCCATGTTCTGCTCCTCTCCACCCTCTTTAGGAATTGCCTTGCTTCATATTTAGAGAAGCAACTTCAGCCCCTGGAGCTGCCAACATGTTACACTCCAATTTCTGCTTTGGAGTCCCCCCTAATCCCACTGTTATCTTCCCAGTCTCAGACAGGACTGTATAGCCAAACACAAGGCAGCTCCTCCTCTCACACAGCCACAGCCTAAGCCCTGCAACCCCCCACCAAAGAAAAAGGAGACCGGAGGGAATTAGCCTGTCAGAATCCTTCTGGAAATGATAGGCTCAGATGCTGCCCACAAACTTGGGATGAACCACCACCTAGACAGCTGAACCCTCCTGGTTCATTTAATTGAAATGGGTGGGAGCAGGTGTTACATGCTCAGTGCCTCTTATATTTCCCAGATTCATTTAAAAACAAAACAATTTGGTTTTTTTTTTTTTAAAAAAAAAAAACAACCCAGACTATAATTACATACCTTTGGGTGTCTTGGTTCTATTTTCCCCAAATTGTACGTTCCTCCCCCCCTTACCCCCCCCATAAGCACATCCCTGCTTCATTTCTGTCACCTTGGGGTGACACTGAGGTTGCTGCATCCAATTGAAGCTGGATTTGGCAGGATGCCTATGCAGGACAGAGTAGTACACTGCGTGCATATCCATTTACTGCAAACACCCTGTGTCCATTCCAGCAAATTAGGAGAAATTTGTGTTAACTGAAACACTCCGATGGTTTACTGCTAAGGAAACCCAACACTCAGAGATTTAATGGAAAACAACAGCTATCTGATCCTGTCCTAGCCCACATTGGCTTAAAACAGAGAACAAGGACAAGATTTATGCCCCCAATGCCACTTTCACCCTGTTTGTAGGACTACAATCTCCCCCCTGGCCATCAGCCCCTGGCACAACCCAGCAGTAGCACCACAGGTTAATTACCCAACACCTCAAATCCCTGATATATTCAGTTCTGAAAATCAGGCTTAGATGAGATTTAAGCAAAGCCAAGCCCTTCGGGTGGCTCTTATGCCTGAGGAGGATTTACCTTCAGGTGCTGGAGCTCATCCCACTGTGCACCAGCCAGAAACTCCACTTTATGTCTGCTCCAGCATCTAATCAACTTAACATGGATGCTTAAACAGCAGTTGCAAGCTAGCAGAGACCCACGCTTCTAGCATTCACCACTTATTACTGAGCCCAGATGCCCCAGGCACTCTCACTCTTGCTTTTCCTTTAAGGCTGTATCGCCCTCTCCTCAGTATTTTCACCTACTGGAACAGATCTGAGCCCAGCAGGAGGAATAAGGACACAGACAAACCCAGAGCAATGCCCACAGCCATTTCTCATTTCTCTGCAGGGACCTGATTTTGGCTATGTACGCAGAGAGCCTCTCTTCAAGGCCATCTCCAGCCTTGACTCCTTTGGCAATTTGGAGGTCAGCCCGCCTGTCACTGCTGCAGGGAAAGAGTACCCGCTGGGAAGGATCCTCATTGGCAGCAGCTTCCCCATGTAAGATATGGGAAACCTGTGTTTGGGCGCAAATATGGGAAACCTGTGTTTGGGGGCAAAGGAACTACAAGTACCCCTAAATACTATTAAAAACCACATTAAGCCACTTAATTGGCCATTCAGTGACCAACTGCACACTGTCCCCTTACAGTGCTGGTGCGCTTAATCCCACTGCCTTCATTGTCTCCATCTTGGGAAAAATTTGTGTGCATGTGCATAGTGATGGATAAATACTTATTCCCCTGTGTAAGATCAATAAGTACACAAATGTTGTAAAGTGTTGTATGATCAATAAGTATACAGAAAAGTTAGGCTGGTAAGATTATCACATTAGAAAAGATAATCACATTGGAAAGAGATAAATGAAAAGTACTCACCAGTGCTGTAGGCTCACAAGAAACTCCACAAGGAAAAATCTCCAGAGAGACATCCTTCCCAGCGGCAGTTAGCCCTTAAATGGGATCTAGGAGAGGTGCAGCCAGGCTCCACCTCTTCTGATCACACAGCTGAATTGCCTTCACCTGTGCTCCTGCGACTGACTCAGTGCTCACCTCAGGTGATCAATCAGAGGTTCAGGCCGTGATTCAACAGTTCCCATACACCCTTATTCTCCCTCTCAGGGATTATTGCATTGAGGGATGTAGATAACTGGGCACCGTGGTGATGGGTTGATGGTTGGACTTGATGATCTTGGTGGTCTTTTCCAATCCTAATGACTCTATGACTTTGCCTCCAGCCCTGCAGGAAGGAGAATGACCAGAGTGGTACGGGATTTCCTCTTCGCCCAGCAGGTGCAGGCTCCCGTGGAACTCTTCTCCGACTGGTTGGCCATGGGCCATGTCAATGAGTTTGTCACTTTTGTGCCCAGCTCTGATGCAAAGGTACCCCGAAACCCTGTGCTGTCCTGTTTTCCCTTCTGGGTAACTAATCCCCTCAGGGAAACTACCAAAGCTCATTTCCTTGAGAGTCCAAGCTGGTGTTTCCTTGGCTTCTCTCCCATGTCCCCAGAAGGAGGGCTCAGGCCACGAGAACATACGTTCTTAACTAACAGCAAAAGTCTTTATGTTTAAGAACTTAACCTTAACCTTCTTGCAAAAAGCCAAAAATGAGCCTGCAGGGGCAGTTTTCACAGAAAGAAGTACTAACATGGTGCTTTGGGATAAGCTCCTTTTGGTGACCATTTTTCCTCCTGCTTGCCCCAGCGATTTCGAATGCTGATGGCTAGCCCTGCAGCATGCTACAAGCTCTTTCGGCAGAAGCAGAAGGAGGGCCAAGGTGAAGCTACCATGTTCAAAGGCAAGCGGGCAGCGGGCAGCCTGGGGGGAATTGTGCAAATCCCAGCCAGGGTGGGTGGAAGCCTGCTGTTCCCTGTCCTTAAAATACAAGTTGAGCTTTGATGTAGGGCAGGACAGTCCAAGGGCGGCAGCACTCAACACGTATGGAGCAACGTGCAGGTGTTGGGGACGTGAGGAAGGGGACATTTTCCCATTCCATTGCCCTTCAAGGCTGACAAGAGGGGCTGGCATGCCTGTCCTTGCAGCAGGATGCCTGCCCACCCTCAAGCCCTATTTTGGGAAAGCGAGTAGGATGGGATAAAGCTCTGTGCATTGAGAGGATGCTGGTGGAGTGGTACAGAAGATCTCTGTAAATGCCAGATCCAGCAGAGTAGCACAATGGGGGGTCTCGTGTCACCCCAGATACATTCCAGTCACTCTGGACTGGCAGACAGTTTGTGCAGCCTCTGATCCAAGTTTTGCTTGAGTTTAAATTCATCTGTATGCATTGAGGTCAGAGAAGGACATCTGTGCCACCATAGGGCCCTCTGGGACTCTGCCATCTGTCTGGGATTTGGTTTCTGTGGAGGGGATGCGTCTAGTTTTATGGAGCTTGGGCAGCACAAAAACTGTTATTCTATTAGCAATATATTTATATTCCTTGTGCAGGAAAATGGATAATCATAGAATCATAGAATGGTCTGGGTTGGAAGGGACCTTTAAGATCATGTAGTTCCAACCCCCCTGTTATAGGCAGCAATACTTCCCTCTAGACCAGGTTGCTCAAAGCCCCATCAAGCCTGGTCTGAGACCTTTCTAATGCTTTCCAGGCCTGATGAAAATATTACAAAATGGACAAAGATTTCCATCCTGCCTTGTTTCCCAATAAGCTGAGAAATGGGACTCCCAGCAGTCTCATCCCAAAGCCTTAACCTCAGGGAACTGGGATCTGGGGGCTTTTTTTCCACCTCTGTGCTACATCCTAAGCCAGGTTTCTGCAGGCATCATTTCATTTCACCTACTGGGGTTTGTATTTGTAGGGTATTCAGGGACAGACACAAAACGGGTGACCATTAACAAGGTCCTTTCCAATGGCATCATGATGCAGCAGAATCAGTATGTCCAGGTAACAACCCATATTTTTGAAAACCAACATTTCTTGTGATAATGGTCCAAGGGTGGCACAACTCTCAAGGGAGAAGTTGCATTTAGGCAAAAGTCACTCTCCTTCTGAGTGAGACAATGTCCAGAAGGCCATTTTCAGGAACCTTGCTTGCCTGCTCGTCCCCTTGGTCCCTTCTTCTCCCCTCCCTCCAGCGCTGCATTGACTGGAACAGGGACATCCTCAAGAAAGAACTGGGCTTGACAGAAGAGGACATCATTGACCTGCCAGCCCTCTTCAAGCTCGACAAGGGCAAGGCCATGCCATACTTTCCCAACATGGTGAGAGGTGTCCCTGCTGCTCGTGTCCCCTTCAGCCAGTGCCTGTGGGTTCTGGGTTATGGAGAGGAAAAATTGCCAAACCTCTGTGAGCCCCTGCTCCCCAAGGATGTCCAAAAAGCATAGTATTTTCCTGTCCAGAAAGGGCTGCTGGGAGTCCCTAAAGCCTTTTGTCGCCCCACAGGTCCCCATGCTCATCCTGTCCGAGGAGCTGGGCATCCCCAAGCCCTTCGGCCCGCTGGTGGGAGGTGAGTGCTGCTTGGAGCACCACGTGCGCAGCCTCCTGGAGCCGCTGGGCCTGAGGTGCCGCTTCCTGGAGGACATTTCCTCCTACCACGGGCGGCTCGGCGAGGTGCACTGCGGCACCAACGTCCACCGCCGGCCCTTTGCCTTCCGCTGGTGGCACGTCACACCTTAAGCAGGCTGCCTCCATGGCCCACTTTGTTAGCATGTGTTGTTTTAAATGCGGTGAAATAATAAATTTGCTGTGAGAAATGAGGTGGGGAGTGTTTTATAATGGTGAGAACGGTGAGAGGAGCGCTCCGGGTGGCACTGAGGTGAGGGTGCCATTTTGGGCCTTGCACTTCCATTTTGCTGGCTGAGCACTGAGGCCTTGACACCTCCTCTGTAAAAAAAAATGAGGATAGGGATCACCTCTGAGTATGAGGAGGGACGCAGCGGTCTGCCAGCTCCCGAAAATGAGGGGATCCAGGCGTGCTGGTCCACCACATCCTCCCTGTGCCACACTCAACATGGCACCCCTATACACCCAGAATGGCGACCAGCGGCAGGGCGCCACCCTCAGAGAGCACTTCTGGGGCGGAGCGGAACTGCGCAGCGCCAAAATGGCGGCGGCCGTGTTGGGAGTCTCCTTGAGGCGCGGCGTCCCCGCGCGGCTCCTGAGGGCTGGGCTGCGGCCGGTGAGGGGACTGGAGGCGGTCCGGGGGGTGTGGGGCAAGGGATAAATGGCCGGAGGAGTGAGGGGAGGGATAATGGGAGGATGTCGGGGGGCTGCAGGAGGGCGTGGGGGAAGGTTGGGGGCGGGGGGAGCCCAGAGGGGCCTGGGAGGGATTGGAGGGGGCGGGGACGATGACGACAGGATGCAGTGTAGGAAGGGAAGAAGTTTCGGAGGGATTAGGAGAAAGGGGGTCTGGGGGAGATGGGCTGTGTGAAGGGCACTGGAGGGGGTCTAGGGGATGAAGAGGAGTGGAGAAGGGGCGTGGGGAGGGTCTGGGGGAGATGGAAGCTGAGTGAGATAGGGGATCCAGAAGGGGATTGGAGAAGGATGTGGGGACAGGAGAAATGTAAGTGGGGTCTGGGGGCCCTTTGGTCCAGAGCAGGGTGGGGTTGCGGCAAGGAGCTTCTGAGGGGATCTGTCGGGCTGTGGCAAAGCCTTCAGGGCTGCGGGGCCCACAGGAGCATCCCTGAGTTGTCTTCTTAGTTTCGGCATCATTCTCTGTTTTAAAGAAGAGGAGGGAGCCCCAGCAGAGAGGTGGCTGTAGGTGCCAAAGTGCACTGCTGTGTCAAATCCTTGGAAGGATTCTCTGTACATGTGCCCAAATGCCAAGCCAGCAATGGATCCCCTAGCTCTGGCCCCAAAACTCACTGCCTCAAGTCATTTTGTTGCCGGCTAAAAGCCACCTGGAGGGACCTAAGGGCTGTTTTGCTGCTGTTCAAATGCAGATCTGTCGAGGAGCTCAGACAGCGGCTGCAGCTACATCACGTATCAAGAAGTTTTCCATCTACAGATGGGATCCCGATAAGCCTGGGGACAAGCCTCGTATGCAGACGTATGAAGTGGATTTGAATAAGTGAGTGTACCTGATTACAGAGCGCTGCTTGGCTTCCCTGGCATGCAGACGTGTCGGGGCTGCATGTGCACACAGGTTATCTGACAAGCAGTAATTCAGGGTAGCTGAGAAGTGTCCAAGTTAACAACTGAGGGTGTCAGCAGTCTCATTCAGCTTCAGGCATTGTTAAAACCTTGTTACGGTAGCCAGAGAGGCAGTGCCTCAGATGTGCTATGCAGCAGGACAATACAGGGGTGTTATTTCCTGATAAAGCAAATCTTACTGAGACCACGTGGGATCATTTCCCTTCCCTCACCTGTTGATGCCAATTATGACAAGTAAAATTGTATTGTGAATGCCACTGTCTTGGTATCTGTCAGCAATAAAATGGTAACAGCTATATTTATATGGTAAATTTTGGGGCATATTCCAAAATGAAGCAATTTTACTCATAGCTCACAGTCCCAGACCTTGGAGATAAGGTGGAGATTTTACTGTCTCTTCTTACAGTTCTCTTAACATGTAATATGGCCAGCAAACTAGAAGTAATTAAACTTCTAGTAGCTGCTTGTATGCCCTAGTGGAGTTATCACCAAGAAAGCTCTCATTTCTCAGTGATCTTGTGAAAGGGTACAGTCTTCCCTGTGGTGTAGAAACCTTTGCATGGGCACACGTGCCTCCACTTCCTTGAGCTCCTGTTACTATGGTCTTGCCAGAGGAATTCACCTCAAGCCCTTACTGAAAGCTTCAGATACAAAGCCATGCAGCTCTGCTTGGGAAGCACGTGACAGAAATCAGACTTTGCTGCTTTGATTTGCCCCAGTTAATAATTTCTAGGTGTTGTCTTGTCTGCTATATATAAAATTACATAAGTTGTCCAAGACTTTGCTTTTGCAAGCTGCACTGCCTCCTGTGACTAATGAGGATAGGCAAACTTGTCAAAACCTGACTTAAGAGGTGAGAGCTTCCAAGATTGTTTTCAGTTGTGCTGTCTGAACTGTCTCCAGCAGAGCCAAATCTGGGCCTCAGCAAAAGAAATGGCTCCTGTCCCGCTTTGACCCTGGGGAGAGATGAGGCATGTGAGTTGTGCCACTGAGCAAGTGATCTCTATCTTGTTGCAAAATATAGTTTTAATTGTAGTTGAGATGAAAGTCCTTTTAGTTGCTTCTTAGTTGGTGCTGGAGATAAAGCCAGGGGAAATTATATAGGTTCTCTGACTTTTTTTTCTGCTATAGATGTGGCCCTATGGTACTTGATGCTCTGATTAAGATTAAAAATGAGCTGGACTCCACTCTGACCTTCCGCAGGTCATGCAGGGAAGGTAAGAAAGATTTTTCAATCTGCTAAGTTGACTGTTGTCCAAATAAATGCTAACGCTAATACTGCATGTGTGTAACCAATAAAAACTTCAGGGCAGACCACAGCATGCCGCTCTTCTTTTCTAAGTATTGAACATGAAATACTTTAGTGAATCAAGCAGTGAAGTTACAGCGTATAATCACCCCACACTGAGTTACAAGCAAGACATAAACAGCCCCAGTCATTCCTGTTTCCATCCTAATTGTGTTCATCTTGCTGACCTCCAATGATGGACTATGTAGGGGAATTTAGGAAGGAGATGTTACAGCAGCAGAATTGAGGGGAAAGATGTGTCAAATGGGAGTGAACTGTAGCTCTTCGACTAAGCAGAGTGACTGAGGAAAAGGCTATCTCCTGGTTTTATGCTGCAGAGTTACCAGCTGGTTCTCAGGCAGGTAGTCATCGGCATCTTTGTCTGACTGCATTCAAACTTTCCAGTCCCAGTGACACTTTTCCCTGGAAAGAAAGACTTAATTCATGAGTGCTGTTGGTATGCTGAGATTAAGATTACTGTGGAGGAGAATGTCTTCATGGAACAACTTTTGATTTAATTGGTTGGGTTTGCAAGCACTAGAAATTTAGGTGTAATTGCCTGATGCCTAAAGACGTCCTGACTCAGATCTAAATGAAAAGCATGCTTCAACACAGACGTTTCTTGCAGAATCTGCATAGCAAGTGGAGGAATTTTATCCAGTGTGATTGTTCTCCGTGTCTGATATTTAGATAGCAAATACTGTTCCTGAGCAGCTAGAATTAATTGCACTGAATAGTTTTCTTTGAGAATCTAAAGACAGATTCCTAATCTTGGTTGGTTTGATCTTGTCCTTTTCTACCATACAGGGGAAAAAAAATCTGATCACTTGTTCCTGTTTCTTACACGTGGACCTATGTCTGCAGTCTCTAATTGTCCTGGTCCCTTCTCAAGTTAACTGGAAAATACTTGTAACCAGTTAGTGAGTGGGAGAAATAGCTCTGTCCAAGTGCCAGCCTTTGTGGGAAGGGTTGACGGCACACCAGGCACTGAGGACTAGCTCACTCAATGTGAGGAGTAGTGGCATTTCCCTGACTCATATCAACTGATGTGTGTCAAATCCTCTGAAATTAGTTATGCCCTTTCAACACTTGTCATCTTTCCAATATAATGTCTTAAGTATCAGTCCAATTTGAATGCCAGAGCTTCTGATCTGAGCAGTATCGGAGACAGCTCTATAATGTGTTTTTTTTGTGAGCCTTGCCCTTTCCTGGGCTACATCTGTTCCTTGTGTTACTGGAGGTCACGAGCAGTGTCGCTTAATCCATTTGTTAAGCTATTTATATGCTATTTGTTCTGTGAGCGCGTGTTCTCTCACCATGGGGAGTTAATGAAAGCAGGGGATTGCACAACTTTAGCCTGCTGCAGAAGGTGCAGAAAGGAGTTTCTGTCTTAGGAACTTATTTTCACATTGCTGACCTTTAGGGATGCTTCTGACCGTAACTGTAGGGCTGGTGGGGGTCCATCTGGCTCCACTTTATAATCCCACTGTTAGCTGCTTGTGTTTCAAACCTGTCAACAAATCTGAATGTTTCCTCCACCCTGAGAAGTAGCACGTGGAGTATGACATGAAGGGATGAAGTGTCTGGAGCTTCATGAAAACAACTCCAGCATTTCTTCTTTGTTTGAATAGCAATGTGCTTGGCTCAATGACAACTTGTAGCATTTTCCTTGTCACGTACCAAGATTCTTGATGGCATCAGAAGGGAAGTCAAGCCAGGGGCAAGTTTGGGGTGAAGAGGATCTTCCTCAAGTAGGATAAGAGGGTGAACATCCACTGCTTTACTCTGCTCTCTCTCTCAGGCATCTGTGGCTCCTGTGCGATGAATATTGCTGGTGGAAACACTCTGGCTTGTATAAAAAAAATTGACCCTGATCTCAGCAAGATCACTAAAATCTACCCTCTCCCCCACATGTATGTGGTGAAGGATCTTGTTCCAGTAAGTATCTGCCTTCTTCATCTTGTGACCAATGCTGACGCCATTCCAGACAGTATGGGGTTCAGGTTGGATTAGAAGGGATAATGTTGGGAGATGGCAACAAGATCATGACCCACAATTCACGTCTGAACTCCTCTTGATGCTCTCTGGCTTGGGTGGGTCTGCTTACCAGTGGTGACTAAATCTAGCCTCGTTAGGAGGAATGTGGCAGGCTGACGTACAAAATACCTCCTTCTCTATGAATGACAACAGATGTTCAGTTTCTCTGGCATCAATTCAATTTAAGTGTGATCTTTTTCCTTTTGTTTCCTAGGACTTGAGTAACTTCTACGCACAGTACAAATCTATCGAGCCTTACCTGAAGAAGAAGGATGAGTCGAAACAGGGCAAGGAGCAGTACCTGCAATCCATAGAAGACCGTCAGAAACTGGTTACCTTTTGTTAAAATTATTTTTACCATTAAAATCCCTTCCAGATAAGACCAGGATTCAACATTAATGTGCAGTAGCATCTAGTTCCTTTAATGACAAAACTGTCTGTTACAAAGCCTGATGTGGGTGGAAAGCGCTCCCTGAAACGCAGTGTTGTGGCACGTCTACATTGCTACGGGTAACATTTGCTAATGAAATGCAGAACACAGTTGTGCTGGGGACTCTGACCTCATTTCCACTGTCTGTGCTGCAAAACTCTGTCTTTGTAAAAACACTGTGAAGGGCAGAGGCTTGTAATATTCATGTAGAGATCAGGCGATGCTGTTTATGCTGGGGTGTAGTTTGTCTAACGCAGCACTGTTTGTGTATCTGACAGCTGCATGCTAAGCAGCACTGTCCTGTTGCTGCACGCTGCATTTTACAACCCTGAAACTAATGGCAAAAGCTGAACCTTTACAGGTGGGAGGGGGAAGCTTTTTGAAGAGTTTATAGAGCAGGTAAGTTAGTATCTGGATTTTTTTGGCTCCTACAGTAAGTGTTGATAAATTGACAGTTTCTCTTTTGCCTCTGACCTGTCTTTATGGGTTATTTGCTTGACAGTTTGAAGCTCGGCCGGTCACTGCTGTGATTGTTGCTGCAGTATTGTCACTGAATAGGCTCATAGTGGGCAAGCAGCCTAGATTTTGGCAAGTGGTAAAAGAGATGAGCATGAGCAACACAGAGGAAGGCTGATTAAAGAGGATATAATGAAAACACATGAGCTGCAGCCTAATTGTCTGCAGTGATCTCTGAAAGTTGCCCATTATCTGTGTTTGCTGTGAAGTAACATCTGATGAGCAGACGTGTCATGTGCCTAAGATGTCAGCAGCACCATGCAACTAGCTGTGTGCTATCCTAACAACCACAGGATTTTACAGTTTGAAAGAATTTCTTTCCAAGGGCGACAGTTAATTCTCCTACACCACTTCATAATGTTATCTGATGGCACATGTAAGGACTTAAAGGGATCCTCTCAATGATTTCTTAAAGCAGCATCTTTGAAGTTACTTTCTCATTTAAGTAAAAAAACAGACCTAAAAGTAGCTGCAAGAGCCACGTGAATCTTCCTCATGATTAGTAAAGTTGCTTTTTATCTCCTTACCAAAGCTTCTCTTGCTTTGGGAAAAGCCTGTGTGTTTGGATACGCAGGCATCTGAAAAATTCTTACCTTTTCCTCATTGGGACGGGCCAAAAGCAAAGAATGCATAAAAATCCAGCAATTTCCACACTTGTCTCTTCAATTTCTGCACTTCTGTGGTTGACCATGGTCTCTCATCTGTGTACAGGATGGACTCTACGAGTGCATCCTGTGTGCCTGCTGCAGCACCAGCTGTCCCAGTTACTGGTGGAACGGGGACAAGTACTTGGGTCCTGCTGTACTCATGCAGGTAAGGACAGATCCTGGGTGCCATGGTGAACTGCTGAGGGACTCCTCATTTAAAAGCAGTGCAGATACCTGTGAGCACAGCATGCCATCAGTGTCCCTAGAGGTGTTGAGGAAACATACAGAAGTGGTACTGAGGGATGTGGTTTGGTGGGGATAGGGTGGTGGTTGGATCAGATGATCTTAATGGTCTTTTCCAACCTTAATGATTCTTTGATGTAGTAGTGGACCAGAATTCCTGAGTTAGGTGTTGCTTCTAAAATACAACACTGATTACTTCACTTTGGGAAATCATTTGGTGTGTCAATGACACTGATTTTCAGGCCTATCGCTGGATGATTGACTCCAGAGATGACTACACAGAGGAACGCCTGGCACAACTTCAAGACCCATTTTCTCTCTACCGTTGTCACACAATCATGAACTGCACGAGGACTTGCCCAAAGGTAGGTGTTGTTCCTGCATGTGTCCCTTCTGCAATTGTTTCCAAACTGGTAGGGAAATGCCAGTGGTAGGTTTTCTTCAAGCTCTGGTTGACTTTTTTTCTTTTTGAAATGGTGAGTTATCAGCAGTAATGTTTACAGTAGTGACTGTGCAAGAGAATATGACAGAGTTTACACTACATTACACATCACGGAAACTTCTCTTCCTCGTGATTTTGAGAACCTGACTGTTTCCAGGATTTAGGTATATGTCTGTAACATCCTGTTTGTGTGAGGGACACTGCCAGAAATCCGATAGGGAAGATGATCTGATCAGTGATGTGAGTAATACATATAACCCCAGCACAGTGCTCTCTCACACCCCAGCAGTAGCAGCTGTCCTGATGTGTTGTGCAACTTGCATAATAGAGAAGATGACAGCAAGTTTTCAGTGCCGAGGGGAGTGTGTTTTATGCTGACATCCTGCCAGAAGGGCATTTCCCAGGTCTGTTGTCTGTGGTATTTCTGCTGAGAATTGAGCAAATTTTCTCAAAGGAGAGCGTGCCTCTTCCTCTTCTTGCTGTAACCTTGTGCCTGTTGCTGGGTAGATAATTTTCATTTTCTTGCCAGCTGTATTGCTTGCACCTGATGGTAGAGTAAAATTCTTTTTGAGCTGTGAAGTAATAAGAAGGCAAACTTTTGGATCACGGATGTGGGAAAATAAGGTGCTTGAGATCTGGACTGACAGGTGTTTGTCAGGAGCACCGCCTGCTGGTTTTGTTTAACATGATTCACTGACTACAGATAAATCCCCCCTTTTCTACAGAGCAGATGATCGTGCTCACACGTCAGCTGTAGTTCAGCTAAAGGTGAAGGTTCTGTTTGAAGATCTGACTGTACACAGCAGAAGGAAATAACACACGAGGGCTTGGTCTGTTGATTTTGAGATGCATCTATGGTTGATAATACGTTTCCCTTAAAATCAGCTTAAATCACGTCTCTTATCTCGATCAGCTCTGAAAAAAAGACTGCAAAGTGAACTGTGCTCTGGGGTCATTTCCTGCTCATGCTTTGTCAAGTTGTGCTGCCATCACAATGCTATAGGATGACATTTGTGATCTTCCCACTCTCGTTTTGAGATTAAGTATGTTCAGCTTGCCAACAGTACTGCAGGATTGAGAGCCTCTGTGATGAGACGTACGTTTGAATTGTAGGAAAACCTTGCTTTGAAAAGCTTGGTTGTAGCATCTTCATCTTGTGACTTAGTGGTCTTGCTGCAGTGCCCTCAGGATCCCTGGCAGCATCTGATGGAAGGGCAACACTACGCTGGGCTCCAACTTTAAAAACTGGTTGCTGAGCCTTTCCTCTGCCAGTTGTTCTTACGAACAGCAGTATATCTGTCAGTTTAACACGACTTCAACTATGGGAAAACAGGGAGGATACTCAAACGTGCTGATTTCTAGAGAAATTAGCTGGAACTTTCTCTTTGTAGGGTTTGAATCCTGGCAAAGCAATTGCTGAGATCAAGAAGATGATGGCAACTTACAAAGAGAAGACAGCCACTGCATAAAGCTGTTCCCTGACTGGAAATGTAACACACAAACGTGCTTTACCTGGAAGTAACTTGCACTTGATTACACCTGGTTCCAGCAGGAATGTTGGTGTTTCTTCCATATGCTTGTGTGTACAATAAATACTGTAAAGAAGTAAGAGTTGGTAACTCATTAACAATACGTAACTGATTCCTCTGCCTCTTCAGTGCACTGCCTTGTTGTTGTGGAACCCAGACATCTCGTTTGCAGCTCTGAGTGTATCCACTTGCATGCTGGGAGACAAAAAGCGCTTTTTTGAGCAGAGCCATTTTTGCAGTGCATGGTCGAGGGGCTGCACTGTCCGTATCTCCCAGTATTGTGCCGTGCCCAGTCCCATGGGCTGCATTATGCCCGGAGCTCAGCAGTTGCAGCTTATGTCCTCATGGCTGCAGCCTGTGTCCCTGCTATTGCATCGTGCATAGCACCCATGGTTGCATGCTGTGCTTCCACTCTTTCACTTCTGTTTTTTTCCTCTGCATTTTGGAACGCACTGGCGGCACACAGCGGTAAGAGCAGAGAGGCGCTGATCAGCAGACTGATGACCATAAGACTCGGAGGAATAGCAGAGCACTCGGTTGCCGTCCTGGGGGGATACCTTTAACTCCGGGTGATCAGTGGTTCCCCCCACGCTGCGCTCCTCGTTGCCGTGCAGAGCAAGCGGCGCCCGGGACAAAAGACGCACGCAGCACCTCCCGGAAGGCCGCGCCGCCTCGGCCAGCGTGGGGCGGTGCTCCGCCCGGAAGTCAGCCTCGTTCCCGTCTGCGTGAGGGCGGTGCCGCGCGGGGCGTGCCGGTCGTTTCCGTCTCACCGGAAGTGCGCAATCGTCCCGCGACCGCAGGAGGGGCCGCCGCCGCCGCCATGGTGCAACTCGGTGAGTGGCCGCGGGCGCAGCCTGCCGGACTGGGAGCGGCCCGTAACCGCCTCGCGCTCTCCCCGCAGGTAGCCGCCTTCTGAAGAGCTATCGAGGCGGACACGTCGTGATCCGTTTCGCCCTCGGCGGCTGCACCAACCGGCCCTTCTACCGCATCGTAGCGGCGCACAGCAAACGCGCCCGGGACGGGAAGTACCTGGAGCAGCTCGGCTGCCTCGACCCGCTGCCCAACGCCCACGGCGAGAAGGTGGCGGGGCTCAACCTGGAGCGCCTGCGGCACTGGCTGGGCTGCGGCGCGCAGCTGTCGCGGCCTGCCGAGAAGCTCCTGGGTAGGTGCGGGGCGGTGGAAGGGCTGCGGAGTTGGTCCGCGTAGCTCAGCGTTCCTCGTTGCAGGCCTGGCGGGGTTTTTGCCGCTTCATCCCATGACGATAACCAACGCCGAGAGGCTCCGGCGGCGACGGCGACCAGCGCAGGAGTCCGTTGTGCCCCCTGCTGAGGGCGGCTCGCAGGAGCCCGGAGCTCCGGTCTGAGAGGCGGCGCGCAGCCCCGTGTGCGCAGTGAGTGCCCTCCTTCCATGCCTAAGCCAACATTAAAGCGTGATTTGCGCACTTCTTCCTGTGCATGTGCTGCTCTCTCCCGACTCGGCTCTGAAAAGTTAATTTGACATGCAGCAGCTATGACGGGGCCTTCCCAGCTATCGTGGAGCACAGAACCACACCAAGAGTCACAGAGCTTTCCCTAAAGGCACATTAGCAGCTTTCATTTGCTTGCAGCGCTTCTCACGTTTGATTCCTTGGCTCCGATGCAGCCCTAGTGCAGTTTGGTGATCTGTGAGCAGAGGCAAACAAATGAACTGCATCTGCATTTCTGTTTTAGTTTCCCCAGAGCAGTTCTGAACCCGTTTGTTCTCTTAGAAGCACAGGAGGCTTCTGTCTCTGAAGACAGTTTAAGAGGGAGGGGATTTTAGCAGAATAGATGTCAAACTCCCCATTCTTGTAAGCTTGGTAAACATTACTCACAGAAGAACATGAATTTTCACTCTCAGGCTGTGATTTCCTGTTGGCTGCTCTGTTTGTTATCTTTTGTTCAAGGAGACCATTGGATTCCTAGGAAAAAAAGATAGTTACATACAGCTTATATACATGGCAAATACTGCATCATCTCCATAGCTGACTTCTCAGTCTGCCGCTTGAGTATGCTAAAGTGTTTTGCATATGAACTAGTCTGACTAACACTGCATACTCTCTTCCTGCCCCTGGAGTACGCGCATGTTGTATCAAAGAGGCAGACTGACAAAGACGTCACCTTCATATTTTCTGTCAGTTATTAGCACTATTTGGGTTTGGGATAATGATGTTGCCTTTCAGATCTAATCTAAAACTCCCTGCTGGGCATCTAGCAGCAATCTGCAAGCACAGAAATTCTCATTATCCCAAAGAGTTACCATTTCTGTACAGTGTATTTTTGAAAGGAACAAAAAAATAGAGTAAATGGGGCTTTTAACATGAAGAACTGCTTATATAATGTATATCTGCAAATCCAGCAGCTTATGCTCTTGTCTTGTGCCCTGAAATCTCATTCTAAATGCAAGCCCACAAGCAGTAGCACCTTCCTGTCTGTTAAAATCTCTGCTGCAGAAGCAGCAGCTTGAGGCAGAGGAAGAGCCACAACTGTTTTCTTAGTGAACATCAATGAAAACCTTCCTGGCTGAAAAGCCAGGTTAAGTGAAGCATTGTCTTGCAACCAGAGGTACAGACATTTTCAATTTAGATAAATGGATGCACGAGGTCTCCCTGGCATTTCTATTCCAGAATCATACAATTCTCAAAAATATTTATCGTAACCTGTGCAACCCACGATGTTGTGATGTTATAGCAACAGCTCTGCAAAAGTCTCTCTCTAAGGCAATCTTCCAGACTGAGGAAGGGAAAAGATAATTTAAGAAAGCCACCTCAGACCTGAGGACAATTTCTTCTTTTTTCTTTTCCAATTAAGTGCATCTTCGATTTAGTACATGATGATTACATGTTAGTACAAAACAGTGTTTAAAGTAACCCTTAACCCTTCAAGCAGTTCCCAACAGAGGCTTTGGGTGTTTGGGTTTTTGGTGTCATTCTGAGTGCTGAAGGACTGTTGATTCTTCTTACAGTCCCCCTATTTTTTTTTTCTCCTGGAAAATATCTTTTTCTTCATTTAGAGATTCAGCAGAAGTTTCAGTTATTCGGTCCTCTTTTTTGAGGCATGGCAGAAGTTGAATGAACTACAGATAAACTGAAATGGTTACATCTAGCTTAATCACAAACATGAGCCAATTCATTAGGTACTTCTTCCTCCCTCTCCCCATTTTCCCTTCTTCTGTACATGTCGTATAAGTACAGATATGAGCACCCACAAATCACTTCCATTAAGCAACCTTTAATTTTTATTAAGTCATTATCATTTAAACTTTATAAAGTCTAAACTATGGCACAGCATGGTATCACTTTCTTTACTCAACTCTTCTCTCTTACTTCTAACCAGCAGCCCATAGATTTAGACAATTTGAAGAGTGCATTCCAGAAAGTAAACATTGTATTGCAGCTCAGTTCAGCAGTGACCACACCGTAATTTCTGTAAAACACAACATGTATGACAAAGGAGGAGAATAAGGAAATAAGTAATTCCTGTTTTTTGTTGTTGTTGTTTTGTTTTTATGGATTTAGTGCAACTTCCACGGAATTCTGCACCATGGTGACATACGGGACACCAACAATATCACTAAAAACCCAAATTAAGACACACTGATATTGAGTTTAAAATAGAAAATGTTACATATATTCAACTGTGCAATGCACTTCAGCATAGCAATAGTTTTATAAGTATACGTAAATGTATTTCCTACTCTTATTTACAGAGGGAAGGAGCGACAAACATAACCATCAAATATAACAGAATATCCCAAGTTGGAAGAAACCCACAAGGATCCTTCAGTCCAACCCCTGGCTCTGCACAGCACCACCTGAAATTCAAACATTATATCTGAGAGCACTGTCCAAATGCTTCTTGAACTCCGTCAGTTGGGCTGTGACCACTGCTCTGAGGAGCCTTTTCCAGTGCTGGAAAATACAATGATATATACATATTGACATATAGCTTGATAAATACATTGCTTTTTTTTTTTTTTCATTCTTTTGTTTTACTCTCTTTAAATATCCGTGTTTGCAACAAAATCATCTGAAATCCCAGCTGTGTAGAAAAGGAAAGCATTCACAATCCACTCAGTGCAACAATACTGTCTACAAAACTTAGGAGGAGAAAACATTTTGAGAACACCCCTTCAGTAGGAACAAAACGATCATTTTTGAGTTTATAAGTTTGCTAAGACAAAGAATTAAAAGATTACACAGCAGACCAAAAAATTTCCACAGTCGTCTCTTTAGATTGTTGGAAATCAGATGCTCAGAAGTGCCAAATGTGCTGCTCATACACCAGGTCCAGTTTCATCCCAAACGTTTTTAGAGATAAGATATCCCATAATGAATTCTGCATGACACAGGTATTCCTGCAGGTGTGACAGTGAGCCATGCTTTCTAAACCAGAACAGATGGGATCAAGATGAACAGTCATCAATCTGACACTCGTTTGTCTCTGAATGCTTGGCTTCATAACTTCAGAAGTGTTCCTCCAGGGAAGTAAATACCAAAGAGCACAGAACTTATCACAAAAAAAAGTGGAGAACTGATAATAAAAATGAAAGGTTCTTACACACTGTACATTATTTTAAGCACTACAGTGCACCACAACAGCTAAAGATTATGCAAGTTATTTCATCTTGATATTGCACATCACACAAAAATAAACTTAGGTGAACAGTCAAAAAAACTGAAAAATGAATGGACTTCCAGAAAAAACGCTGCTTCTGTCCTACTAGATAAGAATAAAAAGAGCCTCTAAAGGGATGCCTGCACAGTATTCCTAAGCACTAGAATACCCTTCACCCATGGGAAACCTTTGCACCCTACTGGAATATGAACACAGACTGACAAGAATCCTATAAATGGTTCTAGCTTACATGTTTTCATTTTTATTCTTCAGTATAAAGACTCTAGCGATTACCTGCAAATTGTGTAAGATCTCAGGCATTTAATTATTCTGGCTATGGAAGGTAGTAAGAGTTTCCACAGGTAACAGAACACCAGTCCAAGTAATAAGTCTTAGTAGTTTCACAGAGGTATGCAGGTGTAGCTCTAGCTGACAAATCACTACTTACTAAGCAGATTTTAAGACATCAGGAGGTACAACTGTATGAAACATAAGGATGATGTGCCAGTGGCTTCTGGCTTTCACATAAATGAGTTCTCTTATATTCTTAACCTAATTGTAAGAATAAACTTCTACCCAAGGAAACCTGGCTCACAAAACCCCTTCCTATCCATCAACATAAGCCATTATAGCGTCAGTTAAAAGCCTAACATAGGAGTATGCGCAGATCAGAAACCATCACTGTGGACCACAGTCAGAACTTACAGAGCAGGGTTTGGAGCCAGTTTCATCCCACAGCAACTTCTTGGAGCAGTTCTGCTGGCTGGAGCTTGGTGCACATGGAAGCCCAGCCATGGGCCTTCACAGAGTACTTGCATTATGCCCTGAAGTTCTGAAAAGCCAGGTCAGGGCCAGGTTTAACATACGGAAGGTGAGACCCATGTGTTGTCCTCAGTGCTCCCTGAGGTCCTGCGGGAGTTGTAGCCCTCAACAACCAAGGGCCAGGCAACTTCTGCTCACAAAGCTGGTGGCACACCATGGCCCTGGTTCTCCCACAGCAATGGAGCCCCACTGCTTACTGCCACCCACGACATCGGGATCCACCTGCCTGAGCACTGGTCTTCTGGGTCCCCCACCTCAGGCCAAGAAACATCATCCCTCCTAAGGAAAAATGGCACTGTATGGCAGTTGGAGAGAAGGTCCCACACTGCCACCAATGGTTCCCACTGATGTGACCACAAGTCCTGTAAGCATAGATCAGCTTTTACCAACTTGGGAAAGATGCACAGTGCCAGGCACTGCCCTCCCTGCAGGCAGGGGAAAGTTCACAGAAAAGATGTGTGCCAGTTTCACTGGTTTCCCATGCCCACTATCAGCACAGTCACCCACAGCCCACCTCCAGTTGCTGCCATCCTAAGGGCACATGAGCCCACCTTACCATGATGGTTGAGGACAAGAATGGTGCAAGTGAGGTAGCCAAGGGTACAGAAGCTTCTCCCATTTATTGGTCCTGCACACAGGGAAGGAGCGGGCTCTGCTCCTCGTTGGGTGGCAGCTCCTCAGCAGACAGGGTTGGCTCATAGATGACACAGAGAGAGGAGAAGAGGCAGCCCAGGAAGGACACCAGGCTGGCAAAGTACATGGTGCCACTGGCACTGCCCACAGCTGTCGTCAGTGGCCCCATGGCCAGGGCCACCAGGATCTGCGCCAAGAAGTACTGGCAGCTGAGTAGGGAGATATCAACACCCATCCCACGCCGTGTACCCTCCATGTGCGAGCCTGCAAACTTCAGGGAACACAGTATGAGGAGGTGTCACCAGGAGCCCCATTCCCCATCCTGCCTGGGGCTCACCTCACAGCTCTGGTAGTAGTCGCAGAGTAGAGAGTAGGGCAGCGTGCAGAGCGTGGCAAAGAGAATGCCATAGGTCGTGCACAGTGACAGCACTACGTAGATATTTCTGGAGAGCGTGGCCAGCCCAGTGCCCAGCCCAAAGGCCAAATATGCAATGAAGTACAGCGTCCGTGTGCTGAACCGCTCCTCCAGCTTCTCCAGTGCAGCTGCAAAACAGCAGTGTGGAAGTCTGCAATGAACCATGACTGTCCCTTGCAGTTAGCAGGACTGCACCTTTGGGTCCCACGGCCCAGACATTGGGGCAGCCACAGCTCAGCAGTAACCATCACAGCTTTGTGTAATGGCAGCTTGCCACGCAAGCACAAAGACAGACGCCCAGTGCTGGTGGTGCATTATACCATGATGCTCCATCAGAGGCACACAGGCACTGAATGGCACTGCACCCAAATTATGTCTATGCTGGCTGCGCGTATTTCTAGATTCAACATACATTCAAAATGTCACTCACGAAAGGAACTATTTTATAACAGAAATGCGTTATCACTGGACTGCTGCCCTCCTCTGCTGTCAGAGTAGGCTACACTAAGTAGCACAGATAACATGGTGATAACCCTGCCACATGGCAGGCTATGTGCAACATAAAAGCCAGAGTTGTTACTGCAGAAATATCGCTTAAGGAACAGGTCTATCTTTCTGATAGGAGTGTCCAGGATGACTATTACTCAGTACCTGAATAGAAAGCAGCACTGAATGCATAGATGCACATTCCCCAGCAGCCCATGGTGACCCCAGCGTTGTACTTCTGATACTCAACTGAGTTGTGAGGGGCTTTTGGATTCCCTTCAAACACTACTTCTCCCATGAAGTCAGTGTAGAAGAGCAACATCCCCTCGAATGAGAGCCATCCTGAAAGAAGCCAGAAGTAATCCATTAGGACTGCAGATTATCATTCTCCTCTTGTAAACCATGAATACTACAATACAAATCACAGTTGGAAACAGTTCATGCAATGTATTACATAATGTTTAGCCACATTTAGCTCAGACCGCTGCTCTCTGTGCATTATGCTGTTTGTCAAAGATGCTCATGATTTTAACTATCAAGATTTATCCTTTGAATTCATATATGGAATCCTATAGGCTTAATGCTGGCCATGGGCCACTGGTTTAGCAAGAAAGAAAAATCAATCATAGTCTGAACTGCCTGGCTAAGTTTCACACAGTTGCTCATTAGATATTAGTTCCAGATGCTGTTGTCATCCTGCATTTGGTTGCAGGCACTCCTGTAGCACTGCATTCTATGCACTCTCACAGCCTGTTCTGTTGCCCCTATATACATGGTGTCAAAGGGAGAAAACTGAACGCTCATCTCAAATGTAAGCAGGAAAACACAAACAATCTTGTAGAATTCTGCTCAGCAACTTCAGTTTCAAAGCATTAAAAAACCATGTTGTTGCAATTTAAAGTTCTTAGTTCAGTGTTGTTTCTCATTCTAGCACAAACTCTCCATTTAACAGATGCACTGATCTAAACCAAAGTTATTCCTTTTCTAAGCATGTAAGTTTTACAGTTCTAGGGCTTTTTTTTTCATCCTTTTTTTCTCCAACATTCTAAGAAAATAAATAACAAAGTACCTTACTGATGAGTGTATATGGAACAAACTATGTTCTCTTCAGTTTGCAGCCATTGCAGAAATAAAATACTTACAAAGAATCACACAACATAAACTACATCATGGTGAAAACTAGAATGAACTTTCTCATTACCTAGGAAGTGGTTGATGCAGAGGTTACGAAGAGCCCTGGGCATGTGGCAGATGGTTGAGCAAAGAAGTCTCATGGAGAGTGGTTGTTCAGAGGTCTCGCCTGATCCATTCAACTCACTCTCATACTTAACACCATCCAGCAGGATATTAGCAACCTGCAACATAAGAACTTCCAGGTCAACAGACATTAAGAATAATCCAAATGACCTTTGAGCAAACCTACGCAATATTGTGCATCTATCTAATGATCTGAAGGTTAAACTCTGCTGCTCAGTCGTTCATCGGGGGATTAAGAACAGTGTATTCAGCTAAGAATGTCTGCAATTTCAGCCTTAGAACAAGTGTTAAATGGCAGCACTGTGCTATAGCTTTCAGTGTACTTGAAACAGTACTCTGCACTGTTCCAGAGTATTTGGCAACCATGTTCAGACACTAGCATAGGGAAAGCACAAATTTCATTTCTGTTAATATAAGCTGTACCCACAGTCAGGTGAATTTGGTCCCTGAAGTTTTAGAGATAGTAAAGTAAAAGTGGACAGTTTTAACTGAAACACACTGTCACTGCTCACAGCCTTCAATGGCTGATTTCTACAGGCACAGCGCATACAAAATCCTGACCCTAACGAAGTCTGCTCTCACAAACTGAGAAGTACAGCAACAAACAAACAAACCAACCAACCAAGCAAAACCAAAAATAATTAAACAAAAGAAACCAAACCAAACAAAACCTCTTCCCTCTCCCTCCCCAAAGGAAAAGAAAAAAAGAAAAAAACTAAACAGAGAACAGTTTACCTCATCCTGGATCATAAAAAAATGGGTCAGCATACAGAGGTCTCAGACATTCCAAGTAATCACCAACAGTGGGAGGTGAGGTCAGAGTCTTATCCCTGGATAAAGAAAACCTCACCTCCCTGATGAAACCAGATGCAATGACTGCCATAAGGAGAAGCTCATGGGAGATTCCTATCCCTGGCCCTATCTTGCAGGTATTTCTGTGGAAAGGGAAGATACAGGCTCAATAAAAATGTGTCCTTTTCTGCTCTCACATGGTAGCTTCCTAAGCGGTGAAGGAGAGCTAAAAATGCTAACCTGACTTTCACACATGGCCTGAAGAGGAGGGGCTTCCATATCTGCTCTCTTAAACAGGCAGATGACAGATCATTAATGAATTGTAATTCATACACTATCCACTATTTTTCCAAAAAGTCACTGCAGGTATTCTGCTCCCCCAATGACTTTTATAAGCAAACTGTCACGAGCAGTCTTTAGCAATGAATTTGTGCACTAAACATTTAAAAATATAGAAAGAGATTAAACGAATGCTTGGGTTTACGTGGTCATGTAATTGATTTTCTGCCCTTACCTGTTGGCTGAAAGTTACATTTCTTCTTCTGCTACTTTCTGGACAATGTCCTGTTACAATATCTGGAATGGCCAAGCTCTGAGGTCTTTTCAGGATGCCTGATGACCGTGGCTTTATTGTATCCAAGGAGCCCACCCTCAGTGCCTCTCCATCAGGACCCGGAGTTATACGCCTCTCCCCTTGCTCCAGAATTCCATTTTCTTGTTGGTAACAACCATCTGGCACCCGAGGAAAGCTGACACTGACAGGCTGTCTGGGCAAGCTAGCTGGAAGTGCTAAGTAACTACTGTGCCCACCTGTAAAACAGTCTATAAGCACACTGTCAATATTTGAAGTCCCAAATGACGATGCAAACTCGTTAATTCCTGTCAAGGAATTGTCTCTGCTGACAAAACTGCCATACTTAGGTGTGAGTGGGCTGAGGGGAGAAACGGGGCTTGTAAAACTTGCATATAAGTGAGCTGAGTTATGAGAAGCAAAGTTTTCACTTACACCCTCTTCAAAGAGAGGTGGAGAAGGAGGGAGAGGAAGACTTGGACTCTTCATCACCTTTTTCTTCTTGCTAAAGGACCCTAGGGGTCTTTCTGGAATGCTAATTAGAGTCAGCACAGTAGTGATAGTCAGTATTATTGATGTGAAGACATAGATGACACGCAGTTGCCCTCCCACAGCTTTTCCAAAACTGGTTTTATCCCAATGTATTCCTCCAATAACATAACCAAAGCCACCTCCAAGACCTGGTGGAAAAACAGAGCTGAGATTATCTTCTCTAGCCAATCCATGAAGTCAGTAACAGCACAGTACCACTTGTTTAATGATTTATGAGAAAATCCAACGTGCTACCTGTTTTATCACTTAATGCCTTTTCAACTCAAATGCAGTAATAAACACACTTATCTGCACCACATGAACAGTCTTTCTGTACAGACAATGTACAAAAGCAATGATATAAATAATTTTAAATGCAAGTTCTTCCTTTGCTGAGGACAAATCATTTTACCTTCAGTAATTTCAGTCCATAAGATAGAAGTGCTCAACAACCTCATGGCAATGCCTTGCAATCAGTGTGCCAGGACTGTTTTTCTAAAATCTATTTTCTTGATTCACTTAGAACACAAATCTACCTGTGTCCAAGACAGACCTAATTACTTCAGAAGAGTAGCGAGCTCATTATTCAGCAGTGTGTCAAGTGTACAAAGTGCCACTGCATTACTACAGATAAACAGGAAAATTGTGATGCACCAGCTATCACTCTCACTCTTCATATGGTGAAAGCTTCTTTCTTAAGAACATGTCAAAGAACACAGAACAGTCTCCTGACAGACAGGAAAACTAGACTAGGATACTACAGCAATAAGAGAGCAGAGTGCATGCTATAAATACTTTGCTCTCCAATACAGCAACCAAAAATAACCCCATTTCCCACACTTGTGATAAGCTGAACCTCCTGCCTGAGGGGTTATTTTCATGGGGTTAAAAAAGACACAAGGAATCTTAAGACACAATACAGGACTGTCTTGTTTGACTTTTGTCAGCCAAAAAGTCTTTTGCTTTCAAAGTTAATTCTGGCTTTCTCTTACAGGTATTCAGCTTATGCTTATGCAAGAAAAGACCAATAATTTACACTCTGCTTTCTCACAACAGGGCTTTTTGGACTCACGTCATCCAGGAAGCATCAAGGAAGTATACCTGCTAACAAAGCATGGATGTTGAGGCCCCTGTCTTGATCCACTGGGCTGCATACATCCATCATGTAGGCATGGCTGGGATTGTCTGCTGAATCTGCACTGAAGTCCATGAGGACAACACCACAGACTGTAAGAATGATCCCCCATTTGTGGTTATTCACAGTGTCAGACAAGGCACTCCCAATATCTCTGCCATTCAGCATAAGTGAGAGTCCAAACAATGCACCTGGGAATAAGAACAAGTTGAATTAGAACCAACCAGCTACTTCTAAACAAGAGAAACTGCATCTTTCCAAGTTCTCTAAAAGCATTTTACTACTCAAACAGCCCTGCAGTGAGCACTGTTGATCCTGTTTATATCATCACAGACCTAGGAAAGTACGTGGATATACATAATCTTTTCACTGTTAAACCTTACAAGTACCTGGAGTTGTGGCCAGTCAAAGGAGAACACTCCTGACCTTCAAAACATCACTCCTTCCAACTGTGAGCAGACAGTGGATCTCCAGCTGACAAAACATCATTACCTCAGTGACACTCACCGTCTTCTTCAGACCCACAATACTCAACTTGAGAGGCCCACAGCTACATATCATAGCAGAGAGATGCATTATCTTCTACCTTACAATCATTTCTACAATACGCACCTACTGCTAAGACCAGAATGAAAGGTCTTCTCCTCCCAAATCTTGATGTGCATCTGTCACTCCAAGCCCCCAGCAAAGGTTGTAGCAGGAACCCTAAAAAAGGAAATGACCATTACATCAAATTCTTCTACAAGCCTGTTTCACAGGGGGTTTTAAATGAATAAGTCTGAAGACAGTTAAAGGCAGGACACCATGGCACAGTGTTATCTCCAGTCAGCGTCAGTCACTCTGACGTACAGAGTTTAGTGCCTGGCATTTCTCACACTGGGGAATGGATAGTGTAGTGCACCACTGTTCATCCAGGACTGCTATGACAATGCAATTCACTTTGTCACCAGCTGAAAAGAGTACAACAGCGTTAAGCTCCTTACCAGCTATTTTCCTTACACTCCTTACATTGGAGATCTTTTACTAAATTAGCTTGGAAGACAGCAAGAATAAACATGCAAGTTGAAAAGGTACCTGTCTGTGAGTAGGGGCCTATCTACTCTCTTCTTCTGAAGCACATCCTAGAAGGACAGGCAGAAAAAAAAATCTCCAAGCAGCCACAGCCACCCTATGGTTCTTCCTGTAGTAACAGATATACTCCCACCCCAACTCTGCTAAGTAATCCAATGAGAGTAACAGTAGTGATTAAAGCCTTTAATCACTGGAATACCTCATTTGCTCTGAAAAATTCAACTAGAAAGCAAAATCACTACTTTTTAAACGCATCCTGTGGGTGTGTCTCTGTATATTTCTTTTCACAGGGATGTAAACGTATGCACCGATTTTTTCTGCCTTTTTTTAGTACATGAACTCAGTAACAAAAGCTTACTTACTCTTGCACAGAATGTGACACACTGAGAAGCTACTAAAAGAACAGACCTTCTGATCATACCAGGCCCATTTCTGGTAAGACACAGTAATTATTTTCCATCCAGTTATCTAAAGCTATGGCTAATACTTCTTAAACGTGACATCACAAGGAATATACTTCTAGTGCTGAGGCAGAGAAAACCATATATACTCCCCGCAGGGCAGAATAAAACAAGAGGAAAGGAACAGTGTGCCCAAAAGTTACCTAGTATAGGGCTGATGAACCACACCATTCCGTACAGCTGGTCTGGCAGCCCCATCTGAAGCAACACAGGTGTAACATAGGCTGTTTCCATGGCATAGCTAAACTCAAGCCCAAAGAGAATACACCCATTAAACAGGAGTTCCAGGAAAGATCTCCGAGGCTGGAGATCCCCAAAGCCAATCAAGTCAATAGGACATGGAGTATTTGGTGGTGGCGGTGGCGAAGGGCGGATGAATTTTCTCCTTTTCGGATGTCTCTTGAAGTTATTAGCCCGGTGACTTATGTGCTGTGTGACTGACCCAGGATAACCTGGAACCTGTGACCTCCACGTTTCCTGAGAAGCCACACTTGGCAAAAGTGCAGCATCGCTGGCAGGAGGTGTTGCAGATGGTGGAATCATCATGGCTGAGAGTCTGGAAGAAAAATAGCTCAGAATAAAATGGTTGAAATAAGAAAAACTTTGTGGAATTTCCTTTACTGAAGTTCAGGCCATTTCTGAGTTATTTCACATATTGAGTACATAGTGAGTAGAATCCTGACAGATTGAACTCCAGACCAACAGCGCCATGAGATACACGCTGCTCTCACCTCCAGCTTAGTGCTGCATTCTTATTTCTGTCCTGGCAGGACACAGCACTTCCCAGCCATAGCACAGTGCTCTGCTGGGACACAGCAGAGCCTTAGGCTGTTCTCAATGTACACCATTACCATTAGAGAAATACTGGTTGTTCCTTCCACACCATTTTTTAAAAGCATAGGGCAGGCAAGTTCAACCCACTGCCTCCTGCTGAAGGACAGGTCACACGCTATTAAACAGCGCTCCTTTCCCTTTTATTTCAAACTGCAATGAGTTCAAAGACACGACAGAAGGAAAAACCAAGAGCACAAGTTCTTCTGCCTCGCACACAGAGGATAGCAAACTCAAAGGAAACGCAGCAAGGAGCCCCTCTGGCCTGACCTTGCGTGTCTCCAGGGATGGGGCATCCACCACCTCTCTGGGCAACCTAGGCCAGTGCCTCACCACCTTTATTTTAAAAACTTCTTCCTTAAATCCAATCTAAATCTCTCTTTCAGTTCGGAATCATTTCCCCTTGCTCTGTCACAGCAGACCCTGCTAAAGGCACTGCCCCCTTCTTTCCAACAGCCCCCTTACATACAGACTTCTCGCAGCCTTCTCTTCTCCAGCTGCATAGCCCAGTTCTCAGCCTGTCTTCATAGGGAGTTGCTCCATCCCTCAGAACATTTCTGTGGCCCTGCTGTGGATGTGTTCCAAGAGGTCCACGAATGACACCTGTCATAACAGCAGCCACACACCTTAACCTGATGGGTCTTGGGGACATGTGACACCTACCTGCACAGCCATGGTGTGCCACGAGCAGGGACACAAACCCACTCACTCCTGTTGGCCCTGCAGTGCTGCGCAGATCCCCCAGGCTTCCCACCACCAAACAAGCCAGCCCAGCCCTGAAAGATGTCGATCACAGTTTACAGGTAGGCCATACCCTCAGGTAATGTCATCAATCATCCCACAGCTGTGACGGGAACTCACCCAGCAGAAATCAGAGGGGCCTCCCCGAAAACGCACCAGCGGACACGGCGGTCCTCACAACTGCTCTGGTCCTGCTACCACGACGGCAATTTGGAAAGCCGCAGTTAGGAAGCTCCTCGCGGCACACAGCCGGCGCCGCAGCACAGACTACACAAACCACGGACATCCAGCACGGGACTTTCGTGCCATCCCCGCGAGCCGCCGCCCCGGTGACGCCCGGAGGAAACGCGGGCTGTAACGCGGCCCTGGGCGGCCGCGGGGCTCCGGGAGCGGCACCTCCCAGCCGAGCGCGGCGTTACGCAGCGCAGGGCCCGGCTTGCAGGCAGCCCGGCTGTTGCCACACCCCCGTGCAGCATCCGGACCTCCTCGGGCCCCGGCCATCGGCCCGGGCCGGATGCCGACGATCCCCGTCCCCGGCAGCTGACGCCGCCCGCTCGCGGCCCGCCCCGGCTCCGCTCTCAGCCCGGCGCTCCGCTCCTACCGCGGCGGATCGCCCGTCCGCCCGAGCTGCCGCAGGCCCCGAACGGATCGCTGCCGTCATTATTCCTACGGAGCACCGCGCACCGAACGCGGACATCTCGGGCCGGACTCCCGCCGCCTCACCTCGGGCCGCGCCGCGCCGCCGCCGTTGCCGCTCCCCGTCCCTCCCCCGGCGGCGGAAGCGGCCGCAGCGCCGGCGCCGCCCCCAGAGGGGAGTTTGGGCCGCAGAGCGGGCGGTCCGCAGCTAAAGGGGCCGTAAGGAAGCGGATGGACTGCGACGGGGCCTGCGGTGACAGGACACGGGGAAAGGATTCACACCGAAAGACGAGAAGGCCGGGACTAGAAATAAGGAAGAAGTTACTTACACCAAGGCACGAGATGCCCGGAGTGGCTATGGAGGCATCCTATGGAGGCATCCTATGGAGGCATCCTATGGAGGCATCCTATGGAGGCATCCTATGGAGGCATCCTAGACCCAGCCGCATGCCAACCTGTGTGACCGATTGTGGGGCACCTGCCTCGGCAGGGGTTGGATGACTTTGAGGTGCTTCCCAACCCCTGCGATCCCGTGATTCAGACTGCGCTTTGTCCGGCATCAGAAGCGCTCACAACACCGAGCTTTGAGCTGAGGTGCTTTGATAGGGCTGTAGAGCAGGGCAGATTGGCACTTTGGGACCCAGCAGCCTTGTGGATCACAGCGGCTTTGTCTGCACTGTACTCCACAAACTGTTCTCCTCCTCCTACAGGACAGCACAGCAGGAACCTGCTTGTATAGAAGCAAGGTCATCAGGAAAAACTGTGCCATCGTGATCATATCCCCTTCTGCTCCTTCAAAAAGAATAATTACCAAGCCTGCCTCAAACCAGTCTGCACAATATCCGAGTCAGTAGGGCTGTCACACAGTGAACAGCTTTCCTTCCTGTAGCATGGAAAAGCTCTGAGCTTCTCATGCTCAGAAGGAAACACTGCACATTTGTTACTCCCTATAAGGAATCACAGCCTGGCTTCATCTATCACTTCTGACCACCCCAACCTGGCAGTAATCCAAAGAAAACTACATCCTTCACTTACTAGTCCGCATTGAAGTGACAAGTTAATTACTGTTCATTCACTACAGTCTCTCAAAAAGTAAAACTCAGAAGTGTCTCTCTTACTTCAGAGAATGAGATTTGTGGTGGAAGGTTCAAGGGGGAAGAACCGCTCCTTATTTGTTAATAAGCAGAAAAGTCAGCTTTAAAGCACTCAGGTTTTGAAGAAATGCAGAGTATTTGACTGAGTCAGTTCTGCTGCACTGAGCCTTAGTGCCATAGCCAGTTTGGGAAACTTATTAGCAATTATATTCTTTAGTGAGAAGGTGGCCATAGCCACAAACCTGTTAGCATTCAAGAAGCATTTGGACAATGCTCTTCGATACCTGGCTTCGCTCTTAGGTTGTCCTGTGTGGAGTCAGGAGTTGGACCTGATGATCCTCATGGGTCCTTTCCAGCCCAGGATTCTTTATGATTTTACCAGATACGCGAATGCCTTTGTTCCATTGCCAAATCCAAACGAAGTCTCCTTTCCATATGTGCTACACTGAAGAAATAAGTTTATATTATTGTAAATATGTAGTCAAGTCAGCAAGATCTGTGGCTCATGCTGTATTTGCACTGTGTTCAACAAAGTATGACAGAAAAAAAACAAAACAACAAGTTTAAACAAGCATTTCAATTATATGTTCTTAATGCTTATATGGTGAGAGTTTAGCATGTAAATTACACCACCCTGGCTTCCCTTACATGTCAACTGAGTGGGTTCAAGGAAGTCAGTGGGAGGAGAATAGAACATAAAGAGCATAAAGAAGTTACACACATGCCAGTTTGCACACCACCTGCATGTCTGGCCATAGCATACTGTCATATGACTTTTATCTGAGCTATTAATCAGTTCCTGAGCGTGGATTCCACCAGACTCCTAAACTGCCTACATTAATTATGCAATTATATGTTTAAAGATGTTTTAAAAAGCAGAAATATCCCCACTGCTGACAAATACACAAAGCAGGGCATAGTAAAAGCTGGTGGACATTACTTATACATTTATTTCAATAAGCCGGCTTTTTAACAAAGCACCAATTTGGTTTGTGAAAAACTGGAACATTGCCACGGAACAAACATCAGTAACTTATCAGTCTAAGCTAGAGCTGCTATACTAAACTGAAACAAGAGATTACTGTCTTCCCTGTCACGTTACCTGAACAGCTTGATTCCTTGTTTCTTGTATTAATCCTGTGAGCTACAGCTTCCAGCCATCGCATCCTGTCATTATCAAGATCAAAGCTTTCTTGGCTACCAGGAGTGTTGTTTGTGCAATTCAGACTTCTAATCTTCTACTGGAGAAGGAAAACAGAGTTCACATCGTTAGCGAGTCCCAGAAATCCTCCAATCACTGCTTTTCTGAAGGCTAAGCACAGGGCGGCATAAGGAAGGATGGGGCCACTGCTGTACTGTGGGGTGGGGGGAGCAATGGCCAGGTGAAGCAGCACACAGAGGACAGACCTACAACACTTGGTTTAGGATGTTATTTCTGATCATGAAATGGTTTGGGTTGGAAGGGACCTCAAGGATGATTAAGCTCCAACCCCACTGCCGCAGGCAGGGCTGCCAACCCCCAAATTTAAGACTAGATCAGGCTGCTCAAAGCCCCATCCAACCTGGCTTCCAGGGAGGGGGTATCCACAACCTCTCTGGGCAGCCTGTTGCAGCACATCACCATTATCACAGTACAGAATCCCTGGGGTCACATCACTGGGCTCCATACAAGCACAGCTAATATTGATCCATCTATTGATCCATGCAGGCCCGTCACACCAGCACTGCCCTTGGTGAGACAGGTATGGCACTGCACGGAAGTGGCACCACAGAGGTGCTGCAGCAGGCTGTGTTCTCTAGCAGCTGGGCCAGCAGAGGCTCAGGACTGGCTCAGTATACAGACACATGCAGGGGATTCCATGTGCATGCAAGAAAGTCAGTGTGGCTCTGATATGAAGGGCACTGCAGGAAAATGGAAGTGTGCCTGCCTTTTACTATGCATTTATTAAGACTCTGTTTTATAAATTGGCTGTGTACCTTGTTTAAATTGACTTTGGGAGCCTATGGGAAGTACTACCCCACTTCCCTGTGTATACCACAGAGGAAATGAGAAACTCACCAGGTCCCTAAGGCCAATTACTTTCTTCAAAACCCAACCTGCTCTGTGTTCCTGACTCAGTCATGTTCAATTCTGTGCTGAGATGGTATCTATATCGCATTACAGGATAGCTGCAGTAGCAATTGATGTTAATTGCAATGCACAGACTGCTCCCTTCTGTCCTTTATACCAGCTATCAAGAAAAATCAGAAAGTCTACTTTTACTGTTTTTAATTTAGCCTCTTCCATCCCTAACTGCCTATCAGACAAGAGAGGCAGAGGGCGTCATCCATACCTACCTCTGCATAGCTTCTCAAAGCTAAGAAGAAATATTGCTACCAAATCTAGTCCATGAACCTGAACCAGTACCTTCTGTATTGTCAATAAAAGGGAAGGAAACAACATACTTTAAGGAGAGTTACAGTGTCTCTTTCAATTTAAAAATCATATCATTCTACCAAGCCAAAAGATTTTTGTCACTCTCTTGCCACTCTCTTCCAGCATTTACAGAGAATTCCCACTATAAGAACAGATTAATTCAACAGTGGCATTTTCTCCATTATGCTCTGCTCTAATCTCACTGCACAGAGTTTGTCTTGCTGAGCACACTGCACCCTCTTCCACACTTCAATAGAGGGTTTTGGGGTACCCCCGTGTTATCTAACGCCTCGTCTTGTGTTATACTGACTGCACTGCTGTGGATTCTACCATTAGTGATTGCCACAAAAACAACTGTTGTATGTGCACTCACAGCTGATGATCAGAAGCCTGTTGTCACCTTTCTCTATGGCCAGCTGACCAACGTCATGATCTCCATATGTGTAACACAGATGGCAGAGCAGCTGTTTACTTCTGTTTTGCACAGCATGCACCTATGGAGCAACACACCGATTACATAATAGTAAGTCATAAACTATAATGAGTCAAACTGCTAAGTCCATGCACTGCGTAGACGAGATTTTTACTCCCACCACCTGATAATATAATTGCTTAATTAGCTCCTCCTGAATGCCGTGGCTATGGTAGAGGAATGTTCCCATGCAGGACATGGTAAATCTGAATACAAGGAGCAAGTGAACAGTGCAAAGATAAATAATTCCTCCACAGCAAAACAGGTCTACCTTCCAGTTTTATTTCCTATGCTGATCTGCCCCTTGCTCTCATGTTTTAGGGACAGAATAGAAACAAGACAAAACCATAACAGTCTGGTCATAAAAACACTACTGGGAGAAGCCTCTCCAATAACATTTCTTCCCAGACATTTGTTTTTCTGAAATTCTACTACGTGCTTATGGAGGTAAAGGGGTAATCCCTATGCTGGTAGGGTTTTTGAAACACCTGCTGCATCACTGAGCATTATGCTACCGCTTTCCTTCAGGCAAGTGGAACTGACGCCGTTAAAGCGGTGCTTATCGCGCCAAGCACAGGGAGACTCTACAGCCCCTCTGGGCAGCCTGTGCCAGTACTCCATCACCTGCACAGTAAAGAAGTGGTTCTTGATGTTTAGACGGAACCTTCTGCGTTCCAGTTTATCCCCGGTGCCTTTTGTTCTGTCAGTGGCACCACAGGAAATAGTAAGGCTCTTGTGCACTCTTCCTTTGATACTGATAAGATCTCCCTTCTCCCGAGCCTCACCCAGGCTGAACAGTCCCAGCTCTCAGCCCCATCTCACAGGAGAGGTGCTCCAGTCCCTCGATCATCTTGGTAGTCCTTTTGGATGTTCCAGTATGTCTAGGCCTCCCTTGCACTCGGGGGTCCAGATCTGGACACAGAACTCCACGTGTGGCTGTACCAATGCTGAGCAGAGCAGGTTGGTAGAAAGCCTCACAGGTCTGGCTGTTTGAGATCTTTCACACTGCAAGCTCATTAGATTTTAAGAACATTTCCAAGCTTATAAAACAGCTGAGCTGACCTAACACAAATGAATGCATAGGAAGCCACAAGAAACTGAAGCACAACCAATTACCTGCAAGCGAATACCATTTTTCACAAAGACAATACAAGATGCTGATGAAATGCAGATATTCACTTTTGGGACTATTTGCTGGCTGGTGAGTTATAAGCTTTCACTTCAGGCTGCAACCATCTGCCAGCTGACCAACTGCTAGCTAAGAGTGATTCAAGGAATAACTGTGCTGACACCACTGCTTTCCCAGTTCTACCACTTGTGATTCATGCTTGCACTCCCCCTCTCCTGGGCGAGCACCCAAGGGCCTCTCATTGGAGCTCTGATACATGCTGCTCCACAGTAGGTCTCCTTTCATCCAAAGCATCACCATGCTCAGAGGGCCTTGGGATGTCTCCATTTCAGCAATAACAAAGAAGAGTTAATAAAGAGTGAGGAAGTGTCAGGAAAAAAAAAATACATTTTGCTTTGACTCCAGGGGAGAGGGAGCTGGCATCTTTTTGAGAGACAATTTCCCGAGTGATGCTGTGGGCGATACAGGAAAAGCTGTCATGTTATGTCAGGGATCCAACACCCACTGCTTCCACAGCACCAAATGCTCCTTTCCCTCCTGGCTAAAATGCACATTAAGTATGATGAGCCTGCAACACTAAAGGGAGTTGTTAAGACACAATCAGATCACTTTGCTTGACTAAAAGTGTTAAATACAGACAAAAAATCTGATAGTATTTGTGAAGCCCTGAAAAGGAAAACCCAGGTTGCATGTGTCTATTTGTAATAAAGTAACATTCTATGAGAAAAAAAATCCACACAGGTGACGCTCCCTTCCCCAAATCCCCACAGACTGCCCAGATAGCAGAGAAGTTTCTGTAAAACACCAGAATTCACCCACATTCACTGGCACTTCAGCCTTTTACTAACAGAGAAGAGCAGAAGTACAGACCCCATGCATGGGCACATAAACTGACAGGATGGGACACAGTGGTTCTGAGACTTTTCTGTTGAATTTCCTTAAGAAACATTTATACGCTAAAAATTTGTGGATATCTTGAGACTTCCTGGGGTCAGAGGCATGCAAATTCCCAGGAGCAGAATATCCCAGTGCCATAAGCAGCCACAAAAAGGTCTAAGTTTTACAATTCCCAGCAAAATTGCTTGCCAACTGTTAGACAAGTGCTTCACGAGTCTCGCAGCATCACCCACCCTTCACCTCATACCTTCAACTACGTGCATCCTCACTTCATGTCTCATAGTTCGCCTGTAAAGATTATGGCCTAGATTAGCTGCTGATCAGGATCTGGAGGGATCAAAAAAATGGAAGGGGCCACAAAATAGGACAGACAGAAGGTCACTGAAAGGAATGAAAGACATCAACAGCACAAGGAGCCTGGAAAGAACAGGGATCCTGATTGCTGAACACATACTGAACTGTGAGTCAAGGAAAAACCTCTGTGTAGGAATTACCAAAAAATTCTCTCAGCACACGTTCCTGAGCAGAGTCCCACAGCAGTATATCTGCACCACTGTCAGCACCTGTGTGAACAGTTTTCTTAGACTGCCATACACGAAGACAGCTTCAGGGAATCTTTTCTGAATATTCGTTATGCAGGAACAGACCAGACCTTGGTGTCTCTGTTAACTTCTTGAGTCACCTCCATGGGTTACCAGCCAGAAAACCCAACATGAAATGTGGTCTGGTGTTCTGTTAATAATATACTCTGTGTTTGTTCATGATCTTTAATCACATGGCTTTGTGCTCTGTGGAACATCCTGTCTCTCTCGCCTAAACCAGTTCAGAGGTAAAGATGCTTTGGACTCAATCCAGACTACACATGTATGTTTCTGTCTTGCTCTGGAAGCTGTATGTCAGTTTCAAACAAGTTGGCACAGTTTGTATTATCGTATTTTCCTGGAGGGAAAAAATGAATCCGCCTATGAGTTGAACAAACAGAAAAGCCTGCACACACACCCCTGCTCGCCCCTAAGAACCCCCTTATCTCTACAAGGACAGGGGAAAACTGGAGGGTAAAGGTTAGCACACAATACATTTGTTAGGAAATTGCTTTATAAGAAACAATTTGTCTATTTCTACTTCTACATGCATGGGATTCCCTTCCAAGCTGGAAAGCAACCTGTAGACTCTTCTGAAGTTGTGAATGTGTATCCAACTCCCAGCCTCAAAAAAGCAGCTAAAAATAAAAAATTAAAAACAAAAACAAATAAAAAACCCCAAACCCAAATACCACTGACCTAAGACCACATCAGGGTTTGGCATCAGGCTGAAAAAACATGGACTTCTTGAGGTTTTAATTTCAGTGAATTACTTCACTGTACAAAATGGGAAAATGAGATGCAAAAAGGCAGTTATTGTACTGCATTTGTAATTTCATATTATGTAAAAAGATACTGACCCTATATCCAGGAATAATGCAAATGAATTAGAATTAACATCGCGTGCAAAGCATCACTTAAGATCATATGACAACATTAAGATCTCTCTTTCAAACTGACTCAAAAAAGACCAGGCACAAATACACACACAAAATCTGCCTGCCAGATTTCTTGGCATATTGGACAACTGCACTGTTACACGTGACTGACACGTTGTTCAGCCTCTGGGCCAGCACAGTGGGGTTTCTTTTAGAACTTACCATTCTATTCTGTTCTAAAAATGAGAAGGCCAGGCCCACCGCTATGGATACTTGTGTGCTTGTGTTTTATTTGGCAGACTGTACGTACAGCTTCTCAGAGCTGAGTCATTACAACTCGATCACACCAAATACATGGTAATGACTTGCATTCACACAGACAAGTGTGCAAATATAATTGAGCTTCAGGACACAAGAGGGCTGTATACCAGTAGGACACTGCTCCCCATCTTCGTAACCTTCCCAGAAGGGAAATTTGAGAATATTCAGCAGCAGGAGCAGAACAGAAGCAGGATCAAATATATTTTTCAGACAACCTGATGAAGCCCCCCTTCTGCACAGCACAGAGTTTCGTGGTGCAGAGCACATTAGATCAAAGGGCACAGGGAGGACACTTCTACCCCTCCGTAACATTCCACGTAGCTGTGATCCAAAGGCCAATTATTAGTCCTACCTAGCATTGCATGCAGACTGCAATAAATAACAGCTTTGTACTCTTAAATGGCATCTATATGCTCCTTGAAAAATCTTACATCTCGTAAAAGGGAATGTGAATATCTAACACACAACTAGCCTCTCATTTTGAGTTTTATCAAGATAAATTTTATCAGGACTTCACTGATCTTTAATCCATTTCAACTTCATCCAAGCAGAACTTGATAAGTTTAAGATAAAAGGAGATGACAATACATGTAATCTACCAGCAGAGGCCATACCTCCATGGAACAATTAAGACTCAGTTCTGACAAACCCCACAGAACCTCTGGAGTTTGACATATGGGATACAGAACTACAAATTCTCAGCCAATTTCCTTCAGTTTGCTCCGATTTCCCTATTTCCTCACTTATTGCTGAGCTTTAGGGTTCATCCACAACTATCACAGCTCTCTTACCTTAATTCCTCTTCAGGCTGCTATAGATTTTACTGATAACAGGGCCCCATATTCAAACTATGCCCTACAGAAGTCTTCCCTTCATGCTATTTCTACTCTATGTTTTTACTCAGGTCCCAGCACTCCTACAGATGTTCATGCAAGTGCTCTTCTCCTTTGATTACGATGCACTAATATCCTAACACAGAGAAAGGTGTTCACATCTGGTTACACTTCTTGGCACAAAAAACCAAGAATGTCTGTTTTCAAGGCTACACTTACAACTACGTACATATTAAAGATTAGCAATGCCTCTGAGATGTAACTTCATCCCTTTATTGGCATGGTTGTAGCTGAAGGCAAACAACTGAAAACAAGCAGCATGACTTGGAGTACAAGTTATGACATACAAAACACCAACCATCTCATCAGTCGGTTCCCCAGCTATAAAACAGATGCTAGGAAAGCGGCCTCGGGATTTGCAGTGCATGCGCAACCTTTAGCCCAGAGCACTGGGTACAAATACACGAGCAGGAAAGACTGCTTAAGACAGTTCTGACACTCTGACACCACTGTGCGGTGCTAGAGACCAAGGCTGGCAATGCACTCACTGCACTGGAAAGTTCAAAGTAACTTCTTGCTAGCGTCACCTTGAGTTTTTAAGCATTATTTACCACTGCATTTTAAGTTGAATATAAGAAATGAAAAGGGGAAATTCCAGACTAAAGTTTGTCTACCCCTCAGGCACTTCCTGCACCAGTGACAAAAGCAGAACACAAATTGTCACAAAAAAAAAAAAAAAAAAAAAAAAAAAAGCTTCAACTTCAGCTGGTGAACTTTTCTTGATTTTAAGCAAGAATTATTTGCCTTCAAAAACTGACCTGGAAGCAACACTGCCCACCTTTGTGTTCCTAGACTCAGAGTTGCTGCTAGCATACTCCAGTGGACCGCGCTCAGAAATAGGCTCTGCTTTGCTTCATTCTCAGTTTCTCTCTCAACTTTTCCTGCTGCTGTTCCAGCAGAGTGGGCACTTAATTGCCACTTGGTCTTCTGGGCCACCCTTTGCCAAAATGAAATTACAAGCTTTCTCTCTGCTTGCCTTGTAATCATTCAACTAATGGAAGAACGAAGTCCAGCAATCCCCTTACAGAGAAGGCAGATAATTCAAGCATTATCAAGCTGAAAGTGAATACTGCAGATAATTGAATAAGCCACGAAGTGTTCCCTATACAACTATACCATACCCTCTGATCATAATGAGAGTTAGTGAATTCTCTTCTCCGATACAGACACGTAGGCATAACTAAAGCAGAGAAAATAAAACTTTCAGATTATTTTTTCTACAACTACTAATCCCTCTTCTATTATTTTAATTTCCTTCCTGTCCTGACTACATTAGCCTGAAGGGCCTTGCTTTAAACAGACGGATGCAGCATCTGATGTCCTTTGAGCATCATATCTATATATATCTATGTAGATCAAATACAACGTGCTGAACATAGAGGACATTACTGTTTGTTTGCCAGAGACTTTAGTGGAGACTTCAAGACGTTGATTTTTTCCTGCAATGCAAGAAAACACTGCTACATTCAAGCCCCTCAACAATAAACTATTAATTCCTTTGAGTCACAACAGAAAGCAGACTTATTTTTTAAGAAAAATATTTTCTAGAAGGTCTCAGTAGGGTGAGACAGAGCACAGCAGGGGAATTTTCTTTGTGCTGATTGATTCCAGGTGCAAAAGACAGATAATGCAAATGAATCAGCAGTGCCTCTGGCTCTAGTTCTGAAATAATTTCTCTCCACATCAGGAGAAACAGCCTGAGCCTAAGAACAGGCAGAGAACATCACTTTCTAAATCACCTTCCAAAGGTGAACAAGCTGCAAGTTAACTTGTTCAGTGCACATCAAATACACCACGGATCTCTGGGGCAAAAAAAAGATGGGCCTTCTAACATGTCCCAGATACTACATTTTCTTCGCAGCATCTCAGTAGCATCAATTAAAACCAATCTCTAATTTGCATTAAAATAATCTGATTTTAAATTCCTTTTGAATGCAGTTGATCTTGCCTGATTTTTCTCTAGTACAGGTGACGCACAGACATACCCCAGATGATGGGTCCTGTCTCCACTATCTATTTTCAAAAAGGCCTAATTTCACCAGCACTATTGGACCAGATGATAGATTCACCATTACTATGCTGTTACCTTACAAATGTAGGGAAAAATCACAGGGTAATCTCAGCAGCACCACGTTGTCACCATCAAAATCCATCAGTCTTGACCAAGACCAAGGCAGTTCATTTTGTTCCAGCTGATAAACCCTTTTAGAAAGAACATTATGTTCCCCCATTACAGAAGGTTCCAAAACACACACTTCTTGTGGGAAATGATGACTTAATTGTAACCTAGAGAAACACACCAAGTAATTCACACCAAGAATGCAGTGAAAATGCCTATCTGGAGTAGTTCATATGCTCAGAACAAACTAAATTGTGTCCTGGTAGGACTAAACGTAAGGCAGTTTGGTTTTGCTACAGAATAGAGAACTTCCCTCCTGTTTACTGGTTATTTGAAGGTCTTACTGAAAATATGTAAACATTCAATGTAATCACACTGTGAGCTTCTAACTGGAATAAGCAGAAAGTGTTTTGTTTTTCAATATATATGCAGAGATCAGTAGGAGGAACACTGAAATAGTATTCTCTTTTTGTCAGGCATGCCTTCCCATATGAGAACCCTAGTGCTTAGCAGATGTATAACCAGGTAATCATTCTCCCCGTGATGCAAATATTCCTTACAACTACAGGCAATGTTCTGTTCTTGATGCTTGTAACTGACAGGCTCGTGAAAGATTTAAATAGCTAGGGGAAAATAAGCCATTAGGATTGCCTTTAATTATTCAGTTTTGTCAAATGCCTATAGTGCATTCAGAACCTGAGATCTTTAGGGATAAACATGCCTCAGCTTTTAGCATTACACCTAAAGACCAATTCTTCCACATTGGCCTTTTCTCTCTCCATTCAGCCAACAGCACATTGCTTTACAAATAAAAGAAACTGCTTCCTGTACACAAAATCACATACAATGAGATTCTGGAGAAAAAAATTGCTTGTTTGTTTTTTTTAAATCCACAATATAAATCCCCCTCCCCTCCATCCTTTATTTCTATTTAAGACTCACAGCCCGCCTGCAGGTACTGCTGCCCTCTCTCTACCTCTAGGAAAGAATTAAGAGGTAATTAAAACACGGAGCAAACTGTACTGTTAGTTGAACAATGCAGGTATACCCTGATACCTCACGTATCATTGGCTTACTTGCCGAGCAAACTGACCCGGTGAGTCAGCTGTTACAAGAAAATGATGTCACATAAAAATTCTGAACTAGTAACCTCCAATATTCTTTGAACACTTGGGAATAATTCCTGCATTAGTCAGGGAGAGTGAGTGTAAGCTGCCACTGCCTCAGTGAGTCATGAACAAAAGACTTGGCACCTCTTAGAGCTTTGTGCAACTCTGCCTGTATTCTTCCACTACAGGCCAATATTTCCCTAACTGAGCACACAGTGTAAGCACGGTTATGACCCTACTACGTCTCCACTAGGCAATGACTCATCCACGTACACTCCAATCAATCTGAGTTCCATGATCTGTGCTTCTCCATGTTTAGACATATATATTCATTAAATCAGAAGCATTTCTACATTAGATCTTTATGCAGAAAGCTTCCACCTCAAGACACACAGAGTGTCTTACGTCTTACAGGAAGCATAAGACCAGGCTTGAGTGTTTTGCATCAAAACAATTCATTTCCAATCCCTCATTAAATCTACTAAATTACAAACACTCGTATCAGTTATGCAGCCTTTATTGACTTTGTCACTCATTCTGTCAAAAATGAAACTTCAAAGCTTGCTATCTTAGTAGGTCTTCCTGAAAGCCTCTCCATCAAGCAGGAGATGCAGCACTGTAGATTAACACCAAGCCTGCTCAAAGCACCTGGGTATTTGTCAGGGGAATAAGTCTCTCTCAAGTCTGAGGTGGAAACAAAAAGCTTTAACATGCAGTTAAGAAAAGCATCCACTATTATCTACATGGTTTGGAATCTGCCTGTACTTGGACAGAAGATCTGAGCTGATGCTGTACTGTACAGCTCTTAAGATTAAATGAACGAATGAGTATTAATGGATATAAGTCTTGGATCTCCAGCAAGCAGTTTGCTACACTACTGAATAAAGTAGTCTTGCTTCACAGCCCTTTGCAGTGGCATCTGGCTGGTGTATAGGTGGTTCCCAACAACCTCTGAGTCACACAGATGAAGCTGTAGTTTCTGTATAGCACTTATGTCTGGTGTTTGGTAGAGGGCAATGGGAGAAGAACAGCAAAGGAGAATAGCAAGTAGCTGAGCAATGAATTCTTCTCTGATCAGTATACACTGAGCGCACCACCTCCCACAAATAAGAGAGAGAATCTAGAGTTCTCAGAGGCTCCATCTCCCGAGACTGATTATCTCCAATTACTACTTTGTTTTTTGTGCACATATATTTCTCTTCCTCACCAGAAGCTTTTATTGTACTTTTATACTTAGGGATGCTATTACTTGAACTCACAATGTTTCCACTTGATGAAAATCTGCTCAGATCCTCTGTGCTGCTCATCCTTGATGGCCACAAATGCTCCAGAGGTCTGACAAAGCAATAGATGATACCTTAGCTTCACAGACTCTTCCTTACTTAAGTCTCTCTGGTCAATCAAAAACAGAAATGATTTGTTCACAGAACCAGTGGTAGGAAAGTAGAAATTCCAGTTTCCTCTCTCAGCATTCCATGCAGAAGAATCAGTCGCAATGTGCTTTTCATTTTCCTCTGATTAACAAAGGAAGTTTACACATACTTTTTTGGTACAGACTTTTAAGAAACAACTGGGTTAGCCAAGTGGAGGCTGGAGCTGTGGAAAGTGCCTTATTACTTCATATAATCACAGAATACCCCAAGCCAAATGGAACCCGTAAGGATCATCATGTCCAACCCCGGGTCCATGTGGAATTCAAAGCATGTTTCAGAAAGCATTGTCCAAAAGCTCCCTGAGGTCCAGCAGCTCGGGGCTGTGCCCACTGCTCTGGGCAGCCTGTGCCATGCCCACCTGCTTTGGTGCAGAACCTTTTCTTAACCCCTCACCTGACCTTCCCCTGACACAGCTCCATGTTCAAAATGTCAGACATTGAATGAGCACTGAAAGAGGTAATCTTTCCATCACTGGTGGCAATAAGTAGATACTCTGGACCAGAAGAAAAGGATCCATCTAATTCTGTGTTCTCTAAACGAGTTGTCAGTACCAGCTTCCCTAAAGCAATAATAAGTTAAATATTAATCCTACATGCAAATAGGAACTTTTCTTACAGAGAAAGAGCTGATCTGGTTATCAAGTTTCCCATGTGCAATTCCCCGTCACTTTGAGGCCAATGACACCCACTGCACTTTAAGCAATCACCCTGGCTCCAGTGCCTCCGCTATGGAGAAATCACTACCATCAGAGTTACAGCAGAGCCTCTATAAGGGCCAGCTCTTACATCTTCATAACCCTGGAAAATGTCTGAGCTGTTAGTTTTATACCTGAGGAAAACAAATCTTTTGGTAAGAACAACTAGCAGTGACCAAGAGGGGACAGCTGGGGAGGCAAGATCAATAGGTAGAAATGCCAACACTTCAGAAATTCTCTAACATGGGTTTTAGGTAATAGCCCATCTCATCTGCAGATAAGAGGCAAGTGGGGTTGAATATGGCTCAGTAAATTGACTTGTCTCCCTTGTCCTATCCTTAAGGACTTGCTTGTTCTGAAGGAAATTTCCTTACAAAATCTGCTAAGTAGTTAGAGTGATGAGAGGAGCACTGCTACACAAAAATAAAAACCACAAGTCACATCCCTGGGCTGGAATCATCCTCAAGGAAGGACTGCAGGCAAGCAGCTCTCAGTATTGCCACCATCACAAAGGACTTGTAAACCATCTTCTCCAATGCAAATGGCAGCTCTGCTTGTATGAAAGGCAGCAGTAAGCATCCTCCTCAGAAGGTTGGTATGGCCACCTCTGCCAAGGCCATAGCATCCTCAAAGAACGAATGGCTTCATTTCCTCACTCAGTTATATACAGATGAAGCACAATTGCATCTTCCCCATTTCTACAGAAAAGCATCACTAAAGGTGACACAGCCTCAGCTCTTCTCTCATTGGTTTTCCAGTTCAGTTTCTTCTGAGCAGCCAGATCTAACACACTGAAGAGGAAGGCTAGCCTCTCCTAAATCCTATCCGACCTGAAATACTGGCTTTGCTGGCCAGAGGCCCAGGGAAGGCTGTAACTGTGACACTGTGTGCAGCACCTATACTTAACCTTTTCCCTCCCAGGTTACCAGAACCAGCATCTTAGCAACAAAGAACGCTTCACATACAGCTTTTCATTTCTCTTGCCAGTTGAGCACTCCTAATGCAATGCTAAGCAGCAGCTGCCATCAGTGCAGTGCCTGCCAAACTGTGAGTCAACTGCTGGGCTGCGTCTGGCGCGCACTCGGCCTCCCAACCACCCCCAGGGCCAGAGCCTTCTGTGCCAGGTGCCTCCAGCACTTCTCAAGTAGGGCTCAGCCAACACCCCCACCTTTGGCCAACTGGCTGCCCTGTCCCACTCCTCCTGCCTCAACTCAAGCAACGGTCAAGTCAACAGTGCCCTTTTTTTATCTTCCTTTGTTTTGCCTAAATAAAAATCCTTAGGATTCCCTGTTGCATGTAATCCCAGTTCCTTGCACAGGCATACTTTTGGGCAGTCCTGCAACTGCATCATAGTTTGATATGTTTACAATCTAATATCAAACATAGCTCTCTAGCCATTGCTAGCTCTGTATACAAAAAGTACACTATTTTTCCAGCAAATTAATAGGATGTTATCTGCAGCTGGGACTGGCAGTTGGAAAATTCCGTCTTTAGCAGCAGTCACCTTCTGTTCTGAGGTTCTTATTGAGAAATATGACTTCTTCTGAAGTTTTAAGATGGCTTTATGCACCATTTAAAACAAGAAATCCAATGCATTTAGTTCCTTGGTTTATCATTCATTTATGGAAGGGAAGTTTTCAAAAGTTAATTGCTATGTTCATTTTAAGAACTGTTGAAGTAAACAATGCACAGGGTCATGCAGATAAATTAAATTCAAGCGAGCTGGACTAAGACACACTTAAAGCTTTCTGTTTTCCTGCTTTTAATATGAATTGGATCATATGACAAATTAGAGTGGTGGGGGCCCTCAGGAGGTCCCTCGTCCGACCTCTTTCTCCAGGTGGGATCATCAGATCACACCAGCTATCTCAGGGCTATGACCTAAGAATGCCTGTACATTCCTGCAAAGAAAGATCCCATGCCACCTCTTCTGCTTGAATTTCTTCAAGGCCCAAGATTGGACTTTCACATTCTGCATCCAAAAGCAGCACTGGAATCTCATCCTTCCTCTCTTCTGCAGCATTCTACAGAACATCACAGAAAGATGTCCTGAGCTGGCATATAGTTTGCTTCCAGATCCTGCCCTGGAGACTACCTGACAGAGTAGCGCAGATGAAGGCACAGCTTCCACTATGAGGCAACACTATCACAACTCCTGTGGCACGTGCCAATTTCCAAAGAACTTCAGGCAAATGAGGGATGCAGTCCCGCTGTGTAAGTCTTCCCTGAAGGAATTCCAAGTGAATTTATAGTAACTGACAGCAAACACTGACAGACTGCTTCCACACCCCCACCCAAGGGGAGAAAAGAATTCAACCTTACAAGCAAAGATATTACAGACTGGGATATCCCAGCTACCTTAAGCCCAAATCCAGCGATTGGATCATACATCAGATGACTTTGAGTCACTCAGCTATCAGGACAAATCATCAAGCCAATCCTTTCACTTTGACACCAAAAAGTAATGACTCTCACGACACGTCTTCCCATCCACTTGTTTGTCAAGTAACACTGTTGATACCTTCCTTACAAAACAAGGACCAGCTACCATAACTGGTGTAAAAACAAGCTGCTTCATCTTCTCTCAAGTATGGATAGCAATGGGACAGTATAAGCAATTTACCAGAAACTGTAAATTCAAGTGATTAAATATATTTAATGTACCTTCTATGGCATTTAATAGTCTCAGGTTCCTCAATTTCTAAAAATGCAAAGTGTGTTCTGAAGATTCCATATAGCAGAAAGCTTCTGGAGAATCACAGGAACTCGGGAGTTGTCACGTAGGGTACAAAGCCCAGCTACCAGGCACTGAAATGAACTGCAGATCAATCAGTCACATGGACACAGGTGGCAACTTTGGCTAGTCACACCTGGCAGAGGAAAAGGTAAAGCTTAAAGCAATTTCTTTCCTCTAGGCTGAGTTTAGTTTATCTTACTGCCCACAGCAATTTCAAAGCATGTGTTGAAGGGCACTAAGAACAATTCCTCAGTAAACAAACTGAGGGAAGAACTACACTGAGGCATCTGCCAATATCCTTGTACCTGACTGTCTTGTGGTGGGGTTGTTTACACAAGGAGCATCTTATCCTCACCTGGCAATGTGTTCTGATGTATTACTGTACATTTTGTTTTACATCAAACACAATTTGTTTAACATATATTTTACTCAACTTCAGCCCTGTGTACTGCCTCTAATACAAACCACTAGCAAATACAAAGAAAGCACTCAGCAGAAATGGAGCAGAGCAAACCTTTGTCTTCTGTCCATTGCCTGCTATGGATTTAGCGGTCAGCTCTACTGAGATGTCACAAATGATGACTTATGGCCACTACCTGCTTCAGGTCTTCCTTCTCCATCATTCGCTGCTGAGGCACAAGGAGATTCAGAACCAACCTTTCAGAGTACTATGAGCTCATCCTGCCCTGAAGCAGCACTTTTAATGGTTAATTTACTAGGACATGGACTATTTAAAGCCACTCTTTCCTTAAGCCTTATCTGTTTGTTTTAAGATACATGAATTTGTACTTTCACTACATGTACTTCTGGATTAGGTTTTCCATTGAAATACAGGCTGTCTCTTGGGAGAGAGCCAGCTGGCATCAGGAGACAGCACAGCTCAACTGCTGTCAATTACTGCACTGGAATACAATACCATTGTGATGGACAAGGAAAAATGTGTTTACCAGAGGTTATCACTGGTGTTTGGTGTACACTGGGGACAAGCATATGAGCAGACAAACATTCCCATAGGCAGTGAGCAGCATGGGGGAACGTGCAACAGTGTGCTGGCAGAGTACTGAGCACACAGATCTCTGTGTGTGTGTGTGTGTGTAAAGCTTATTTTCAAAGCCATAAGAAGAGGGTTTAAGAGAAATCATTAACTTAACACTAGAAAAATTTGTCCTCTGCAAAATCCCACCATTCCCCATTGATATACAGACAGCATCTTTCCTTGCTAGAGTGAGAGGATAAAGAAAGCAGGAGGTAAAAATCTGCAATACTAGAAATCATATCACAGACCCTTCATAAAAGCCTGATTTTTAGACTTTCAGGAAGCTTATTTTTAATCTTCCAGAAAACTGACAAATCACACCAGCATTAGAGAGAGCCCGTGTGTCAAATCTGAGTCACATGCCTTTGCTTCATCAAAAAAGTATTTTGATGGCAGATTTTGTTCAGCTTATTTACAGGTTGGCAGGTCATTTTTTAACTTGTCAAAACATGTGCCAGGCATGTGTGCAGCAGCCAGATAAGCTATCGTGTAGGTAGTTTCTGAAAACAGCATACAGAAACACACATTTAATACAGATGATTATCATTTATACTTTGATTCTGGCTTCATTCTACTATCTTTACATCACTGTAATTACACTCCACATTTCCTTCATGATTCATCATTGCATAACAAACTAGATAGGTGCTTTATGGGTGTGTTGCAGGTTTGCACAATTAACTCAGTCTATTGGACTGGAAATGACGATTTGTATTAACTGAAAAGATCATGTGGCTGTGTAGTTTGTGGGTGTTGGTTGATTAGAATGGAAAGTGCCAATTAGAGAAGGAGAAAATGACAAACTCATTATGTTTAAGGAGAAGTACTTATGTCTTCCTGGAAATTTTAAAGTTTACCTGGAGTAGGATTCACAGTTGCAAAGCTTCAAAGAAAATGATTCTTCCTGTGTCTGTGAGCATACTGGGATAGCAAACGAGGAGATGGAAGGATAACAAACACATACGATCCAGGAACAGGATGAGAGAACAGACCAAGAGCCTCCTAGAGCCTTTTTCTCACTCCTGAATGCAGATGGCTGTTCTTACAACAATGCCAGCACCAATAAACTCTGGACAATTTTTTTTTTGTTTTTTTCTTGCCAGACTTCATAGGAGATTCAATACACTGAAAATATAAAAAACGTATCATGCATAAGTAATCTCTTAAAAACATAATAAAACAGCAGGAATTCTGGCAATGAGACACTTTAGTTTATTTTAATGTAATTAAGTACATTCTGCCACTCAGCGTATCCCCAGCCTTGCTTTTTCTACTAACTTGCATTGATGACAGCTGCAACTTCCAGCAATTGCTACAAGGTTCAAAAGTACGAACTGCGCACCAGAGTTTACTCTGCAATATTTCTCAACAGCCCGAAATATGGTCTGTGTGGGCGTTGGATGCAGGAGGAAGCTCAGCTTCTGTCCAAATGAATCCAACCAATGAAGTTTGAAAAGAAAAAAAGCAAACAAACAGAAACCCACACAACCTTCACCACCACAAGCTGGGAGAGGGAAGAGATGGCAAAGTGTTGTACAAAAAGGTTTTTCTGAGATTTACTGTGATCACAGCAGCTTTTCTGCCCTTTTCACCTGCTTGCAACCAGCGCTGCTGTGCACATTTAGAGCTGAGATATGTCCTATACAGACACGTGTGTGTGCATATTCCTATGACAAGTATCTGTGAGTGACATCCATGCTTTAGATGTTCATTTTGAAATGTTTTAAGGTAACCTGATCTTCAAGTGCTCAGCTCTTCAGAAAATCACACAAACTCATACCTCATCCAAGCAAACGTTAGGCCCTGAAATTGTAACTCATTCATGAAGAGACATTAAAATCATGTCTGCTTTCTGAGGTGACAACAAAACACAACCAAATCCAACAGCAGTCTCATGGGGATGTCCATAATAAAGAACCAGTAGTGCAAATACAAACACCCGCCTCAGAGTAAAAGCAGTCAGCAGACTACTGTGTCCCCTCCTCATGAGCTGCTCAGGCAGAACATGAAATGCGAATAAAAGGAGCTTTATAGTGTCTAGAAGCCAAAATACTGAACTATACATTTCTACAACAATGCACTCAGCACTGCTTCTAACCATCGCTTCTTGCTCTGTATCTTTTCATCTGAAATCACTGCTGCAGTGCACAGAGCACCCACAGCTGGCACCTCCCACTGCTGCCAGCCTGATACACCACACATCCCTTACATCCTTGGATACCCATAAGACATCTATGTAGTGAGCTCACCATGATAAAAAAAGCACGTTGGAAAAGAAACAGTAGTAAACTAAGGTAACAGACTAGGATAAATTCTTGGGAAGGATGAAAACAAACTTCAGCTGCAGACCTCCGAACATTGCAAGTGAGTACATTCCAGGAACTCCCCCAAAGTAAAACACAGCACTCCCATAGAAACACTGCATCTAAAGGCCATACAAACACGCTGAGCCCATCAGCTGGCACACAGCCCGTTGGCTCTGGGAAGAGAAATATTGACTGGGATTTGAGTCAACCCCTCCGTTTCAAATGGTCCTCCCAATGAACTGCAGTTGGAAGTTTCTCAACACTGCCCTGAAAGAATCCAATTAATACCAAAGCAGCACAAGCTGTGGGTATTCCAGCACAGCAGAGTGAGGCTTTCTGGCGACCCGTTTGTGTGCCTGAAAGCAACAAGGAACTCGATTTGGAAGAGCTGTATAACAACGCGCCTACGTCAGCAGTATTTATGTAACATTTCTTTGAGACATTCCAGTGTACTGGATAGAGAGTGAAAAACAGATGGGACTGTGGCCATTTCTGGGAAACACAAGTGTGAACAACTACCTATTTTTAATTTATCAAGTTCCATTCCAGTCTAAGCTGCTACAGAATCTGCGTCAATCTTTGTGTCCTTTTTTGATCTCTTCCCTCACTTAGCTTATGCTTATGTACTGAAAAAGCCTAAGCACATGATTACCCCATCCAGGCAACATGCCTTTGAAATGGCTTTTTAATCTACACTCTCCACTCCCTGACAGACCGACTTTTGCAGTATGTCTGTATTTGCTGTCTAGACACTTGCATATGCTAACCTCTAATTTAGCCCTCCCTTACTGACCCATGAGTTTCCTCCCTTCTGTGGGTCTTCTGGCTAAACTGGAAATGCAGCACACTCATTCTACCCTATACCTGCCTGCTATAATTGCGTTCGTACAAATCTGACCAGTGAAATAAGCATATGTTCATCATTTACAACAATGAATCCTTACAATGAAACAAGTTTCGCAGTGCTCTCCTAATCCCGTGCCCTTCTTTACTGGCTCCGAACTTAAAGAATGAGTGGTCCTTTCCAAAAGGATTCAGAGTATCTATGTAGACAGGAATCTGAGCTGAAGCTTGTGCTGTGTGCCCAGTTACACAGGCAGAAAATGATGGGAGTATCTGGTCTAAACGTGACAAGGAAAGGAAAATACATACATGCCCTAAGAATAGCCAAATCTGATGTCAGTCTAAGGCAATATTGCCCCTAGCATGGAGAAAAAAAAGAAAACGTCCTCTCCACACAAGGCACTTCCTCTGCAACCTTAATGAGTGTTTTCCTTCAGTCTCTGTGTGCCCAGTTTTTCAGCCCATGTTAATGCTTCCGGTGTTTGCAGTGCTCAGAGATGTAATGAGGGTGTGCAGATGAGAGCTCACCAAAGCCATTCTGTACTTCCACTTTAAATACTATCTTTGCACCACAAACCACTTCCATGTGCCTGAAGCATAAAAGATTTGCTATCTGTGTCAGCTTGTACAGATGACTTAAGAGGCAATTTAGCATTATCCAATTGCTTTAAAGTCGAGTTCATCCAGGGCCCATTATTCAGGCTGTGTACAAGGCTGGATTTCAGCATCAGGACTACACAGTGCCATATCGGTGCCACTGCAATCTGAGAGCCTGCACTACTAATCTAGATATACCTTACTCAAACTCACTGTCCCTGTCCTTTCCTTGCACACCCGCACATCTTTCTCAACCCCAAACTATGTACCACAGAACGCTGCATAACATTACTTCTCACTGTGCAAAGGAATATCAAATTTATCCGCTTCCAATTTGGGTGAGAAAATTCATCGACTTGTGCAGCATGAATTTACTACTGCTGCATGACAGACTTTAATTTGCTATCAGTTCAGTGAAACTATAGCAGTTTTGTTGCACCCTGTACATATTATGATTTCCTTCATATTAACACACGCTCCAGTTCATTTCCCTCACTCCAAACTGACCGATCTTGAAAACTTCAGTAACTACGAATTTTAGCTACTGTGTACGTTGGTTACATTCTCATAATGTGTACATCACAATGATAGGAGAGAGCTATCCAGACTTCTTAACCTCAGCATTCATATTTAGAATGCTCTGTCAGACTACCACAAAGCAGAACAGAAGCTGAGGACCTGAATGAGGCATAAAGATACATAAGGATCACACTCTGTTTAATTTCTACTAGACACATCCTTATTCTGCTTGAAGTAAAAAGTTGTGATTTTCATGGAAAAATCACAACTGAGGGACACAACTCATTCATGAGGGACACAACTCATTCATTTTGGAATCCAGCACCCAAGCAGAGGCCAATGTGTTCAGTATTAATCTACCATATAAATTAAATTCAGAACATTCCACAACAGAAAGGTTTGTTCACAGACCATCTTCTGTGCTGCTTCTTGCTAGGTTTTCCTTTCCCAAACAACCCCTTACTATGGGGCTGATAAAAACTACATTTAAAGTAACTGAAGATACAGATTATCTCAGCTCTGCAGGAGCACCTCTGGAGGTGCTGTAGAAGCATATCTAAGCTACCTCCATTCACATCACTAGTCACACAAAAACGAGCTCTGCTGGATCTAACTTACACCTTGTTTGCCTCTCTTCAGAAAGGATTTTTCCTCTCTGATTACTTACCTCAATTACCTCTTCTAGTCATCAACAAGGCAGGAAAGAAGACTATCTTAGTTACTCATTCCCTTTCAGGTAACCAAATTGGAGGCACACACAACAAAAACTGAAAGGAGAAAAAAATCCATACAAGCTTCCTGCTCAACAGCAGCTTGCACACATAAGTAGAATTAAGCTATAATATAGCAGCACCTATTTTAAAATGAAGTTACTATTCATAGAATGTGACAGTCTATAGAATGACCATATAAGAGCAATATATACACACATATTTAATATAGAATGTCAGGTATGTTACTTCCCAAGTTAGTATCTTAACATGAAATGTAATTTCCCCATTTTGTAGCTTCTCAAGAAGATGCTGCACCTTTCATTGCTCCAGCTGCTGACATTTTTAACTTTCTCCGCTCAAACAGAAATAACAACTGAAAATGTTAAGCGGTAAAAGTAAGAACTTACCAAAGGAACAAGATCATTAAGAAGATCACATGCTCATCTCCACCACCAGCTCTTAAATGAGGGCTGGGAAGAATCCTGGCTCCATCCCTTCCATCACTCAGTACATTGCATACACCTGAGCTCCCCTGGGCCGGCCCTGCCTTCCCAACCAGGTGCTCCTCACTGCTTCAAGCCGTGACTTAGCATTTCTACTACAATATTAAACAACTAGAAGGACTAAGGTTACTTAGGAGTTAGTCTTTAAGTCAGTTACCAAATTGCAGGGAGTAGTTCACACTTGCCAACAGAACTGCGGGTGGTTGAAAAGTTCTGAAATACTGTATATCACAATGAAAGGGTAGAAACTACAATGTAACTGTCAGTACAGAAATCAATTTTCTCTGCACACAAGTTAGCACAGAATCTATTACAAGGAGATTATGATGTTTTACTTCTTCAGTATATTCCAACAGCAAGTGACATCATTGATAAATGTTTTTATCCAGTAAAGTAATCAATAATTAAATGAAACGGGACTTCAGTGAACAAAAACTAAGAGTAGTAAGAGAAAAATTCAATTGCATTACTTGCAATTTACCCAAATGCTAAACTACTTGACAAAATAACACTAATAGAAGCACAGAAGCTATGAGGTATCATCATTTCCAGGCAGACCTTGAACGTCATCTTCATGAGCCAAAGTTTCCCAGGTACAAACAAGTTAAAAACCTGAGCACCCGTTACTGCTTGGTTTGCACCAGAAGAGGCCACTGCAGCAATTCATCCTACTGAAGCCATCTCAGTGCTATGAAGCCCATCTTACAGAAGGCTCATCTCCTGCATTTAGCCACAACCGCATTTAGGGTTATTCGCACCATCACTAAATACACAGATGAACACACCAGAACCAAAACCAAAACCAGGCCACCTTACTGCTCAGCACATTTATGCAAACAGGACAACTTAAATGTAACAGAACTTTAAGTTGCATGTGCAGGAGGAGACACAAATCTCAGCTGTGACCTGACGTCACACACCCTGCAACAAGAGGGAATGCATTTTCTTGGCAGTTTTCTCGTCGTTGGGGATTTCAGAGCCCTTTGCCCACCAAAGCAATGAGGGCACAAAGCAGATTTAATGAAAAGTTTTCAAACTAGTAAGCAACGGTACATGAGAATTAACCCAAAGCCCCGGAAAGACGAGGCTCGCAGGAGCAATTCCTCCAACAGAGCCAGTCTTTTCATTTCCTTTAGGGCGGAGTATCTTTTTGTTATCGCTGTCTTTTAGCGCTGATGAAGCATTCGAGCCTCAAACGCCTGAAGGCGAGCACTGGCCGTCCCTCACACACAGCCATCATTTCCACACAGAACGCCTCAGACACCGACAGGGATCGGAGCGCAGACACAAAAGCCGCAGCGCGTCTCACCGGCAGCGCGGGAGCTCGGCAGCCGCTCGTTCCGGGCGGGGAGGGGCGGGGCGGGGCCAAACTGCTTCCCGCGCTGCCACCGCCTACGGGGGCGTGGAGCTCCCCCACCCCGGCTGCAGCAGACCGGAAACGCATACCGGAAGTGCCGGCGGAAGTCCAAGTTGGCCCGGCCCACTTCCGCCTCACCCCAGCTGGAGCCCACCTACTGAGCGCCACTTCCGCTCCGCCGGAGCCGGCGGGCCCTCTGGCGTGAAGGTGGGGGCCGGCGCACCAGGGCCGGTTCTCGCGCTGCTGGCGCTTCCCGGCCGTACCCCGCAGCGCCGCTCGGGAGCCGCGACCGCTTCAGGCACGCGCGCGACCGTCGCCGCTTCAAAGGCTTTTTCTGACGCGCGCGCAGTGCGGGGAGAGGGGGGCGCGGCGCGCGGGGCGGTGCTCCGTACGGCCCCTCCTCCTGCTATAAGGGCGGCGGGCGGCCCGCGGCGCAGCACTGCCGGGCGCTGCTGCGGTTGGGCGCATGCGCGTCGCGTCGGCGGCCGCACGGGGACATGCGGAGCTGCGCGGCATTGGGGTAAGCGGCGGCACCGCCGGGACTCGGCCTGGAGCCGCTCCGCCGATGGGGAGAGCGGAGTAGGAGCCGGGGCGGGCGGTCCTCGGGAGACGGCGAGGGTCGGTTGGGCCGCGCGGCAGAGCGCCGGTTCGGAGCCGCCGTCCCGGCGGTGCGGCCCACCCCGGGGGTGCGGGGCGAGGCGGCGGCGGCAGTGCGGGAGGGGGCGGGCGGGCGGAACGGCGCGTGCTGCTTCCTCCGTTCCGGCCGCGCTCGCCTTGTATTTTCAGGAGCCGCCGCTGCGCGCGCTCCGCACAGCTCGGGCTGCTCCGCTCTCCCACGTCGCTTTGTGTCCGGTTTATTTTCTGCCCGCGGTAATTAATCCGCACGGGAGGTTCATTCGGTCACTGCACGAAGGCCTGCTTTTCGAGGGGGCTTCTTGACAAAGCCCCGTGCCCGTCGCTCAGCAGCACAGCTGTTATTTCACAGGAGAGCAGCTCCCCTTCTCAGCACGTTAAAACGTATCGCAGTGCGGCTGATGCTGCACTTATGGCTGGGAATTGTTTCCTGAACTTAAGCCGGCCGTTCTCACGTTAACGTTTTTAGGAGGGCAAAGAACCGTACCTTAAACACGCATCTCAAACTTGACAAGCAGAGGCAAGGCTATTGTCTTGCTGTTTAATTATTAGCTTTCTGCTGGTGCCTTGCAAGATCCTCCCGGTTTGCTGTACAGGACCGTGAAATGGCAGCCAGAGCTTTACCTGAACCCAACTCCCTGATGAGCTGCTTCAATGTAACCCTGCAGAGATGACTGTTAGAATCCTGATCTATTCTCTGGTCTGGTGATTTGCCTTTCTGCCCATCACCTTCTGTGTCAGAGTTGTGGAATATGTTGTGTTTGCGGCTTGGCGTGATCTGAGCAGCAGTTTTCTGTCTGCACCAAGTGGGCATCATCTGAGATGTTCTACAGCAGAATGGTCCATTTCTGCTTGGCAGCAGATTTAAAGCAACCTTCTTTGAGACTGTTGTTGCTCAGTGGCAGTTATGTGGTTGCAGAAAAGACAAAAGTACTTAAGGGATTATGTGACCATGATAGAACAAAGTTTATTGAGGGGATTTGGGGTTTTTGTTTGTTTCAGATTGACTTTTGGTTTTGGTCTAAGTATTGCAGTAAATGTAATAAGGTAATTTAGGGTAAGTCCTATTGGAAGTCCAAAACACTTGAATATCAGAAGGAGTGGTTCTATCTCAGATATTTGTGCTAAATAGAAAGTCAGAGGATGGGGGAAAGGAAATTACATCACATCGTCAAATAAGGAACAGCTAGCTAGAGTGGATGACTTGTAGTGCAAAAATGTGCCCCTCCTCCTGTGAATTGCTTTTGAGATTCATTACAGATACGTGGTGGCAAGGTGAGCAAAAATAAGTTGTCAATTTAAGGTAGCCACATATTTTTTCCCCTCCCAGAAGTGTTAAGGAGATCTCACTCCCACGCTTTCTTGTGTCTTACAAGCCATGCATGAGTTGTTTGCCAATGTTGCATTTATAAAGTTTGTCCAAGATTGGTGTAGGAATTTGGGAAAATCTTCACAACAGCCATATCCACTATGTGAAATGTCTGTAGATGTTGTACAAACCAGAATCCAGTTTCCCTTATTATGAAACTAGTTTGCCTCAAATAGGTTGTAGCAATGGGAATGGGGTGTGAACAGGGAACAGAGTAACAAGGTTTTGTTATCAGTGATTGTCCTGAGCTAAGGTATGTGAAAATGCTGCTTCCTTCCTAAGCAGAAGAATGCTTATAGTGTGGCTACAGTAATTAGTGATCCATACAGCATGAAAACTATATATTGGATGGTGATGGTTGTTTCCCAGTGCGCTCAAATGCTGGAATTGCTACGGTTTATATTACACTGTAGCATTAGTAGCTGTAGTTTTATTTTGGACTAACCACGTCCCTTTTGAATAGCACTGAAACTGTACCAGCTTCAGAAACACTCAGAGTGCTGGGATCTAAGTGCCAGAATCCATGTGGAAGTAGGACAGATGAGCAGAGCAACCGGAAACCCATTCTGAGTAACACACGTTGTGCAAATGAGGAGTAAACAGGCACGAGGGATTCAGAATGCTGCGTAACTGCGTGGCGTCCACTTTCTTTAGCTAATGCCTGATATTATTTATGGTAAATATAGATCCTTAAATCTTTGAAGACACGTTATCAGGCCAACAGTTAAAATGAAAACTCCTCCATTAGATATCCTTCCGGCCTTTCAGATAGTTTGTCCAAATCTACGCGTGTTTTAAAATTGTACTTCAACTCTGAGCTCAGGACTGAGGAAAGCAGCGTGCAGTTATGTGAGTCGCTTACCTCTCGTGGTACTCCTGACTGGAGGCATGGGGGACAGTTTCATAACTCCATCCATTCTCAGCTCCTCATTGAAGTATTTGACAAGTCACCTTCTGTGCATTCACAGAGAGGGGTTGTTAGGTGCAGGCAGTAAAATGTCTGTTTTATTTTCAAAAATAACAGCATCTATTGAAAAAAAAAAATTACCTTTTCCTAGAGTATGTAAATATTTAAATTCATCTCCAAAATTGCACTTGACATTCCAGAGGGATTTCAGAGAGGCAATTGTGCAACTATCAGTCTTGAGAGCTGAGATTTAGACAGCATTCACAAAGCTGACACAGTAATTATTAGCAGTAGTTTTGGCGTGGGATCTGATGGAGGTTGGGCCTCTTAACAGGCCCTGCAAGGGCTGTGTTATCATAGCAAACACATTACATGTGCTCTCAAATGACAGCAGTGCCACCCCCCCTTCCTGTCTCATTTTTTTAATATCCTAATCAATGTCTCATGCTCTAGTCAGATCTTGTGTGCTCACTGAGGTAGAACACTATCATTTGCTGACTATTCAGTGTTCTTTACCAGTGATTTCCATGTGTGACTTATATTGGACTTAAATACTGGAATGGAAGGGCAAAATCCTTCATAGTCATTCATCTACATTACTATCAGTCTGGGATCTGCAAGATGTGAAAAAATCTGAGTAGCGTGAGCTGCTGGGATTGGTGTTTTGTTTGTGAGTCGTGTTAATGATAAGACAAATGTAATTTTAGAATTGGTACAGTTTTGTACTGTGCTTCACAAGTCTTCAACATGGACAGATTTCTCTAGTCTCCACCTTCCCTGGAAATGGTTTTGCTTGCACTTGCAGAACAATAACGAAGGAGCTGCTGTTACAGAATTACTGGGGATTTTTGAACTAATTTTGCTAAGCATAGCTACATCATTACTTTCTGAAACAGAGTGTTTATTTTTACTTAGAAAATGTGCAAATCCCATTACTAGGAAGGGTCTGACTTCACTGCATTACACAAAAGTTACCTGGGTTAAGTTAGGTTTTAAGGAGGTTGCTTGGAAGAGAAAAACAGGCTCTTCCCTAAAATCAGTGCAACCAAGACCTTAAAACTGTGCTGCCACAGAATGCTGGCTGGGGCCCTGTTCACGTCCATTAAAGCCAATCTCGCCAATCTCCTCCTGTCTAGGATTCTGAAGTTGCTGGGTAAAACTCTCCAGTGTCAGCTAGGAAATAAAACCGCTTCTGTTCTGTAATCGCTGGCAGTTGTGATTAAGAAAACTTCATGCTCTTAAAGAGAATGTCATTAAGTATTCCAAATTATAAGCATATGTAATGAGAAACTATACTTCAGATATTATTTGCTTGGAAGATCAATACTGGGCTCAGTTCAACATTTGGAAAAGGATGACAAACTTCTTTGTCAAACAGTCCTTTCTGAAAGGCAAATGTTGGCATTAGATTACAAATTAATCCTGCTTAAAGGTTGGCCACCCGTCACAGGTAGGCGTAATGAATCTTTCCTCTTAAAGGAAAAAGATGACACGTCTGCATAGAAGAGCTGGTTCATTTTTGAACATGTACCATCATTATAAGCTTCTACCTATTTCTGCACTATTTTCTTGCACTGCCATACTGTGTAGGGGTTTTCATGGTGCGTGTAGTGCATTGATGTAGTTGGCCCTCACTTGTTTGACTTCTGAAATAAACTGCCCTGTTGTATTTCAATTTAAATGGAGATGATTTCAAGACACTAAGTTTCTGGCTGTAAATAAATAGCTAGAGAATTGTGTCTGTTTTAAAGCACTGTGATGCTTTCTATAAAAGCAGTTTTGGAATTCTGGCTAAAATAGTAAATTGAGTTTGGTGAGTGGTTTGCATATATCAATAGGCTGGTAGCTGAAAATCTTAACAAAGTAACACGTTTTGTAAAGTTTTCCTACTGGTAGGCACAGAGACAGCCTTTTTATGGAGAGATTTAGTTCCTTGAGGCCCTCTAAGTTCAGATCAGAGTTAACTCATACTTGCATTTCTGATATTTATATCCCTTTCTTTATTTGGCAGGGAATGCAAACTGCAAGAAGCCTGTCACTCCCTGTGAGTTTCTAGAATTGGGAGACATCACAGAGCAGTACACAATGTCAACTGCAGGAGTTGCTGCTCAGGAAATGAGAGTCCCACTGAAAACTGGATTTCTTCATGCTAGTCAAGGCATGGGGGGTCTGAAAACCTGCTGGGGTAGCCACAGTGGATTTGAGAAGTGAGTGTAATGCTTGATTTATTGAACTGTCATGTATATGAAAAGTAGTATTAAGAATACTTCTACTGGTACCAGCCTGTGGCTTATTTACAGTGAAGACTTTTGATTCCTTTTTCAGTACTTTCTTTAACATGGATCCCATAGCAGTGGCATATAACTTGAATCCATCAGCAGAGCAGCATTTACCATCCATTGGTAAGTATAACGACTGACACATATCTTTAGGTACTGTCATGGATGTGTCTTGGGTAAGATCCTGAATGTTTTCTTAATTTGGATGTAAGGCTGCCCTCTGGTGACAGAATGCAGACATTTCAAGAAAATACTACTATTAAACCTCATTTAAAAGAGTGTGATTAAGAATAACACCACACTTTCCCTTATATTTACAAGCCTCTGAGATTCCTTACAATCCTGATTTAATAATTAAAAAAAATTAGTAAAATCTCATTTGCTGTCTTTTGGGATCTTTTCAGCTGCAGCTTGATTTTAACGTTCGTGCACGAGGTCTCTTAACTACCTCATTTAACTGGAGCAGTGGCCTCAGACATGGTAATCAGCTGATCCCCTTACTAAGCACATAACTGCCAGACTAAAAGAGACCTATACTAACTAATGCTTGTTTCTGGCATTGTTAAGCAAGAATTAGTTACTTGTTGCATTAGAAGGATTTAAACAGTTAAATATGCAGTGGCAAAATGTCACTTAGAAAAGTTTCTAAGACTTTCTCACCTTTTTAGGGCACTCCTCCAACTGCGTTTCCACAAACGAGCACAGCTTTGCTGAAAGTTGCATCCAAGTCCCGTCTCAGAAATCTAGTCCAGCTCCTGTAAGTCCCAAAAATGAGCAGCCATTTTCAAGATGTGAAGACCAGCTCATTCCTGGCTTTAGTAAACTGTCATTAACCACGGGCTGTGTTTCTGAAGAAACACCTCCTCATATGCCAATAAAGAATGGGCCAATTCAATTTCTGTCTGCATCCTCCCATGATCGTAGCTCCAGGCCACTGCCCCCTCTACCTGTCCCTGAGGATATTACTCCAGATGAGGTTGACAGAGAAGTGGAATTCCTGACTAGCTCAGATACGGACTTCTTGTTAGAAGATTATGGACTTCCTCCTTTTAAATCCAGTGGTTCCAGTCGGCGGAGCTTTAGAGGTTGCGGACAAATCAACTATGCATATTTTGATGCTCCAACAGGACCAAAACCAGAAGATGCCAACCCTACACAAAGCCTAAGTGGATGCATATCCAGTATCTACCCTCCTCCACAGCAGCTGCATCGACGTTTGCGAAGGTCCCATTCAGGACCAGCTGGCTCTCTTAATAAACCAGTAGCAAGACTATCTGGACACTTAAACAGGTCTTCTCCAAACTCTGATGAAGATAAACCAGAGATCCCCCCGAGGGTTCCCATCCCTCCAAGGGCTCTCAAACCAGATTACAGAAGGTGGTCAGCAGAAGTTGCTTCTAGCGCATACAGTGATGAAGACAGGCCTCCTAAAGTACCCCCTAGAGAACCTTTGTCTCGTAGTAATTCCCGTACTCCAAGTCCTAAAAGCCTGCCATCATACCTCAATGGGGTTATGCCCCCCACCCAAAGTTTTGCACCTGATCCTAAATATGTCAGCAACAAAGCTCTACAAAGACAAAATAGTGAAGGATCTTCCAACAGGGTCCCTTGCATTCTTCCAATTATTGAAAATGGTAAGAAGGCCAGTTCAACACACTATTATCTGCTGCCTGAAAGGCCTCCCTATCTGGACAAGTATGAGAAATTCTTCAGGGAGGCAGAAGAAACTAGTTCTAATACAGAGGTTCAGTCCTGGTCTGGTGACTGCATGGCCACTTCAGTCCCAACAAGACTGGACTCAAAACCTAGAATGGACATAACTGGTCATCTGAAACGAAAACATCTGTCTTATGTTGTTTCTCCATAGTCTATGGGAGCACAACTCATCTGGATTGTTGAGGATGGATGGAGCCAAATTCTACCATGTTAAAAAAAATTTTAGGGTTCTCAAATAAACTAGGACAGGTTTGTTCTTTGAGAACTAGATAGTGGATGGTAAAGTACTCTTAGGCTGCATCTCTCTGGTATGTTTCTTAAGACTGTTTTTTTGTCTTGGTACGTATACCTGAAAACTGACAAAGATTGCACAGAAACATACAGAGATGGTAGTTGCAGTTGGCCAGTTATATGCTACCTTAGATAAGTGTATTTGGTAGTCACGTTATCAAAATAAGTCTAAAAAAATCTAACTTTGCTTATGAGTTTCTTACAAACCTGACAACAGAGCAGATAATGCAGCACAGTTTTCATATCAGGCATTTCTAAAATTTCTTTTGCACAGTAACTCTGCCAGGAAGAGATTCTGTTCTCTTTCATTATGATATGCCAACCTGGTAAGAAGGTGACTGCAATATCACATAGATAACTGATAACTTTCAGGCCTGTTGAGCATACTGAAAATATTTTTAGAATATTGAATCCATTTTACAACTTAATTGGTAACCAGTAGACTTACTTTCAAAGTGAAGCAGCATGGAACTGAGATAGGCTTTGTGGATTCTTTTAGTTCCTGGACACTTGGCTCAATTTTGCAGTTCTTCCTATGAGAAACAGATATGGACCAGATATTGCTAAGCTTCTGCTGCTGCTGCTCTTTTCCTGCTGGATCCTAAAAAGGTATAAAAGTGGCAGAGGATATCAGCAAGTATATGACTGCTATAAGTAGGCCACAACAACTACATGCTCATCTTGCATCTGATATTGGGTGTATTAACACAAGCTGGTCTTGTGTTCTGGTTTCTATTCAGTATTTTAGGAGAGGAGGAGAGTATGGGGAAAAAAATATGATTCCACTTATGAACAGTGTCACTCCTATCTGTCTCTGCTTCTGACACTGTTTCTTGCTGTTTAATTTTTCCTCGTTCTGCTTCTGTGTTCTAGTAAAGTTCATTGAGTTGCCACGTTTGTGCATTAGCAGTTTCTCACGATTACATTTATCCTCTTGCAGATAAGCACAGAAGAAAGGGTGCTCTTTAATGGAGGTACAAAAGATGAACGTGTTCCTCCTAACAGAAACAGACAAGCTGTTTACAATTTGAACTGCTGAATGAGATGTTTGAGCTATTTTAAAGCTTACTTTTTGTTTTAGTACAAACTAAATGAAGGTGAAATACATGCTATAGAAATGCACTGATATTTCTGCATCATGTACAGTATTGAATAAAGAAGAATTCACTTTGTATTTTGGATATTGTCATGTCTTGAGTTTAATAAAGTTATAATATACTTATTTATGATACATTTTGTTTTTTGCTTCATTGAATACTCTATGCAATTTTGCATTTCAGCTTTGCATTTACTGGGAAAATCAAAATGGAAAATGCTTAACATGCAATAAATGCTGAGTTCAGCTTCCACTTAGCACTGCTGTCAAAGCATTCAAAAAACACTGCACAAATTAATTCTGATTCCTCCTCACTAACTAATAGCTTAGTGTGTAATCTTTGCCTGGCAATAAAGCATTATATAGTCTATCACAATTAAAAACCTTTGCTATTTCCAAAGTCACCCATAGCACACTAGGTACTGTCTTACAGAAAAGAGGGAAGTAGATTTCCTGACTTAAGTTTCTCAACTGTTAAAAAAGAACTAAGTTGTATATTTAAGGGTGACTAAATAGGAGTTAATCATTTTAAGCATGAAAAGAACTTCGTTAATCAGAATTTTTTCATTTATTGCTTAAAAGAAAAAAGCAGTTGCTAATATTCATCACAAAGTACACGTTTAACCGTAGTAACCTTATCCACAACTCAGATAATGAAGCATCATGCATTTCTGGTCTCAGATTTGCATGGGGGTAAATACTTGCCTTGAACTGGTAGTCCAGAGTCCATACTTTCTGTGAATGAGGTTATTTCAGAAAACAAGCAGGTTATTACCATCCTTGGAATTATGCTTGGTGAAAAGTAGGCTAGGAAACTGTTCTTCACCAGAGGGCGGCAAGCATGAAATGGGTTCCCCAGGCAGTGGTCATAGCACCACATTCAAATATAGGGTTTGAATTTTAGGTGGTTGTGTGCAGAGCCAAGAGCTGCTGCTCATGATGAGCTGTGAGCTTATTCCTTCTTACCTTGAGACACTTGAAAGGCCTCCATCATAGTTCTGCCCTGCATAGCATTTACTCTCAAGTTAGCAGCTAAGCCACCCCCTGCATAGGACAAAGTATCCCCATCCAGATACCACACAGTAAAAAGGAGGAAAAAAAAAAAAAAAGACTTGCATACTCCTTTCCTGCAAGTGTTGGTATTGCCTACTAAACTGTGAGTATTAAAAAGAAATTCCTCTGTAGTGGTGCCATCTTTCCAGATGAGTATCAGCAGAGTGTCTTAAGTCTTATTTAAATAGTTAAATTTTGAAGTTATGTTTACTAGAACTGTGGTAAACTAGACTGAACTTGAGCTGAAAACAGTGAGTAGAACTGCTCTGCAGCAAACAAGTCCTTCAGTCAGATCACAGAGCTCCAGTGTCCCTTCAGTATGAGAAGATAGATTTACAGGCAACAGTCTAACACCATTTAAGTAACTTGGCTGTATTACCCTTAAAAGTCCAAAGTAATGAGGTTTGTTCCATTGTTCAGTGGTTTTCTCTGAGCGTCACCTTGCTCGTGCATTTCCAGACAACGCAGATTCCTGCGCTTTGGGGAACAAAATTTGCACCATCCAGAAGGTATATTCTGTTTTCCAGGTGAGTCATTGGGCTCCAGAGCTGTGGGGGCAACTTTGCAAGTTCTGGCCAGAAGGCATTTCTCTGCTCATCCCCTGACACACGATAAGACCTGTCAGGACACAACGTGGTTTTGCAACGTTCTGATGGCGTTTGAATATTTAGAGCTTGGGCTCACCTGGGCAGGGCCTGGCAGATGCCTCTTAGGAGGAAGCTCCTTGCCAGAGAGATTTGACTGAAACAATCACATTTCAAAGCAGCGATGACTCGATACATGAGTCTGAAGAGTTAAGGTATTTGTGTAAAAACAAGAAAGAAAGATGTGCATTTATGAAAAATGCTTCCACAGCTTCCTGAGCTGAAAGTGGGCTGCATGCCACCTGGAGGTCCCTTTCTTGCCTTAGCAGCACTGCCGTGACCACAGACGCACATCATCAAGGCTCCATGGTGAATCCACGACCATCAAACAGATCTTAATGAGAAGAAACTGGCAGCAAGGTCAGCGAGAAGGGACATACGGGGACACCCCTCTCTCCCCAGGCTCAGAACTGTCAATACCACAAGAAAAAGCTCCCTCAGTAATCAGTGGAAGCAAGTATCCACCATATCTATACTGCGAAAGGGTTAATCGGGCTAGAAAATCAGCCAGGAGTTGTATCTAGCTGGTAACGAAAGGACAAGCCGTTTCCCTCAGTATACCTTTTCCTGAATAGAAGAGGTTGTGTTAGTATCCAGTGACTTAAAAGGATGCCATTAACCGAATTTTTCCACCAGGATAACTTGCTCTTAAGCAGCTAATGTCAGGGAGTTTAGCACAGCTTTTATGGGAAATCATTTTAAAAAGTTTCCAGACTGATAGTCCTATCTGAAATTCAAGATTAAGACAATGACTGGACATGGTGCAATTCCCACCCAACAAAATCATGACTACAGACTCAGAGCCCTACAAACACTTCTAAAAGACACACTCTCAAGTTTCCTCCCTGAAAGTACTCCAGTGATCAGTAACAAAATGCAGCAGTCTGTCCATGGGGTCTCTGCAGTCAGGCATTCCACTGATTTTCTGTCTGTTGGGCATTCCTGCAAAATAAATGCCCCCACTTACATCCCCTCACCTTCAGTCTAGCTCAATATTTCATTTGCTCCATAGCTTGTTTTCCCAAATAGGTTATATTTGTTTAAAACATATAGTAAATTTTCTGTTTCTCATAGTTCTTTGGCACTAAATCTAGCACACAAATGTTAATTATACTTATTAATATTTGCTAAATACCATTGCAGAGATTTCTGGCTGCTGAGCTTGTGATTAGCATTTGTATAAACTGAGCGAGGTGTTACCACCACCCATCCTGCATTGTAATTCAGGCTTTGCATAATAACTGCCTAAATGCCTATTTTCATCCACACAGCTCATTACTTCTTCTGAATCATACATGGAAGCCACACCTGTGATTGCTCATAGACTGTTGCTCTATTATTTATATATTGGCATGCACCTTGATCCTAGTTGTGGTTAATTTTGAGAAAGGTGTTAGGTATTCCATATTTTAAGTGGTGTGCCACTGAAACATGGTAATCGTTACTGCTATTCATTTTCTTACAAAGTGATTCAGAAGAAGAGATGCTTCCCTGTTTAAAACCTGCAGCTTCTTTCTGAAGATCACTCAGCATTATGGCTGTCACCCACAGTGTCAGCATCTTAAAGCCACAAAGGAAAAAGAGCGCAAATATACTGCTGTGAAACATCAGAGGAAAAAAAAAAGATGCCAAATGATCCCACTGTTGTCATCCCGAATCTATTCGCAGATATACAAAGAGCCACCAGGATAAAACACTTTGAAGCCATCAATGCACAAAACCTCCATATGACACAATCATCGGGACTGACCCCTTCCCACCCTCCCCCCCCCAAATCTACCTAGTTTATTTTACCATATTAATGAGTTTCTTATTCTCACAGCAACCAGAAGGAAAGGGCCAGCACTACTGGATATCCTTCAGAAAAGGAAAGGAACATACACCCAAACCTACATACTGAACAGTCTTTATGCCTCAAGACCAGGGAAATCCCCAGTTCCAGAGAAGGGCACCTCAGTTTGTGCCACGTTGAGTCCAACTACTGCTTAGCAATATGTGAGTGAGACACTAGTGATAAGCAGGTTACTTGTTGCAGTCCCTGCATGTCATTTACTGGATGTTGAGCAAGGTCCAGAGGAAACCCAGGACTCCAGCCATATTAAGTTGCACATGGTGACTTCATTTGTCACCTGTCATATTGACAAGTTATTCAAGAAAAGTTTCCCTGCATTCCGCTTGAGCACCTGTCTTTAGAGTTTAAGCAATTGGAATGGGCATTGTGCTGTTACGATTCAGAATCTGTATCACTTCAGTGCACCAATAGGCACGTGGCACCAAAGAAGCCTCTAGCAACTCTGAGTGGAGGTAAGTGTACACCCTGACAGACACTGTTGCTCATTAGGTTAAAATTGCTCAGGTTGGGGTAGGGTCTCATCATGTTCAAAAAAAACAAAAAACAAGTAAACAAACAAAACAAATAACACCCACTGAATGGCAGTGCTCACTTCATTAAAAGCCACAGGGACAGACATGCTTGTCCAAGATCTACTCTTAAAAACAGGTGGCAGTGAAGTGAGTAGGTGAATCCTGGCTTTATACAGGAGCTGACGGGGACCAGCATGAGGCTGTAAAGCTGAAGGGAAAGTCTGAAAGAAGAATGAGGTGTTTAGCTCTTAGCTTCAATTTAAATGACTTAATGCTACAGTTTTGTTACAGA